TGCAAGTTGATAAAACAATACTGTGCCAGAATGTCAAGCTGGGAACGCATTGATTTTTTGTGTTTTATTTGTAATTAACTCGGCTGTTGTTCCTCCTTTGCTGCTTCTGATCGAGACAGGTTTGCGAGTATCATGTAAATCCAGTTTATTAAGGTGACATGCAGAGAAATACAAGCATGGTTGTTTTTATTTTAATTTAGTTGATGCAGCTGAGTATTTTACTGCCCTCTGGTTGATATTTCTAGTTTCCAAAACAAATACAACTCACTTTCAGGCGAAAGAACAGTCAGTCAACAGTGGAACGCAAAGCTTCAAGTTTTGCCGAAGGCTGTGAATTGGCTATTTTAATAGAATATTTCATTAGCAACAGCCAAGTTCCTGGCTCTCATAGGTTATAGAGGAGAAACATTAAATCTCCAGTGAGGGTTTGGTACAAATCAAAAGTGAAGGAAACTCCCATGAAAATTAATCATTGGCCAGATGCTAGGTACGTTGATGTTATCAAGATTGAAAACCCCAGTTTATAAATACAGTAATTGCCAATTTAGATAAAAATTTCAGTACTTAAAGATTTTGAAAGAAACTAAAAAGGGTTATTTCATATAAAATGTGTCCAATTCATACTTTTTCATCTCTTTTTGTGTGGTGATATAGCACCTTAAAAATCTTTAAGCCCCCAAACTGTACAGAACACAGAAACTGAGAGGCAATAAGCATCTTACCCTCTCACCTTCTCTCTTTCTCTTCCCAACATCTTAGTCAAAACGTCCAGCGATGTGTTTTCAATAAATAGTGTCATTTGTATTTAAGGATTACATGTCAATGTAAAGTTAATATTCAGATTCATTTCCCCCACTTCCCCAGGTGAAGGAAGTACGAGAATGTTATGAGCAAAATCCAGCAAAATATTCCTGTTAATAAGGAACTGACATAGTGACACAGCCTATAAATTCTTCATATTCCTGAAGGCCTTCACTCACTGAAGGTTCAAAGATTGATGCTAGCGTCCAGCCGGCCTTTCTCCCAGATCACTGGTCAGAATCGAGCTAATGTGTAAAGGTCCCTCTTCACTTGCCGTTACAGAGTTACATCAACAAAATACACAACAGGGGAGAAGTCTCATTTCTAGGATAAACCAAGGCCTGTGGTTTCCTGTTACTTTCCATGATTTATTCTCTGCCGCACGCTGTAGTTATGTACAGAGCGCAGTCTGTTTGTCACTGCAGGAACAGGCTCTCAGATTCTTTTAGAAACTTGAGCCCACAGGGAAGTGGGTTTCAATTACAGTGCTGATTTGAAGCACTAACCCACAGACCAATTCTGGTGGATTAGCAGGGGTTATGAATTATAAATCAGACATTTGATGGTCGTGTCACAAGGTTTTGTTGGTTGGGGATGAGGATGTGGGGATGGAAGATGGGAAACAGAAAGAATGTAAGTCATGCAATTAGATTGTACATTACGGGGCGGGAGGGAGCAAGGCCCAGAGTTTGTTGAAATGCTAAAATAATGGACGCTAAACTGGATTTCTTACTGAGCTAGTTAATATATAATACAAGACATCAATGAGATCACTAATCGGCAGCATGATTGAGGGTCATGCACCAGAATGTGGATGTATTGATGTGGCTTGAGCTGCAACTGAGATTCAAATGGGTGGGTTGATCTGGCTGTAGACGGTTTAATTCGATCAACAGCAATAACTATTTTTGGAGAGTAGGTAAAGCGAAACTCGAGGCTTCGTTAAATGCCTGTGTGACCACAGCCAATTTCAGTTCTAAAGGCTGGGACCAATACTGTTGAACAGATGCAAAAATCCAAGTGTCACCTTCTTAACAACAACATCTTGCATTTATATAAACGCCCTTCAAAGGAGGCAGCATCTGGGAGCACTGAATTGAAGACTTATTTCCACTTGGCAGCATCAGTTAGAATGTTATCTAGAATGTGATTATATCTAGTGCCAGGCTGCTTATTCAGATGCTAACAGATAAAGAACGACCGCACTGAATAGACAGGTATAGACTTAAATTTAGCGTAAAATTGACTTTGGTAACCAATAATGTGCTTGCTCACTGAAAACAAACCTGTTCTTCCCATGCGACAACCTAATGGCTAGACAGCACCCTTCTATAAGGAACATACCCCAAGTAACAGTGTCTGATACAGCCCATGCTTCTAGATAAATAAATTAAAAGCTGTCCATTTATCACATCTAAATCCAGAAAACCTTGACTTGTCAGTGTTAACTTTTCACTTGCAAATTCAGCAGTACATGTTGGTATCCATCTCCTAGCAGTGAGACAAATTATTGTGGTATCTGGCTTCGATATTCCATGTTCTAACAAGGTCAGTAAGCAGCCTTCCTCTATACGACTCAATTGATATACTGTGGAAGGCTCTGTTTTCTTAGTAGCAAGTTTGTGATAAGAAGGGCCAGCCAGATATTTTAAACTCCAAATTTTACTATCAAATACTATAAGCATTTTGTCCTTAAAATGCAACTTTAGTCTGCTCCTCTGTCAAATTTATTGCACGGATTTTTGTAAAATCCTGCTTGTTCTCGCTGGAAGGGATGGATGGATAAAGTTCACTCCAAAAATACAATTCTACTTTTTTTCCTTTTCCTCTTCAAATTCCATTCAATTCAGCACAGACCCACAGAGGTATAATCATTCGATATTTTTTGAACAAAGAGGGGTGGGGGGAGGCCCTCTGATAATGGCCCAGAAGATAATCATCCATGAAGTAAACTCATGGGTTAGGGCAATGCAAGGAATTAGGTCATGTATAAATTAAGGCTTTGGTAGACTTATAATTATGATTATTTCATAAGTTATAAGGCATCCAACAAAAGTTGGTTGCCTGCCAGCTATGAGCTCAGATTCTGGTCTTGTTGTAGGACTCTGTAGTTCACTAACTTGGCTAAATGCCCTGTTTTACAATGGAGATTTTGCAACACAAGAATTGTAGCACGTGTGATAATAAAGATGTTGCACATACAATACTCCTTTATGTTAACCAGTGCTATGGGCAAAACAAGGTCTGGGTACATACGAGTCCTGATTAATTAAAGATTACACACATTTTGTTGTACAGTTAAGGGTTATCTAAGTCCTGAAATTGATTAAATAGAGGAAGCGATAGAAAATATTATATGATCCTAAGCGATGTTTTTAAAACAGGATAGCTGTTTATTGTGAGCTTGTAGCAATTCACACACAGTGTCATCTATTTGATTATTTTTGAGATATTAAGTTCACACTAAAGATAATGTATGGTTTTGCTGCCAGTAGATGCTATTCACCACACACAGGAAATCTCTCTCTCTCTCTCACACACACACTCACAGTTAATTCCAGTATGCTGCTATATTATTAGTGGGGGTGGGATTTATGACTTATGAAGTGCAAGAACCAAAAATAGGAATTCGGGTGGAGAAGGTCCTCGCTCGAATTTGGTTTCATTCTTCCAGAAACAATATGATAGCATTAGCAAACCTCTCCATCCAGTATTTCTAATGTAGCAGTCTTTGTAACAAGCATTATTTCAACATAAGCAAGCATTATCTTCATAGAAACTATGAATCATTTTCTGCGGGATGAGGAAGGGAAGTGTATTTCACTTGTCATCACGATATCACATGCAAAATAAAATTACAATAGAGAGTGGAATTTATAAACAAAACAAACTGAGCAGCCACCAGTAACAGCCCCTATCGCAGTTGAATTTATAAACAACAAAAAAATGCCACCAGACTTTATAGGAAGATATTTTACCCTTTACATTTAGTGATTAGTCTTCCCGTCGACAAGCACAGCACACCTCCTACTGGCAGTTCAGCAAGATGCAATCACAGTGAGAACAGACTGAAATGGGTTACGCAGACTTGCGTAGAACATTAGAGCACAGAAACTGATCACTTAGCCAAACAAGTCTGTGCCGGTGTTTATACTCCTCACGAGCCTCCATTCACCTAATCCCTTCTCTCCAGTGCCTTGGGTTGTCCTCCTGACGTGGAAGGCGCGATACAAATGGAATTTGTTCTTTTAACGCATTAAGTTTTCTCTTCAACCACAGCTTCTAGTAGTGAGTTCCACATTCTCACCACAGCTGTACGTAAAGCAGTTCCTCCTAAACTCCCTTTTAGATTTGCTAAAGGATATCTTACAAGAAAAAGTTTCAAAAGAGATCACCATGAAAGGTTAGCAGAGAAATACTTTACTTTGTTACATAAAGGCAAGAGGATTGGTAGCAAAGAAGAGTACGTGAGAGAAAGCAAATACAATATAGAATCATAAGGATCTTGTGTTGACCTCCTGAAAAAGTGTGCCAAGCCAGTATTGTTAAACACTTTGGGTTAAACACTGTTAAAGTGTGATATAAATGCAAATTTGTATTTGTATTTCTGATAAAGTTCTCCATTTACCCATTTACATTTTCAATGATTTGTCTGATTCCTTTTCATAATCTTTAATTAATTATAATTCACGATATAGATTGAAAGATACACCAAAATCTTATGATTACGAGCGGAGTTTTTAGTCTCAGAACGTTACCTGGTTAATGTTGTTAAGTAGACTTTCCTATTAGGCAGATTCCATCAGGTAAATGCACTGGAGTGAGAATGTGCAGAACACAAAGGGTAGATTTTGAATATTGACTCAAGACTGTATGTACTGGGGCTGTTCAATAACCTGTCCATGGGCAGTAAAACAAACATACCCACTGTATGCAAGAATCCGATCTTTGCAATGAGCAAGCTAGGTTACAGTCAGGAGGTACAGGAAAAGCAAGGAAGCGCTGAGCTACCAAGAAGTTAAGATGTTTGCTGGAAAAACTCCCCCCGATTAACTAGGAAGAAACCGGTCCTGATAGCCATCATCAGAGAGCTGCTGGACATTGCCAAGAATGCAGCGGCTTAGGTTGGATATCGATGTGGTTTTGTGTCGTGTGATGTGAACGTTGCTCACTGACAACTGATCTTTGTTCGCTCTTAGTTTTAGGAGACCATGAATTTGATTGGGACTTGTCCGACGCCTTGGATGACGTAACCCCAAAGCGACGTAAGTTTTCCACATTGCAAGTATTTCTTAGTACGGAGCTGTTTCTCTGAAGCATTGCACTTGAAGGAGCAATAATTACTGTCGAACACCAATTTCTACCTCTAAAAATTACGGCTCGATTACAGAAACTCACTCTTCATCAGCCTTCCCAACTCTTCCCTTCACAGGCTGCAGATCATCCAAAACTCTGCAGCTCATGTACTCTCGCGCACCAGGCTCCGTGACCCCATCACTCCCCCCTCACCCAACTCCACTGGCTCCCCAAGACCCAAGGTTCGAGTTCAAGATCCTCGTCCTCACTTTCAAGGCCATCCATGGCCTTCCCCCCTCGTACCTCTCTGACTTGCTGGCTCCCTACCAACCTGCCCGCACCCTCCGTTCAGTGGGCTCCGGTCTGCTCTATGTCTCCACCCACCCAACCCGACGGGTGGCCAGGCTGTCAGCCTCCACACTCTGGAACTCCATCCTACAGTCCTTTCGCCTTGCTTCCTCCCTTGCCTCCTTCAAAGCCGGTCTCAAGATCCTTCTCTTCGATCATACCTTTGGAAGCCCTCCCACCTCTCTGCCTTCCCTCACCCCTACACCACCCCTCCCCCATGCTCGGGCCCAGACACCTGACTGTTCAGCGCTTTGGGATGTCCTCCCAACGTGAAAGGAGCTCTCTAAATGTAATTTTGTTGTTGCAAAAACAGAAATGCCTAATGTTCTTTTAATCTCAAAATTACACATCTGCACTACACAGAAGCTTTGTGAAGTACTTGGAGACATACAACAACAACAACAAGATTCCATTTATAGAGCGCCTTTCACGTCGGGAGGACATCCCAAGGCGCTGTACAGTTGGGTCAGGACCCGAGAATTGGGGAGAAATGGTGAGGGGAGGGAAGGGAGGGAGCGAGGAGGGGGTAGAGAGTCGAGAGGGGAGCTGAAGGCACGGTCAAAGAGAAAGGTCTTGAGACCGGCCTTGAAGGAGGAAAGGGAGGAGGCAAGGCGAAGGCACTGGGGGATAGAGTTCCAGAGCCTAGGGGCTGAAGGCCCGGCCGCCGATGGTAGGGCAGTTGGGGCGGGAGATGTGGAGCAGACCGGAACCAGAGGAACGGAGGGTATGGGCAGTTAGGTAGGGGGATAGTAGGTCGGAGAGGTAGGAGGGAGCAAGGCCGTGAATGGCCTTGTAGGTGAGGATGAGGATCTTGAAATCGATCCTCTGGGGGACGGGGAGCCAGTGGAGGCGAGCGAGGGTGGGAGTGATGTGGTTCCGAAGCCTGGTGCGGGACAGTACACGAGCTGCAGAGTTCTTACATTTTAAGACAATATGGGTTTGCAGACTAAGACTTGGTTGAATTTCAGATCTCAGGCTTCCTTTCAACTGAACGCCATGAATCTGGGTTTGTTGTATAAGATGAAAACCACTACACTATGTCGGTCTCCATAACAATGATAATTGACCTCAATAAAAGATAATTACAGGAAATTGGAGCAGAAAAGGTGGTGTTCATAGGTTTGGTACAGAACATCAAACAGGAAAATATCATTTTTGCGATTCCACACTTTTCTCTAACCTGTTGACAAATGTTGAAAAAGTCAGTAATATATTGGCCAAGCGAGGGGTGTGTATGGTATTTTTCTGGACATTAAGTGCCAGAATCACTTGTCTCAATAAATAATTCTCTATGCTCCAGGTTTTACGAAAATTCAAGCCAGTTAGGGGTTGAAAGTTTCCTGTATGGCTGCATTACTAAAAATCTTTAAACTTTCCTTACTTGCTAGAACAGTAGTATTGGTCACACTCTCTTGCATCCGTGTCGGGAACGCAAGGTATAAAAAGCAAACATCTAGAGCCCTACTTACAAAAACAACCAAATACTGGAAGTTTGCTCAGGTGCCGAGTACACACACAAGCTGAGTGGCATTAAATCAAAATGTTAGCACCATATTACACAAGACAACAGGACCGAAAACAGCACAAGGATCTTTTCATTACTGATTAACCGCGCAACGTTCCTTTCAGCCAAAGAGGGCATCAAAACATTACGAGAAACAGGCTGAAAGAGTTCACTGGAGACAAGTCAATGGGAGTCACAGACACAGCTGCCAAAAATTGGATCCGCTCATCTGCAGCCAGGCTTGCTCAAGGGAGCCAGCAGACGAGAGTTTCAGGGAAAACAAATTAACAGGAACGGGCAAACAAATCCAGTGTGTATAAGATATAGGACATTCATTCACATTTCCAGATTGGATACAGGCTGCTCAAGGGGATCTACTCCCGTTTCTGCAGCTGGATTCTCTCCTTGGCTCAAGAACATGTTTTCATTGGATTGCAACTAGGATTTGCCACTTTGCGGCAGAAACCTTTACTTCTTTAAACTCTTCATCCTCTCTATGGCCTACCACCACCACCAACAATTTGCATTTATATAGACCCTCACACAGGCTAGAGTCCCAGAGCGGCAGAAACCAAAGATCATTTATCCCCTCACTGAAAAGGTGAGAGCCAGACTTGTTGCTCAGCACCAGTCAATTAGGATGTACACCAATGTAACTGGAGGAACTCAACAAACCTGCTCAGCCTCCATTCATCACTATATTGCTGACATGAGGGATCAGAGGCACACAATTTCACCTAGTCGTAGGCTTTGAGGCCGTCTTATCCTGAATTTGCACGCACTTGTGGAAAATTCTTTTAAAAAATCATTTTGAATTTCAAAGCCTTTTTTCCGTGTGTTGAAAAAAACAAAATGAGAACTTCCAAATGAGAACCCACTTGTCCACCCCTCTGCCCGACCCCAAACTCTATGATGAAATGACGGTGCTGGCTTAAGGCTAGATGGAATTGCGGGTCCCTGGTGTTCGATAGGAAAAAGCAGGAGCAGAGAGCGCACACACTAGATGCAGCCACTGGACATCAGCGTCACACAGCTGGCAGTTGTCAGTATGTACTACTGAGTGAATGCATGCCCGAAGGGTCACATACTCACATGATATTGGGATGTCTGATGCAAAAGTTAAAATTGTCTCTTGCGTGCACGGGCCCTCTCTCCCTCCCTCTTCTCCCCAGATTTACCTAGTGGACAATACCAAGCAATCATTGCAGTACTTCTCAGGATTTATTCTTCAACTCAACTAAAATAAATAAAATTCTTTCCACGTTAATTCCACGCACCTGCATAATCCTTCTCCGCTGCTTCAATGCCAAGGAAAGAACAGAAAGAGCCACTTGTTGCACACCCCGTCAGAGACTGATCAGAACAAACACTTTTACCTGCCACGTCCTATCTGTCTGTGTCTGCTCATTCAAACCACAGGAACTATGAAGTGTGATCACCTGTCCTCATGCAGACCACATTGCTTTCTCAAGAGACTGAAACTGGCAAAATGTCTCACAGCAGCCTCTGGTAGATTGCTGAAACAATTAAAAGAAATTTGCAGCTTCCACATTTCCTTATACTTCCTCTGTCTCAGCTTCTTGTTAAACATCTAATTAGAATCACATTTCTATTTGCTCTGGGTGCAACCATCTGAAAAATATTCATCATTAAATCCCGTTAAGACTCCAATCAGAGCAACAGCAGCAGTCATTAGGAGAATATTCAGTGCTTAATATGCATAGAGAAACTGCAAATAAGCATTTGTCATTACATTCTGTGATTTTCTTTGTATCATCTCCGAAGTCTTCTCTCCCATCACCCTGTGTGTTGAGAGCGTTGCCATGCGTGGAATTATTGCTGTTCTGCATCATAAAAACAAAAAAGGTCAGAACAAAGAAAGAGCAAAGGCTGAAAGACATAATGTATCGGCAAAATAAACTGTGACGGGAAAAAGGAAGATGGAAGAGATGAAAGATATCGCTGAATTAGATTTATCAGTTAGTGCGCTAAGGTGTACGTTTTTATGTTGCCACTGACAACTGTTTGTGGGAAATTGGCTGGAACATTTCGCCCAAAAAATATAGTCAATTCACTTTACAGTATATTCTGTGAAGTGCTTTGAGACATCTCAACAGCATGTTAAGTGGCTATTTGAAATGCAAGGATTATTATTATAACCTCCTGAATCACTCATTCATTCCCACTTAGTTCTGGGTTTGAATCTCAAAAGGCCCATTCAATCCTTCACCCTTTCAAGGTTGATAAAAGCATCTTGTTCAAATAATATCCAGTTTGAGGGAGGGAAGCAAGGTTTTCCTAGGATTGAACTGGCTTCAAGGACACACGGTTAAGGAAAGCGAGGCAGGTCCATAATATTCCAGGCACAATTAGTAGTGACGGGACTATACTATCTGGCTTATCAATTAGACAAGAAAGTCTTCAACCATGTGAAAGCTGAAGTCACACAGATGAGACAGGCAGACAAACCTGTTCAGGAGGTCGTTAAAGATCCCACAACAATATTCAAAAAAGTAAAGGGAGTTTCTCCTGGTCAGTTCCTGCTACTTTCTAAATAACAAAAAACTTTTGCTAAAAGTTCAAAAAACGTTTCCTTGTTAGTTAGAAGCGCCACAGTTTCAGAAGCAAGTATACCATGCCACTCTGAAGCAAGCCGCTCTGTGCCGCATAGTAGGAAAGAAAGCAGATTTGTCCTTGGTAGAAATAATAATAATAATCCTTGCATTTGATATAGCGCTTTTCACGTCGCGAGGACGTCCCAAAGCGCTTCACAGAACACACTGTAAAGTGAATTGACTGTATATTTGTGGGCGAACGCGGCAGCCAATTGCGCAAAAGTAATAACCTGTCACACAGCATGCATCAGAAGGAAAATATTTCTCCAGAAAACTTATTTTACTGATTTCAGTCTCTTACACCACAGAACTGGGAGAAGGGGCTGAATGTAATGTGCCCTTGGCTCTTACCAGTGGGCAGATTCAGTGAGCTCTTAGTCAGAAGTGTATTCAGTTGCATTGTATGACAGAGCTGGGAAACGTTTTACACTATGATTGAATGAATAGGGATAAAGAGGGTTGAAAGAACAATGTTTAACTGTGTCATTGGGTGTTTCTTCACACTTAAAGTGGACACAATATGAAAGTTTCACAGACCTAGAATGACACTTTGCAACTGTCTAACGGAGGTGACTGATGACTGATATATCGACTGATATGTGTAATGTATGGTTTTTCACACCTTTTTTCTGTGACACAATAGATGGAACCTTTCTTTTCTCTACAGCTCTTACAACGCCTAGCAAACCTTCAAGTGGGACGGGTGAGTGCTTTCGCAATCAGTGTGATCAAAATATAGGGGTGAAACAAAGAGCATTTGCTATGGGGCCTTTAGCCTTTCTGTTCACACCCTCTGGAACTCCATCCCGGAATCCCTCCATCTCTCCCCCTCCCTTGCCTCCTTCAAGACCTGTCTCAAGACCTTCCTCTTCAACCGTGCCTTTGATCATCTTTCCATCACCACCCCCTTGCCCTCCACACCTCTTGACTCCAGCTCGGTTGCAAACCCTTGACTATCCAGGGGCTTGGGATGTCCTCCCGACATGAAAGGCGCCATATAAATGCTGTTTGTTGTTGTTGTTACTAGCGTTATTGTTGTTATTGGCGTTATTTGTGTAAGTTAACCCAAAGAGCGCAATAGCTTAGCCCGACTGGTCCTTGACGGTTTTTATACTCTATATGAGCCCCCATTCCTCATTCCCCTTTTCCTTGTGTATACGTGAAGTTTCCTCTTAAATGCATTGATGCTTTTTTGCTTCAATCACATCTTCTGGTTGTGAGTTCCTCATTTTTACCACTCTCTGCGTAAGAAGCTCCTGGGTATCTTATACTTATGCCCCCTCATTTTGGACTCACTCACTCAGCAAAAGGTGGAAACAGTCTATCAATATTCTTTTTTTTATTGAATCGTTTCATAAATGCGTTCAGCACCTCAGGTATTCCATGCAGCATTGCGCGGGCTGCCCAGAGAGCAACATCTCACAGTATTGTCAGAGTTGAATTTATTTCCATTGTTTCAAGCACTCTAGGGAGATAAAATAGGGGGGACAGTTTGGAAGTGGGGGGTGGTGATGGGGGGGGGGGCGCGGGGAGACAATTCTTTAAAGCCTCTTGGTTGCGTTGCTGCAGTAGCAGCTTTCATCCAGTCTACGGTGCAAAAAATGTATTTGGTTCAGTGGCTCAACGTACAGATTTGTGACATCTAATTAATATTCATAGAACTAATTTGCATGTGATTCCAGTCCCCTGGAATTGTGCTGCACACTGGAGAGAAAATAGGCCTCACATGAATTGAGAGGTTTTAAAGGAGCCACTGCTACACACAAGTGCGCAGACACAATGCACTGTTTGTATGCTGCAAATTAGCATTGAAGAACACAAAATAAACAACACTAAACACTAGTTAGCAGCAGCATGTGTGTCAGCCTGGCTTGGTTGATGGCCCTCTCCAGTCTGTGTCAGAAGGTTGTGGATTCAAGTCCCACATCAGGACTTTGAATCCACATTCCAGACTCCAATACAATGCTGGAGGAACGCTGCATTTTGAGAGATGTGTCCTTCGGATGAGATGTTGAACCAAGGTCTCATCTGCCTGTTTAGGTGGGCGTTAAAGATCCCAGACATTATTCAGAAATAGAAGGGAGTTTCTCCAAGTGTCGTGGCCAACAATCCCCCAAATAAAATTGGTTGTTCGCTTCACGGCTGTTTGTGGGACATTGTTGTGCTCAAATTGGCTACGTGTTCACCCACAAAATACAAACAGTACATGTCACAGAAACATTGTAATGGACTTTGAGACACTCTCGACATTATAGATGCTTTATCACACGCAAGGATTATTATTCTGGTTCTTGGGGGGGGTTAACTGTGGCTTCAGAAGAGAGCGTCCTCTTCTGTGCTAACACAGAATTTCACACCATCAATCCTTTTGGCCTTGGGAAGCAAGACCTGAGAATTAAGTCTCAATTTGTGCTTGAAAGTGTGTTCAGACAACTCAAACCCATTTTGTATAGGACCTTGAACAGTTGTGAGCTGTAAAAATTCATTGTCGTAATGACAAATTCACCCTCTTTTTCATACTTCACAAAGTACCTCCATTGTTCCTAAGTTAGAATCAGACTCTTCAGCTCACTTTCCCTTCTTAACATGTGCCTTTGTACTACTGAACTGTCTCAACTCTTCTGTGCTCATTCTGGACTCCATGTTGCTCCCTCCCTCTGGTAAGGGTGACGTCTGTGGAATAGGTTGTGGCACCTTTTTTTTTTTGCCCAATTCTGCTTCGTAAACAGAAGTTTTTTTTAAAAAAATAAAATACGCTCGAGTCACATGACAGTGTTCGTGGAGCACAGCTGCGGAGTGCCAGCTGGCTGCATTAATGTCATATTTCCCACAACGCCACGCTGGTTAGAGAAATAACTGGCCAGCTCCTGATGGTGAACAAAGTACAGTCTTGGGTTGCTCCACAATGAAGCCTGAGAACAGCTGGCGGAGGAGTTTGTACTTGCACTGTTCACACACGCAGCTTTTTAAGCAGTGTTGTTTCCCCCAATGGATATTGCTCATTGAAACCCAATCACACAAGCGTCCAGGGAATTATCTTCAACCTTCCTCCTTTCCAGTAGTATTTTTATTTCCCCCCCATCGATCACTACAAATTTTAAGTTTCTTTTAAATAAAAAACGATGAAACAATTAAGCTCACATACTGTCACAGGCATGTTCTACTCAGATCTAGCCCAGTATATTGCGATCTTAATAATTTCCAAAGAAAGGAGCAATGGTGATTTAGCCATTGGTTGTAGGAAGCAGCAACATAGTTGTGGGTCTAGCTATTTCTGCACCGAACATATCTTTCATTTTCGGTGACTTTGATCTTTCTAATGTATTTGACTCTGACATTTCCTCAGCCAAATAGCCAACACAGTTCCCCTTTCCTGAAAAAAATCACCACAATAGAAAACAAATGAAAGTGACTCACTCACGCGAATGTGGAGTCTGTATTTTGAACTGGTTATAGATGTTTGTCATCGATCCACAGCTGGGTGATGAATAACATATCCGGTAAGGGTGAGGAAGTGCCAATGTTGGGTAACGTTATAGAACAATAATCTTCATCAGGAATGGAGGAAGCCTGAATAATCGACTACAGAGCATAATGAGCACAGGGACATCAAACAACATAAAAAGATAGGAATACCAAAAGACACAAGTGATTTTTCAGCAGACAAAACTGACTTCTCTTTTAAGGTGTGCTACAAGAGAGTAAATTAATAACATAACATGATTACATAGCCACAGATAGCTATGAAAATAACTATGCCCCTAACCTCTGGAACTCACTCACTCTACTTCCTCCATCTCACCCGCTCTCTATTGGTCTTTAAAATCCGCCTAAAAACCCACCTCTTCTACCGCACCTGTGGTCATTTCCCCCTTTCCCCTCCTTCTTCCCTTTCTCTCTCGCCTCCACCATTGTGATGCCCTCCAGGACTTTATCCTACGTGAAGGACGTTGCATAAATGATTTTATCAGACGCGGTATAAATCATTCCACGCAATTATCTTTGAGACTTTGTTTGCTGGGATGTGCTGGTAAAGTCATTTAGTTGGCAAACTGAGGTGTCAGGGCTGCTTCAGGCATCGTTAGTCACAACGAGACGACAGCAGTACATTACTGCAAACTCAGACAATTAATCCATTAGTTCAGTTGGGTATGAGGTAATGAATTGCTGCCTTTCTGGTGAAATACCTATTCAGTGTTTCATAGTGACACCTGTTGGCAGACATTCTGTACTACGGCCCACAAAAGAATTCCTTCCCCTCTTATAATAATTTCTACTCTCCCTGAATACCCTTACATATTGTTAGATTGTTCCCTTAGTACCTCGTCTCTCATCAGACTCTGATCGTACTCATTTGCTGTACCTGTGTGCATGTGTAATTCTTTAGTTAGTGGATGAAATGGGACACATTCACAAACTAAATGATAATTATATATACACACACACACACGCATACACAGCAAAGAGGTTTCAGCATTTGGTTATTCCCTTCAGAAATAACATCAACAAACAGAGTTGTTCTGAGGAAAGTTTTAACCTCCCCACGCTTCAAAAAAAAGCATTCTCTGAAATGTTCCTGTCAAAAGATGCCTAATATGATAAACTAACTACGTTCTAAAAAAATTAACATGGTTTTAAATTGCATAATGATAATTTTGAGGTTTTTTTTATAGTGGGATTAATACGTGTGATTTCTTTGGACTTAAATGAGCCCCCACAATGGGTTTTGTTGCTCCTTGCCCGCATTTTTCGTTCACTGCAGTTATTGTGGTTCCCAGAATACATAAATCCACGGCTGTGGATGGCTGATGCTACACTTATGAGTGAAAGGAAATGTCAGTAATGCAGACATGTCCCCGAGTTATAATTAGCTATCAATTATACCATATTGTTCAGTCAGAAACAATTACAATATCCCTCTCCCTCTGTCACTTCAAAATATACAATCAAGAACCTCCATCAAATTGTACAAGGAACGATTTTCCAGGCGATTTGTCCAAAATTTGTACAATTCAACACCATGATCAATGTGAGGTAGCACATAATAATAATAATAATCCTTGCATTTGATATAGCGCTTTTCACGTCAGGAGGACGTCCCAAAGCGCTTCACAGAACACACTGTAAAGTGAATTGACTGTATATTTGTGGTCGAACGCGGCAGCCAATTGCGCACAGCAATGTCCCACAAACAGTCGTAGATTGAAAATGACCAATTTAATTATTGTTTTTGGTTTTTTGGAGGGATTATTATTAAGCGTGTGGGGTAAGGAAACTTGCCCAAGGTTTCGCCCTGCCTGGAATTGAACTCAGGTCTCTCGCTTGCAAAGCGAGTGCTCTAACCCCCGAGCTACAGGACTCCACATGCCAGGATACTGCTCTACAGCTGATATAACCTATTCTTGAGACATCCTGTGTACTAATATTCCATTTATTCGAATACGCTTATTAAAAAAAACTATTTAAAAAAATATATTTTACCTTCAACATCTTGATCCTTTTAAAAAATAAAATCTGTTTTTCGATGGCCCTTGACAGTGCTTTGAGACGTAAATGTTACAGGCATAGATTTTCCTATGTCAGGCACTGTGTGTCAGCAGTAAGTACTCATGACGGTGTGTATGAATGGCAAGAGTATGTTGCATAAGTTTCAAAGAACCATAGATCTACACAGTGCAGACGAAGGCCATTCAGCCCATTGTGTCTACGCCGGCTCCTTTAGAGCAATCCTTTCAGTCCCATTTACCTGCCCTTTCCCCTTACTCCTGTGGTTGGCAAAATTGGCTCCAGCCACACAGTTAATAGCTAGAAAACAAAGATGAATCCAGTATTTTGCACTGATTGTAGTTTTGGATTTGTTGGAAAAACAAGAGAAACCTTCAGGTGCAGCCCTGTGTTTGCTCTAGAAGCTGTGGTTCTCTTCAAACATCCCCACAGTAATAATTACCCGTAAGTTTTGATATCTCTCTCCCTTGGTTTATATAGATGACCTCAGCCTGTGGGATTTTTTTCCAACGTCTGCACGCCCTGGAAGAAAAACCACCAAGTCGCCCAAGACAACTAAGAAACCACCAATGAGTAAACTCTGTCGCTGCTTGATTACCAGTTCTTTTTATTGTAAAGCATTGAGGAAGGGAAGCCTTGGGCTTGCAGCATTCCTAACGGTATTGTGTGGCCAGTCTAGAGGCTATGAGAAAGAAGTGAGTAGGGAAGGGGAGTGAAGGTTAGTGGGAGTACAACACCAGACCTAGTCAGTGGTTGTCACAGAGTGATATTGACATGGGCAGGGAGATAGACGTCCTGGGCTCAGGCTGGTGAGCTCTGCCCTTTCACTTAAAAGAGAAACCATAAGAACAAGCAACAGTGGCAAGTGCTTAGAAAAAAGAGGTAAGAACTGGTGGGAAAATGTAAGGGAACAAGATAAAGCAGTCTTCAAAAAGCTGAAATTGTAAGTGCCAACATTTTCCAAGACCCAGTTGTGTAACTGAGGAGAAATCTAGAGCTCCATTCATGCTTTGAGAAGCAGAAGCCGTTGGCTGTTTTTGCTGGCTTAACCGGTGGCTGTTTATGCCGTGAAGACTTGAGAGAGTCAATCTGTTAAGAAGATTGTGGGATTTACAACAGAACTTCCTAACGTACAGCTGGTGCAGTTAATCAGTCAGTCTAAGTTCCGTTGTTTGGTCAGGCGCGAGGAGGTGGTGGCAGCAACTGACAGGATAGGTTTGAGCGATGAGACGTTTGAGAAAATGCATTAATTTGCAAGCTTAAAGAAGCTGAAATAGACGAGCATTTTGGCAAAATTCCTCTGTCCATGTAAAGCTTGCTACCAACAAGGATTTAAGCACAAACCTTTTTTACTCAATGCTCTCATTTCGTTGATTCTGCAGATATCGGTGATGATGACTTCGACCTCGCAGATGCTCTTGATGACGGGAATGACAAATATAACAAAGGTGGTAAAGGTGGTAAAGGTAAGAAATACAGCAGCTACTTGCATTTACATAGTGCCCTTCATGCAGGGCTGCGCTGCACAGTGACTCAGCAAGCAAGGGGAAAGGGGGCAGGAGAGGCGACCCATGAGGGCGGTCGAAGATGTAGATTTTAAGGTGGGACTTAAAGATGAGTAAAGCGGAGACTAGACCGAGGAATTGAGGTAGGGAGTTCCAGCGGTTAGGTGTACAATGGCTCTGAAATAAAGATCAATGGTTAGAACGTAACCTCGTTACATTTTGATTGCAGTGATTTGGCAACAGATAACATAATGGGCAGCACAGGGAATAATAATATTAATGGCGGTTTAGTCAAATATTTAAAACTGGAAATCGAACGCTAAAGTACAGAGTCAACAAGTCAACATCAGATCTTAGCTTACACAGAAGCCAGCTACTGCCTCTTACCTGAAAGCTTTTGATAAAGTAGAAATCATCAAGTAATGTAAAATTCCAATTACCAGCGTCAGCATAGGTTGCGATGCACCTTCATTTTTAGGTCCCACAGATTAAATGAATTTGAAAATCAAATGTCTCTTGGTTGGTGAAGGTCCACGAGGAAAGTGTTGCCAGATTCTTGGAATTAACTGTGGATTTTATCCAGCTTAGCAAAAATTTTAAACAAACATAAAATATCCCGAGGGAAATATTGATTTGATACTGCTGTGGCCGTGTGTTTTCTGTCAAAAGCCTGACCGTGTTTTGCTCTATGAAGAAGCATGAACAAACTAGAGTCTGGAAGTACAGATTGGTGTAAATATTGCCAGTTTAGAAGATGTTAGTGGTCCCATGATGATTCTTTGTTTGTCACTTTAGTTAAATGCTTTCTATCTGTCCAACAGAGGAACCTTCAGTTCCAGGCTCCAAAGGCAAGGAGAATGGAGGTAAACAAACGGGTGAGGAGTCTGTCACCGAATAACAGGTGGAGTTTGATGAGCCAAGTATTTTCTAAGTCCAGCCAAACCCAGGCCAAGGCATCCCATTTGGTTCTCTGAGCCAGAGCTTGAGGAGATCCATGTATACACGTGTTGGTCATCCCATCATCATGAAATCGCAACTGGGAGCATGAGCATGCTCAGTAGCTATTTAAAGGTACCAGTGAGTTTACAAGAATAAAGTCTACCAGCTGCTCTCATATTGGATCAATCACTTCTAAATGGGAGTCTCCTCAGGGGAGGTTAAGGTGTTACCAGTGTATATACACACACACAGGTAGTTAGTGAATGAGTTTTGATCCTAAGCTGAAAATGTATGAATTATTGTATCACTTCAGTTAGAGCAAGACATCCTTACCATTCCCCTTTATTAATTTTATCAGCAGGACCTGTGCACACACTCAGGCTCCAGTTTTTTTTACTATCTCACAAACAAGCAGGTTAAAACAGTGGCTGTCTGACTGTTGACTTCGGCTTTCCTTTGGCTCACTCAACTTTACTCTGAATCAGGCACAGACTCCTCTCCTTGTGTTGTCTTCCTGCATTTTAACTAACCGATTGAACAGTTGGTCCTGTGCTCTTCTACCTCTGCAAACTTCTCAGTGTGAATTTAATCCAATTGGAAATACTCGGCTATTAATAGAAACATCCCTACTGGCTGAAAAATGATTTGCTTGCGATATTAATTGGCTTCAATATTTACTTATCCCAATACAATTAATAATAAAAATGACGGGGGAGGGCAGCCTTGCATGGCTATGGTGCACAAGTAGTCTGCACGGTTTACTGTATATCAAAATGGTGAAGACATTTGTGAACTACTTCAAGCAAACAAATTTCACAACAAGAAAACTTTTATATTAAGAATCTCTTTTCTCTGGATAGGCCCAACATTTACTGCAACTTCTTGTAACTGCCGTAGTCCTCCCGTAGCATTTGTGTACACAATACCACAGTGTACGAGCATCATTCTTGACATGTGTTGTGTTCTGTGTTTTCGTCAGGCTGATTGTTTCTTAGTGATCTACATGGGTGATTTATTTGACTTGTTTGTGAATGCGAAGAACTCCCAACATTGGGTGTTAATTTTGTTTATACTGTACTGAGAGACATCACACAACTCTCTAATAAATGCGCATTATAAACCGGCACTGAGGTACTGTACTGAGGTTTGAGAACACCCAAACTAACTGTGGCCCATTATCCCATGGAGTAAAACAGGGGATTCTGAGCCCAAGATGTAGCTCCAACATGATTTTCTCTTTCTGTAGGTGGATCTGACTTTTCTGATCAAGACCTTGATGATACAGTGAACGGTGGGGGTTACAATCCTGATAAGAAAAAGTCAGGTGAGCTACACGTGTGCCCGCATTATTCTATTGTAAAGTTGTGGTTCATTGAACGAATGACCAAATGTGCTCTACAGCCTCAAGAATTGGCAGATATCAAACCCTAGTCCATGTCACTGTAAGGTCTGTTATTTGGGTTTGCTGCGGGTGTCGTGAATGAGAAGCATTCACTTTATTGACTTTAGTTTGCGTGTTACCTGACTCGCTTAGTCTCACCTGGGCTCTGTTGATCTGGAAGTGCTTTGCTAGGAATGGGCTTACACCAGTCTGCTCCAATTCAGCTTCACTGGAACTGCTCCTGCAGCAGAGAATGGAACTCTTTCCTCAGTCTGTCTTATAATAATAATGATCCTTGGATTTGATATGGCATCTAAAACATCAAAGTCTGTCTTGCTCGTAATCTTAAAACAATTAAAACAGCCAGTCTCTCTCTATCTCTCTTATGCCAGGTCAGTATCAAGTCAGATAATTCTATTCGTGGGTCAGAATATCAATGAGAGCCGTTCATGAGCCAAATGGCATTTTCACTGGTATTTCGTCACAAAACTAATATAAGCAACCATTGTCTTGTATGATGTTTCTTCGGAGAATGTTTCTGTGGCACCAAATAAACACTTCAGACTTCTTTGCCTTTGTGTTTCTAGGTGGAAACACACCTTCTGATGACCAGAATCCAGGTCAGGGTAAGTAAAACTAAAACCACTTCTGATAGCATTACAGTAGCAAATCCAAACTGTACTGAGGTTTCTGAGCAACAAAACTGGCTGTTGGCCATGTGTATTATCCCTTGGAGTAAACAGGAAACTTCCATTGCAACAGTTTCAGCTGTTCCAAGCTCCCATCCTATGAATCAACACAAGTCTGAGACAAGTCTTTGCTACAGTATTTTGTTTGGTGCACTGCTGAGGCTGATTGTTTGTCCGCATGAGCCAGGAGAAGATAAGAGACCTGAAATCTGACCTAGTCTTACAGGCTAAAAACCTAAGATTGCACAGAACTGAGGAAAATTCTTAAATTGAGCACATAGTTTAGAATTCGGTTCCTTTCTGCATGCTTACATTTTGAAGAGAAGCTGATGCTGTGGGCTAAGACTAGAGGGCATTTGGGGCTAGTGAACTCTTATCAGAATACAACTTCTCTCAAGGCTCAGCAAGTTCCTAATTTCAGTTCATACAGAGAATGAGGAATGCGCACACCCTCACAGATAGTACAGGTGGGGGGGTTTGGAGGAGGAAAAGTTGCATTTAATAATAAATATCCATTACTTTCACATTAAGATTTAACTGTTAAAGGAATCATTACCAGAAAGACAAGACCAATTGAAGAAATTGTATTTTCTATCAAGTCAAAAGGTTTCAACTTTATGCCGTAATTACTGTGAAGCGTAGTGACTGTTTCGGTTCAGTTTCCTCACAATGCTTCCGTTCAGTTTGTTTAGCAGAATTTTCAGCTTGCAAGCAAAATATTCCTAATGGCACTGGGGCTTTCAGCGAGAATTCTTCAAAGGTTAAATGTTACGGATTTTGATGGATCAATAACATGACTCACCCATCTGATTGATGGAGCTCGGCAGATACAAGCTTGACTTCCTCTCTGCTTTTAAACTAGAATCCTCCATTAACACATTTATGCCATTATTAAAATAAGGCCAGGAAACAACAATGTAGCATATTTAATTATTCATGTTGAGGCATTAGGAGTCATATCCAGATTTATAATTTTAATTTTTTTTCTCTTGCACTATCAGACATGCCTCCAGCGACAATAGCTGGGATCACCAGTGGCTTGGCTGTGGCTGTGTTAGGTGCAGTCAGCAGCTTCATTGCGTATCAGAAGAAGCAATTATGCTTCAAAATACAAGGTAAGTTCTTACACGTTGACGTTAAAGTGACCAATGCTGCCACCTGCAGTTGCTGTTGGCTTTGCAATAAACATTTCATAGCTTTCCAGAACCTGTTAATTTTTTGTTGGTCAGATTTGGAAACCCCTCGCTATGCTTGAGTATTCAAACCAGAGTTCCATATGTGCGAAGCACGACTCAGCATAAAATGGCTTGGACAACAAAAGCTGTTGTAAGCTGATCAAAATTGCTGCTAATACATAAAAGGCAGAGTAGCAGAAACACGGGGTGGGAGCCAGGATAGTTTAGCCAAACAACAGATCTCTGTCTACAGAAATTAACGGTTTACAAAGCCTTGTTTATACCACACCTAGAATACTATGTTCAGTTCTGGTCACTGTGCCATAAAAACATATTAACATTGGGGGAAAAAATACAAAAAAGAGCAACGAGACTGATCCCGAATGTAACTGAAATTAGAGAAATGTAAACTTTGCAGAACTTTTGCTGCTGTGAAAGAAGGTGGTTTGACAAGTAAAACTAGATTGCATTGTAGAAGAATTCCCATTGAGTCGGACTAATTTACTTATGATTTCCTTATTAAGAAAATTACTACATATATTATATTCCAAGATAATAGAGGCTAAATATTTAGGATATTCAAAATTCAAGCAGATGTAATGGTGGGAGAATTTAATGGACAAAATGAGATCTACTCCTGGACTTTTGAGTGGAAATACAGAAATGCAAACTTATTGAATTACTAAATTATATTAGAATAGGATGAGTATGCTTTCCTTCTGTATTTGTATTCCACAGATTATGTAAAAGGAGGCAACCTTCAATCAGAACCACCAGGTGAGTACCAGTTATCAACCTCTTTGCAAACGTATTTATTTACTTGTATACTTCCACATTGGTTTATAGACTTCATTTGGACTGAAATTGAAAAAAAAATATTTTGAGCAGATCTGTTGTCTCAAGTGAAATGTACATCTCTTTTTTTAAAAAAATACTTAGCATCTATATTAACTGGCTAAAAATAATATTGAATCTCAATTCATTTATGGTGTAGCCGAATGATTCACACTGTTGTGCTTCCAGGAACTGTCTGAGTACTGCTCATTCGGGCTGTGAGGACTCTCTTCATTCACAATGAAACCATCTCTAAACCTTCCTGCTCACCTTCAACTTTTGGAACTTTCTTCACTTTCTTGCTTTTTTTCTTCAAGTCTACCTTCATCTTTTTGACCTTCTCCATCCCCAATCATCAAATTTGCTTGTTAGAAGTTGCACAGTATGTACCTTGTTGCCTTTATTCTGTAAACATTTACTCTGCCTTCTCTGTCAGCCTCAAGTCATCACCCTCATGCATGTCACATTCAGCTTTGTTAACTGATTCACTGTCAAGAGATTTGTTTTACCGCCTTTCCACTGCATTTATCATTCAAGATGACACTTCATTTCATCAACAGCTTTTTCTTTCAAGTCCCTTTCCACCTCTTACTCTTAAGTGATTGTGACTGTTCAGCCAAGAGCTGGAGAGCTCACAACCTTGGAGATAAAATGTAATATTTAGGTGAGGTTGGGAGGGAGAAACACATGCTTGAGAATAAACAAAACATACCCATCGATAACAGAATTCCCAGAATTGGATCTCCAAAGGCTTGAGATAAAGTCCACCTTATAGGTGAATGTTGGCTTGCCAACATGATATGCATTCATTCTTGTCCACCGAGTTATCTTGAGATCAGTTTTCAGTTAAATAGACACATATTTACTCAAGTAACAGCTACAGGTAGAATATGTGCAATTTTCCATTAGGAAATATGTGTTTTGAAGAAAACATTTATAGCAGAGAATGGAGAAAGGATTTCTGCACCAGTGACGTAGGATGAAGCCAAGCACTAAACCAAAACACTGATACGCATGTGGCTTCAAGCTTATTTTTGGCTTTGTTGAGGAAGCAAATTCAACCTGATTTACTGACCACTTACAAATAATTCTTATAGATCTTTGTAGTAGGTCAGCTGCGTTAAACAGGAAATGAATCTGATCCGATTAGCAGGCAGAATTTTCATTGGAGAAAAATGTGGCAAATGAAGATTCCAATGCGAGGGTACCGAGCTTTACAGTGCTTTTTTGCCAGTCACAGCAATTTCAATCGTGCGCCAATAAAGTATAATGTCAGCAAGTCTTGGGTTAAGATTATGAAGTGGAAAGAAACAAACTAAAAAGAGTTTTTGGCTGAGATCCAATTCTGTGTCCCGGATATGGTTTGGACGTGTGGGGGGGCTCTGTGACAGAAAACGATGGCTCTGTTTTTATTCTTGGAACGTAAACTGCTTCCTTTATTCAATGTGGTGGCTGACTGGTTTAAAATGTTTGTTTTTCTTTGCCACGCTCACTCACTCCCGACGGCTTCGGTGATTCTTCCTGCAGTTGAAGGAAACCTCCTCCAGACACAGTCAGCGCAGCCATCTGCAGACAGTGCCATTCAAGTCTAGCTCACAATGCTGTAAAAGGTAGCTTTTGCCTTGAAACTAACATGCTTGTAATGTTGTTCTGCTTTACCAAAAAAAATGCTACTTTTACAGAGTATGGTACCTTAAAAACGTAGATTAACATTTTTATGTTACAGAAGACAAGTCACAATTTAATAGTTCAGTTTGGGTAGGTTTCACACTCCAAAGAATGTCACAGAAGAAAGCCTTTGGTGCCAGAAACTGCTGATTGATCGGAGCATCAGTTTAGATTTTCTAGTGTGCGTAAACAAAACAAAGGATACAAGTGGATCGATTGAGTTAAGGATGTAGCACAATTATGGTGACAGCTAAGAGTGATGGGATTCTGTTGGATCCATCAGTGATGGTGGCAGGTTTGCATGTCCAAAAAGACACTTTATATATGAATTCAAAATGGTATGAATGGTAGTAACAATTACACCTGCCATTGCAAATTCTTTATCGTGGTAAAGATACCTCAGCTAACAAGGGCAATATTCAAATTGATTTGTTGCAGAAACATATTCTGGCTTGCTAAGGAATTGACGTCCCCAATATGTCCAAGCCCCCTTGACATCTGTTCAAATGTTCCAACTGTAAAACTCAGTCTGCCACCATTAGGTCAGGCAGAGCTTTAAAGGAAGTTTGAAAAAGAGGGTGTAAACACGAAAATTTAGTTAACGTGCTTCATCATTGCCTGGTAACCTCCACAAATAACTACTGGCTGATTAATACACAAAAACCTCTTCACACAGGATGAGAACCTATTGAGGAACTGTGCTGAATGCAGCTTCCTTGTAGCATTTTAATCATTCAGTGTCGGTTACACCATAAAAAAAACATTCATAGTTTAAGTGTCCTGTGGTTCAGTACTTCCTGCTTGCATTAATATCTTAACGTATTTTCACGTCCTAAGGACATAACCACTATAAAGAGTAAATTTGTACATATTAAACAAAATACTGATATACTACTTGAATCTTAAAAATGGTGATACTATAATTCTTTCTCCAAAATCTATCCACAAAACCAAACCTTATAATTCCTGAATTATTTTATATTTTTAAGAAATACGGGGTTGTTCCTCATATACATTCTTACAGCTGCAGCCTCATTAATCGGGTCATTCAGTTTTAAAGCTAAAAATTAGAATGATCGACTTTCCAAATACGGCATTTGGAAACTTCTGTCAGATATTGCAGATTGCATGTTTGGGTTAAGGAATGGTGTGCGTTTTGGGCTACAGATTGTACTTAATACACTGCTGAGATACTTGCTGCTGGCTCCATAACAGTTAGGAGCCAACGTCAGTCATGTCAGCACATATTCTTTAAACACTCCAGGCTATCTCAAACAATTAAAATATTGTAGAATTAAACTGCAGCCCTCTCTCCTCCTTCTTCCTGATTAAAACCCTTTGCACTCCTGTTTGCAACATGCCAGTTGTACAGCTGGTGGCTGCCATCACCCCATACTGCCCCCTCCCATTCCATGCCCACATCACAAAGCTGGGTATCATAGAAACACAGACATTTTCTGCACAGAAGGATGCCGTGCCAGAACAAGAACAAAAGAATTGAAGAGCGGAAGAGATCTTAAGACCCAGCGCAGTAGGAACCACCGCACACAACACATTTCATGCCTTTAAAAATAATTTACTATTTTCTTTAAACTACATTTAGGAAGCTGTAGATTGATAAAAGTCTGAGGCTTTCAAAAAACATTTAATTAACCCAGTAAGTTATCACAAACAGCACTAGCACTACACAGTATTTTCACCCACAAATATACAGTCAATTCAGTTTACAGTATATTCTGTGAGGCGCTTTGTAACGTCTAGAAGATGTGAAAAGCGCTATATCAAATGCAAGTATTATTATTTATCAACCATCTAAACAGCTCGTGATTAGTACACATCTATCTGTAGCAATGATGTATAATTCATGAACAGTTGATACAAGCACTGCAGCATTAAGTAGTAACAAGATGCAATACATAATCAGTAACGTCCTGTAATTTAGAGTCACTTATTAATTAGGTCAAATTGGTTTAATCTTTTAACTTTATTGCTCCAATGCTAGGACTGTCTGGTGAAATCTGTCGGGTGGCAGTCACCCTGTGAACCAAATCTTGTGGTTTATTGGCAACCCACACAAAGCTTGCTTCATAAGTTAACATTACAATATGGCAGCAGAGAAACTGCTGTGGGTGAACATTCACAAATAATTCTCAGTTTTAATGTGAATTTTCTTTATATAAAGTGTTATGTAGCAGGTGCCAAAATAGATTGTATTAGAAAGAGTAGCGTCCAAAATAGCACATTACAAGTGATTTTCTGATAAATCAACAGTTCAACTTCTTAATTCGATCAATAAATATCACAATCAGAGAACAGCAGTTTTGAGGGTAACTTAATCTCAGTAGCGAGGTCATTTTAAAGAAAACACTCATTCATACCTATGTTTAATTACTGTGACATTTCTCCCTCCCTCCCTAATTATGTCCAGTGGTACATGGGAAATGGTTATAAATTATACAATCAATAGATGTGCAAGGGGGAACTGGAAGTAATGCTGCAGTACAGTATATCAAGAGTTCACTCCCCACCCCTGGACAGCAACAGGCCAGTGTGAGTGAAGGAAGGGATTTGTTCTGTTTACTTACACAAATCCTCCCATGGAGTAATGCAGCTGCCTAATACTGTATAAAATTGCAAAAGAGTAGCTGTTTCTCTTAAATTACTGCACATGTACAGCACAATTCTTCACTTAGGGGAAATGGTGGAGCAATCAGGATTAAAGAGAAGATAAAATAATTTTACAGCTTTTCCACTTGCACCTTGGGGGTTTAATATAATTTTGCAATGTTATTTGAAGACTTCTTAAGGCTGTCTTGGAATATGCTGCTCAAGCACTCTGCATTGCACAAGAAAGACACACGCCATATATACACACACACACTGCAGCTGTTATAAATTATAAATTAGTAATTCACCAAAGGGATGAGGAACCAATCAAGTTTTACCAAGATAAATAAAATAGTGTAACTAACAACCCATTGAAGACTAGTGGGTATTTTGTATGTCCAAAATAGAAATAAACCTTGAATGCTTTCCATGGTATTTGGGAATATTAAAATCTTATTAAATATTAATTACTTGGGAAATTGCAAAAAAAATCAGTATTCAAAGGGTCAAAAACCTTTACAGATTATATTCTCAGCCATGCAACTTGACTACCCAATTAGTTGGGCTACACTTTCTTGTATAACTCCCGGTTAAATGCTATTTAATTTTGTTTTAAATTATCTTCTGAATATTCTTGATGGATGTATCTCACTGTTCCAGTTTGAACCCAAAGAACATAGGCGGTATAAGGTGAGGTATAAGTGTAGCATTGAACAGATGTTAAGGGAATGAATAGGAGAGAACAGTTTTAGTGGTTAACGGGTCTGGCGCAAGCAAGAACAACAGGGAACCCAAACCCCTGAAAGTCACATCTCAATCACCTAATATTGTATACAAGTCATTTTCGTTAATTTTGGCCATGATTGGATGAGTTGGCAATACTAGGACAGTCGAATTTGTCTGGACTAGAAATCAAATGGCAACATGTCACCAGAAATTACTCACTAAACTATCAAACTTCTGATGTGGAATGCACACAACAATATAACTTCCATAAAATACAGCTTGATGAAGTACCTTGTGTACAGAATGTGAGAAAATATTGCAACAAGATTGTCTGATAAATGAATATCTCACTCAGCTACCTGAACACGAGAAAAAAAATTGTACTCCAATTTAAAAATTGAAATCTGTGAATAAATATGTTTGAAGATTTATTGAATCTTTGTCACAGACTAATGCAACAGCAGTAAAGACAAAAGCCCAAAAGAAAACCAGTATTATACCCACCTTTCAGAGGTCAGGGTCACATAACAGATAACAGTCACATAACAGATAACGTCATGATTAGATTTTGGATGGTCTGAAATACTGAACACGGAAATTCTTGTACAACTCCAGATGTAATATGACTCCCCATATTATTTATTGTTTATTAAAATAATCAGTCTTTGACTTTGCACCTCAGATATTTAACAGTATAATGTACCCACGCATTGAATAAATATGACACTTGTACATAAAGGGGAAAGTCTCTGATTTCTATTTGTATCATTTTGTTTTCTATTTTATAGAAAGAGATGACACCATTTGTTGAGGATGCAATTCAGGAAGTTCATTGTTGAGGACAAGTAACTAACTCAGTGTGTTTTGGTGAAGGAATTTGTGGAATATAAATCATTTAAAATAGAAGGCATACCTCAAATGCATTGCTCTGAGGTTACACCACAAGCACCCAAAAGTTCAACATAAGTGCAGTTTTAAATATTTGCACTTCAAAAATGCATCCCTGGTTTGTTTGTAACTTGCTACACGACCTGCAATATATTAAAGTGTTATTTTTTTCTATGTACCACACAACCATTAGCCATTTGCAGTAACACTGGCAGTAAGTTCACTAGTTTCTTTTGACACTAAATGTAGACTAAAAAGCTGTGATGCAGGAGAGACAGAAGGGCGAAAACACTTTAAAAGTTCAGAAATGCTTACAGAATAAGGCTTAGCCACTGCAGCCTGAACCAGTCCAGTAACAATTTTAACAGAATATCAATACAAGGTTGGTTAAGATTTAGGATTTCAGCTTGTGGCGAATTCAAATAATTGACTTTGAATGGGTGATTTCTGTTTAGCTCACATTTGGGGCAGAGGAAACTTGGAGCACCAGAAACCAGAAGTACAGATTTGACCCTTAGCTTTGGAACATTCAAACACAAAATTCAGATACTTCTTAATACAAAGTGCACAAGTCCATACATGTGACTAATGCTGTATTGATAGATTATTGAACAGTTGGTCCTTTATCGCATGTGCTTACTAATATTCCAAAATCATTTCATCAGAAAGGGATGGCCAAGCTTTGGGTACCTGGTTAAAATCAACAATTACTACGGTATTTGGCCTCTGTTCAAAGGTCAACTCTTGTGGAGTACTGAAAGACTCAGCTTTCAAAATACACACATGTAAGACATTTACAAAAATAATTTGTGTAACACTTCATACCTGTAAATTTTAAAAGAATTGGTCAAATCTACACAGCAATCGTTCTTTTTTTAAAAAAACATTCATTATTTGAACAAAATAGTGGTCAAAAAACTTTTCACAGAAATTCTGAACCAGTTTTGCAAAGGGTTGGTGCTAAGGATCCTTTTTCATCCTCTACAGAACTGAAAGGCCTTCCCTAGTTCCATGAAGCATGTATTTTGTGTTCTATGATGCCTGCAAAATATTTTTCCGAATTCAAAACCCTGATTATTACAGAAAAGAGCAAAGGGTCCATAACAATACGCTTCTGGTGTTGCACAATTCAGAAAAATTCTACAAATCGAAAAGATTGGCTTTTTTTGTTTGTTTGTTTGTTTGGACATTTAAATCCTTCTTCGGTACTCAAAGAGTTATACAGTGGAAAAAGCCCAGAAGTGAAAACTTCAATGAACAAGAATAATAATACAACCAGACTTGGAAGACACGATTTTTTTTAAAAAAAATCTGCTTTCTACTAACTGCAAATCAAATTCTCCCAGCAACATTTCAGCTTTACACTGCAGCTCGTGTGGCTGGGATTATTATTCTTCAAAATTTGAAGGCTAAATAACTCTTACACATATGAATGCTCATCCACCCAAGCATTCAAAAACTTCTTCAGAAGCTTCCATAAAACATCTAAAATTCATTTTGCAATGGTGAGATTAACGGACTTATAAATTTGCATGGAACAAGTACAGCCATGTGAATAATGCCTATGAAAAATAAAACAGCATTTACTGTAGGAAAGAAGCTAAAATATTATTAACTTTAAAGATTTTCCCTTTTAAAAAAAACACAATTTACAGGTGACGTGATAGATGCCTGACTGATGATACTCCTACCCTAGAATTCAACATTTAGATGTCATGTATGTGAAAAAAATTCAGCAGTTCATTACTTAGGTGCAAAGCAGAGCCACCACCTGGTCCAGTCCAAAGGTTCTGTGGCCCCTTCCCGTGCCCAGGCTTATCTATCAGAGATATGTGCTTCCTATCGGCCAATTCATGGAGTGTCAATATCACACATTGTGCAAATTTGTAACGTTCTGCTCAATCTTGTGTTTGCACTGCACTGTGGATTTCCACACTGGAAAGAAGTGACTACAAAAACAGATGGGAATCCACAAGCAGCATTCCAATAAAACCAAAAATACAGAGAAGTATTGCACAAAAAATATCAAAAGGTAAACATATTTACAGCTCTCAAGTTCATGTTACAGTCTTGGCGGTTGTACCTGTGGTGAAATGGTATCAACGGACCATGGAAGGGGGAGTTTCAGACAGTAGTTTGTACAGCAGCCACTGAATGTGCAGGCGAGGATGCACTTTCAGAGGAAGATGAAAATGCCACGTTGCTGATCTCCCGCTGCAGCTCCTCCACTTTCTTCTGAAGCTCAATCCGGATGCTAAGCAACTCCTTGCAATTTTGATGAATTGGCACCTATTTGGAAGAAGAAATACAAGGAAATACAATTGTTTTGAGGATACATCTAGTGCAGCATCAAATATACCTCACCACTGTTTGGTCCTTAGATAAATAAAGTTGACCCATCATTTAAACTTGATTCTTACTTGTTTATCTCTGTATGCATAAAGGTTCACACCGTGGTTGTCATTGGAAGAAAAAGTGGAAATTTTTCCTGAAGGAAAATGTATAGTACATTTTGAAACGCATTTCTCAAAGGTTTGAAATGTGATCAAATAGAGCTGGTTTAAGAGCATAAAGGAAATTAATATCATGTGCCTCTATACTAGAATCATAGAATCACAGAATCGTACAGCACAAAAAGAGGCCATTCGGCCCATCGAGTTTGTGCCGGCTCTTTGAATAGAGCAATTAATGTCAATCCCAGGCTAAGCTGACTGTAGGCTTGTGTCATAACCAAAGGATCCTGAAAATGAAAATCACTTCCTCAAAGCACATCCCACTTAAACTGTACAGCCACAGACTGGGATTGCGGAGTAGTAAATGTACTTTTAAGAGTCAAGATCATATCAACATCACTCTCATGAATCCAGTTATTTACTGCACATTCATAAAGCCAACATTTCTCATTATATCCACAATCAAACTGCTCCATCGCTACATCTTAATGGGCTCAATTACCAAAGGACAAAATTCAAAACCAATTCATTCAATCTATTTGGCCAAGTGTATTAATAAGCGCAAATCAGCAGAATTTGAATTGCATGTAAGATTAGTTCATGCTGCTTCAGTGAGGGGAATCAGAATTTTTTCTTTAGGATAATCAGCATGGTTCATTGGAAAAATACAAGTTTTTAAATTTATAATACTTAAAATGAGTAGAGAAGAGAAAGGGGTTGGCATTGTTTGAATAACCGATGACTTGCAAATGCCTATACTTCTGTAATAAACTCTCAACATCTTCTAAAGTGTATCACCGTATTAGAAATCAATCGAAATGCACTGCTCGCGTTTTCAAGCACCACTCAATTGCTGTGAGCTGTTTTTCACACAAATCCATTCAGGTGGGTGAACGGCAACACAGTGCTAGATTCCCTTTGTAATAGTGTAATTATTACGGTGTGCAAGAGCATCACAAATCAACTCTCTAATTTACCCTCTTATTTGGCAGCACCCCAGATGGATCAGATGGTGATTGTGATCTTTCCATGTGGGAAATCTATGAGCCTCAGGTCTGTGGCACAACAGCTTAATTTGCTGTGGTGCTTGCATTACTTTCCTTCATTACTATACATTGATAATATGTTACCGTTGTGGGGCATTCTGTAAATGCAATGCACTGAAAATGCAGATTCTCTGGGCTGAGGTTGTGCAGCTGTTAAAATGCGGCCCAAGTGTGTTAGAATTGTCTGCTTCCAATGCATATGCACGAAGCACTGAACGACTCATAAATCAAGAATCAAATTACTCAAAGACAAGAAACATGTACAGTGCATTTCCATGTACTTATTAGAATCAAATGCTTGTGCGTAAAAACCTACATATGGCCTTAACCAAACTAAAAATAGTCATTTCTGATCAACACACCATGGACAAAATAAAACAGATAAAATAATAAGTAAAAAAAACAAAATAAAACAGTTGAAGTAATTCCATTATCTTTCCTGTACTTACAGTGCAAACTATCTAGAAATGTACAACTTTAATAAACAGCACTGAATTTTTTTATTTTTAGAACCATAGCAAGGAAGTACGATACTAGAAAAAAATATTTTGCATTTTTATACAATTACTTTCCTTGTACTTATGAATAGCCCAAATTCTAATGTATACATCCGGTGTATTAGAATTTGGGCTATTCATAAGTACAAGGAAAATAATTGCTTTTTGGTTCCTTCACATTTTCTTTTCAGTGTCTTATTGCTAGGCAAAAAAAAGACAATGACATTTTATTTTTTGTAGGTTTAGGCTCCAAACCCTATTAGCACCAGACAAAGCATTCACTGTAGTTTCATTCCCTATTTGCAGGAGAAGTGTATTGTGGCATGCAACTATGGAAAAAATAAGATGGAATTAATGCAGTCTGGATGTATTGGTAATTAGCTTTTCACAAGCACACTGGCTCTGCTGCATCCTGCGATACTGACTACACAGAGGTATTTTAATGGTTGTACCAATTTTAAATTTGCAGAAGGTTCATTTAAATAGAGGGGGAAAAATGCAAATAAACTGAAATTTCTTACACAGTTAATATTAGAAAATTATAACACCTACAGCTCAAACATGGAATGAATCAATGCTTCTTACATTTAAGACCAAACTTTATACTTCAATTGCAGAGGATAGCATGCACAAAGAAAACATGTACGTTGACTGACAACTTTTTATTTACATATGGCAGGGTTCCTCCTACATAAACCCAAATTGTTACCAACCTTTGTCTCACACACACCATTTATTTGAATGACTAGCAAGAAGATGGTATAACAGTCTTATAAATAAGGTGTGCAGCATAATCAACATTTAACATCTCCTTAAATTAACACGCTCCAAACAGCATGTTCAGCAGAATTTCATATTATGGCTCTCATCATCATTGTATTTCTGCCATATGCACTGAATCTGCATACTAGAACATTATATAAGAAACTGATTTAATCATCCTCATTCTGTAAGCACAGCATTATAAAATTTTCTCCCAAATATCAAGAGATAAATGTTTAGAATTTGGCTAAAAACAAAGATGAGCTGAGATTTGCACATTAATTAAACAAAGACCATTATAAAATTCCTCAGCTGTGGCAACAGGGATTCTTCCCACTCAATTCCCGTTAACTCTGCAAGTCAAAACCCTAACAGGTAGGGTCGTCTAGCTGAACAAGCAGTGGAAAACTTGCCAGACACTGCTCTCAATGGTTTGAGCTGGTTAAATTCTAACAGCACTCCCAACAGTAAAAGATAGTAACTCAAAAGTTGGGAATATAACGCTCACTCTCTTTCTTACTCTCTTCCCAGCTCACACATAAAAGCTCATCATTAACCTCAAATAGGATTCAAAAAAGAAAATTGGGAATATATTGCGAAGGTCAGAGAAAAAGTACTAGATCTAGTGTAAATAAGCCAATCCTCCAACGCTGCAGATTGGCCTGTCATTTCTAGCCATTGTTTGTTGTGTTTATTGGGGAAGGAACACAACTGTAATGTTCCTTCTCCATTAGATGTGATAAACAATGGTTAGGAAGGAATATTTTATAGTTCTCCAAAACCGTACTTTCTTCTTACCTGAGGTTTCATCCTTGGGTTCCATCTCACGTAATAACTAACCCACAGTTCCAAATGCCGTAAGCTGGCTACAGGGTAAAGCACATGATTTTCATAATTCACGTAAAATGGGTTGGTAAACTCCTCCAACTGACTGTTTATGTAAGACCAGAGAGAGTTGGTTTTCTTCTGCACCTCCTAAGGTGATCAACAATAGGAAAAATATTACAACTGGTCAAATGCTGCACTCTCTCCCTACAAGTACAAATAGTAATTCCAATATCTACAGGTCAATACTTGGCCTGAAAATTCCTATTGATGACTCTCACATATGAAATAGCACATCATGGTGGCAGAATACTGGATTGTGAAATTCACACCAACCCATCTCATATTTTACCAGGAGTTAGGTGACCTTAATGCAATCTTTTTTTCCACCAGTAGTTTCCTTACCAGGAACATGCAAATACAAGGGGGACTTCTCAGGAATTAAAAATTACTTGGATAAAACTATAGTAAGTTCAATTCTTACTGTGCTTATCCAAGATATCGCTTATACTGTTATTATCAGAGATTAACTGGAAGAATTTGATTTCAATTTAATATAACTAAGATACTTATGAATGTTAGCGCGCCTCAGAGTTAAAATGCTTCATTTACCTCATTCAGCCTTTGTTGTTCACAGTTATAAAGGAATGTCCCAAATAGGCAACTGTACAGATGATCCAGAATAGTCATCAGAAACAGCTCATTAAACTCAAAGGCTGCTGGAAACTAGGAGTAAAGTAATTGAAAAAGTACAAGATGTAAGTATAATCAGTAATGAACATCCAAGAAATAAGAAATAAATGGCAGAGTGGTGATAAAGCGTGCAAGGACTCTTTAACATATTGCAAATTCTTGCCTTTAATTCTTCACAAGTTTACTCTAACCCAACAGGGATCCATGCCCAGCAACTTGGGATGTCCTGACAACGTGAAAGGCGCTATACAAATGTAATTTCGAATTTTTTGTATTGTATACTACAACAAAGATAATCATCCTGGTTTTCAAATGACATTTTGAAGAATTTCAAGTGTTAACATTTAAAATCAGAAGGAATTCTGTAAGAGATTTTATATACTACTGGAGAACACAGATGCGGGAACCTGAGGCATACTGGGGCTGTGTAGGTATTTATGCTGCACGTCTTCACCTTTATAAGGTTACTCTGCTTTGCTACAACCGGGTATTTAATGAATGTTGCAATAAAAGAGATTCTAATAAAAGTATTCCTCCACAAAACATTTATGTTGTTTTCAAAGACAGCATTTGTACTGCTCAAAGACAACACAGCCAGATAAAACATGCTGAAGACTTTTAATTGTCCTATCTTGAATTCCTGTGATATATTCCTACCTGTCTAGTCATTTGCCACACACAATCAATGAACTGAAGGAAGATAGGCGATCTGTCAGCATCAGCGTGGTTATCATCACCGTGACCTATTCTCTGGGAAGATATTTTTAAGATTTGTAAAACACGTAACTGTTTTTAGTCATATAATTATGAAATAATAATTTCACATTTGATCTTCGAGACCAATGAGGCAATTAATTACTCACAACTGCAAATCTGTGTCCAAAGCTTAGCCACTCCTTTTCAATAAGCACCTCAAACCCCTTGATGGTTCGGTAGTAGCTGTCGAGGATAAGCATCGCCAACGATGTAAGTTGTGCAGTACGATCCCAGCCGTCACTGCAGTGAACCACGACTGATGTCTTTGCAGACTCAATTTTGTCCGCTATACGAACTGCACCTGCTAGAAGTATCTGTAACACAAGTGATAGCCAGGTAACGCACATTTTAAAGGGTTATATTTCCTAAATTGGCTCCGACAATCCATGACAAAGATTACTAGCATGTGACTTTCAAAAAATATTACATCAATCAGAAGCAATACCCAAGGCCCCAAGATTATGATGCTTCAATCTCAGAACTCTCAGTTGAATGCATCCAGAAGAAAATGACAGGAAAATTGCAGTAATAAAACTGTTTGGCACATATAAAGAAATGCCTAACAAAGTCTGTAATCCAATCTCAGGGTTCAGACAACCTGCAGAAACTGCTCAAGCTACAGTCAAAGACTTTGAGACAATTTCTGAAAATCTCAACAGAACTAGATGCTTCTAATCTACTCTGAGATATCTTTCATTTTACACACACTGTTTTGGATGCAATAACCTCTTCGCACCCCTCAAAAATAAACCCAGCATGATTAAAAACACATTTTCTCATTACCCAGACAGGAATAAACTGCAACATTAACTAATGTTTGCAAATCAACACTTCTTTAATGTGGTATATCTTTTCCCTAGGCCGGCTATAAACATTCCAAATGGATATTGTTTCCCAATTTCATTTGTATATGTCATTGGGTTATTTTAATTTGCATTTTGACATTTGTTCTGGTAATTCATTTTCATAATTTATTTTCTTACATGGGTTATAATAATAATCCTTGCATTTGATATAGCGCTTTTCACGTCTTCTCGACGTCTCAAAGCACTTCACAGAATAGACTGTAAAGTGAATTGACCGTATATTTGCGGGCGATACTCGGCAGCCAATTGCGCACAGCAGTGTCCCACAAACAGTCGTGGATTGAAAATGACCAATTTATTATTGCTTTGTTTTGGAGGGATTATTATTAGGTGTGTGGAGTAAGGAAATTTGCCCAAGGTTTTGCCCTGCTTGGAATTGAACCCAGGTGTCTCACTTGCAAGGCAAGTGCTCTAACCACTGAGCTACAGGACTCCACAAAGGGCATGAAGGCAAAGGGTCGTGTTATTTTAAATAAATTAATACAAGTTGTCTTACCCTTATATATTCTAACCAATGTGTCGTGTCTATATTTGATAGCCATTTCGCTTCATCTATAACCGGGTACACAAAATCCTTCAGTTTCCTCAAAGACTCCCTCATGACGTGGATATTATGGATTTCCAGAAAAATAAGCTCAACATTGGAATAGGCAGCTTCACTTTCATAACCTCCACCTTTTGCCTAAGAACAAATTCACAAATAATGATCAGGGGGAAACATCGCCAAGTTAGTGTTATTTGCAGAAAGAATATATTATTCCTCCCTTGCAGTTTTAATATTTATAATGCTTGTGATGATTTACTGTATGTCAGAAATCATTCCATTACTTTCTTGGCTGTGATGCAAAATTTTAGCACTCACTCTTAAATACACAAATAATTTACAATGCCTGAACATTTGACATGAATATTATAAAGCTGGGAAACTGCACATCAGTTAATGTTCCCAATCATGGATACACTTTGCAAAAAACAACATTGGAATCTGAATTTGTTGCTGTGGTTTATAATTACAAGCTCACATCACACACATCTTTAAATAAGGAAGCCATGTAAAGCAAGTGAAGTTAATTATTCTCACTGTAGCTTCTGCATTGGTCAGTAAGTACCTTATTGGTATCGGCCACACTATTTTGCCTGGCGTCAAAGATGATTAATTTATGGGATTGGGCATTGGCATCCATGATCATTTGTAAGTACTTCTCATCCTCCTTGCACGATTTATCGCTCACGCCAACCATGGGCTGGCTACATCTAGTAATTGTTGCTTGGCTTTCTGGATGAATCCATGACAATACCTATGGAAGAAGTTTAAAGAGTTTAGAAATCTCCCATTCAATACAGATCGCAAAGTAATTTGACATAAAACGATCACACAAAATAAAAAAAACAGAAACAAATACCCCTAAACTGCTTTAGACATTGACACACTAACCTACTTACTTTTCCTTTCCAACAAGATCTATCCATCAACAAGAGAAAATTTTCTTGGAAAGCAAGAAATAATTTGGCTGGAGAATGAATAATATTATTCTTGGGCTGCTGTAAATGGTGTACGTGTATAAATAACATTATTATTTCTCCCAGACCTGGTGTCAGCCATAAAACAGATCCATCAGCTTATACTCACCGGGATTCGTCCTCTCGCCCTAAATGCTACTACTTTGGAAAGATCATCGTCTTTCACATTAACTGGCACCACCAGAATTGGAGGGTACGTATCACAGAGCTCAAAGTTGCTGTTGACTTTAGTTATTGTCCAACTTTCATTAGGAATTCCCTGTAATGGAAAAGAAGTGTTAAACTTCTGTGTCATAAAAAAGTTAATAAAAAGGGTATTGGATCAGTAAAATCACACAAAAAGTTATGGGAAACTTTTCTATTACGAATCCCACGTATAACACAATTGTAATTTGAAAATGAGGAATCTCAATTAAAATTTAGCATAATTCAGATAGAAACACAGTTAAACTACATAAAATACACATGTGCTCTGCAGTTCCACAAATTGCTCACCTGTCTTTTATATTCAGCAATTGGATCATAAACTTTCCAGCCAGCAGTGGGAAAGTTTTCCTTGTACTTAAATGCAAACAGTGGCTAAAGGAGGAGCAAACAAAACAGTTTTGAGATACTGTCATTTGAAGAAATACAATGCTTGGATCTGACATGATGAAGGCTTGAACACAGACCATTTCTATCCCAGACGAGTATATAACCTAGGGTCAAGGCCTTGCATGACCCACATTTTGACAAGTTCATTGGAACTAATATTTTTTTTAAAAAAACATGCTCTTACAAGTAAAAATCCCCATGACAGCTTACCAACTTTTCATATATGGAAGCATGATTGTAAAGTCAAATTATACAGTACCTCAACTAAAGTTTCATTGAACAATTTTATTTCTTCCAAACCTATGTGCTGTGCAACTCTTATTTTATCTGAAAAAACACCAATTTTGCTTTCAAACTGGATCCTTTAACCTATATAAATTGCTGGGTCTTTTATCTGTAGATTCCTACCACCAAGTTCCAGGTTTAAACTATGCTTTGCCATTATTCTTGGCAAGGAAAATGCTATTCTTCAAGAACTAAAATGACCATTTAATTTGGGGGGGGGAGGTGGGTAAACATGCAGCCACTTATTACAAAAGCGCAACTCTGGCGATGTAGATACACGTGCTCCTGTTCACTGGGACCACAAACAATTTGTGCATAGCAATAATTCATTTAGAATTTTTTTTAACAATAAATGGTTTATTATCGAGGGCTGCTATGTCCATCACGCTTCTGTCACAATTATGTAAAAAATGTATTTGTCTGTAAAAAGGACTCACCAAGCCATGAGAGAGAGGAAACGCACATTTCGTCAGATTCTCAAATATCTCCAACTTGCCATGTTCATCCTGTTTATATGCAAACCGCAGATTTCTCATATCCTGTCAGACAGTGCAAAAATATCAGCTCTAATGATACTAGGAAGTAAAAAAAAATTAAAAAAGACTTTTATTTGACCCATTTAGGGAAATACTAACACTGAGAATGGCCGAAATAAAAATAGCAGACATGGAATATAGAGAATTGAATCCAAAAAAATAGGTTTACACCCGGTAAGGCTTTTTTGAAATATTATAATGTAAAACAATTTATCTGCACAGTAATTAACTCCAATGCCTATACTGTTGCTGCTCTTTACAATTCTCGCTTGCAAATGTGTTTGCTGTGTGGCAGGTTTCAGACATTGTGAATGGGAAACTTTACCTTGCACACAATTTCCAGTCCACAGGAATTCTCTCCATGACTTTGAACACCAGCAATCTTTTCAAGACGACTTACAACTCCAAGTGGTGCATCCAGGATAAAAGGGGGATCCTAGGTTACAAACAAAAATAAAGGTATGTACTACATTAAACAATAATCACCAACAAAGTACACAGTCACCAGACTCTAGAGTAAATCTTGTGAAGCAATATATCAATTGCAAGGATTAATATTAGGATTACCATAGGCCCTAATTTGACCTCTTTCCAAATCCCTCCACTACTTCACCTCCTCCCTCTCAACTTCAAAATTTGTATAGAAACCTACTCATTCGAACGGACCTTTGGTCACCCCACCTCCCACCCTTCTACATCAGTTTCCTATTCAGTCTTTGCAAACGGCTATAAAATGTTCTCCCTACAAGAAAAGCAAGTGCAAAGGGAAGTGCAAACTGTTGTAGTGAATATGCTCTTCAACAAATTATAGTGGGTAATGAAAATAGGTGTGAAAACATTTATTTCAGAATTTCTCTATTTAATAGAAACAGAACCAACTTACCCGCTCCGTACTTTTGAAGTATAATTTATAGTCTGAAACAGTCAGTGTTCCGCTAATAGCTCCGATGAAAGGACAGATGTATGTAACATCTTTAGCTGCAGATAAAACAAGTGTTTAAATGTAGGAAGGTTGAATTCATGTAAACAGTAAATATCTGTAAGCATCTAGGGTAATACAAAGGCATTATTTATCAGATAGCAATAGCATTGCTCTGTTTTATTACATTCAAATTAAACTATCAAATAGTAAACTTCTTCTTACTATAGATTACAAATGACCTATGAAGTTTGAATGCAAATATTATTAAATCAATGCAATTTAAAACAAATTGTAGTCATTTATCATTCAGGAATATAAAACATTAAAGTTGTGTATGTAATTATGTTTTTAAACTATTCTGCAAGTACAGTATTTCTACTCTCAAAATAAGAAAACTGATTATTTCCTGCCAGTTCGTGAGGAGAAAACATTAGTCAAACCATTGAGATTTATATCTATCTGAAGACAGCTTTCTCAATTACAATGACCACAAACATTTAGTTAGCCTTTGAGCTGCTACTCACAATCTGCTTAGGATCTAACATTTGTTGAGTATATTAGGAATAGAAATGGTAGCTAACAATGTATAATGTTGTAATTTTAAGCACAATTATCCTTTTTTCTTAAAAAATAATAAAAAATAATACATTTAAAACTGCAAGCATAGTAGGTTTTGCACTTACCAATTGCTTTGATACCTTCTCCTGGAAACAGCGGTGCCTCCTCCATTTGAGCTACTTTATTTCCATCCCTTAGTGCCTGACAATTAATCAAACCCAGTTAAGCTTACAGCCACCTGTTCATCTCACTCTAAAAGAGCAATTCCCATGTTAATCAACCAGGACACAAGTAAATTAAACATGCAGGATTTCTTTTCCAATGATCTGTTGGGCAATTTCCATAAATTCTAAATTAAATCAGCCATGTCCATATCCTTCACGGCATCTGGATTTCAAAAATACGATATGATGTTAAAACAAGCAGCTTGTCAAACAAATCAAACAGCTGCCAATCATTTTATACAGTTTCTATTATTATGCTTTAAGCTGACAAAAGACCTGGGAAAAGCAACCCTGCAACTTTGAACTACTGTTTTCTTTCTGGTAAACACTGCAAACATGCTGAACAAGAGTCCACACTTACCTTCACTTAGCAAAATGTTGTTGCCGTAGCCAAACATGATTACAATGTGCAAATCGTGCAAACTGCTAGTTACTGTATTAATATTTCTGATCTCTAGCCAGTGCGGAATTCATGCAAACTGCTGGTTACTGTAATATTCCTGATTTCTAAACCTTATCCATTTTCTGTGAATGCATTTAGTTCCAGAAACAAGGCACACTATATAGAGTAGAGATTTTGATTTATAGATTACCTAGTTATTTATTCCAATCAATCGACTTTGACTTCACTCTTCCATGCCATGAATCCAACTGAGCTGGCAAACCCCCAAAAGTATAGATGTGCCATTCACCCCTTAGCTGCATCATTGTATTTCAAAAAGGTTGTGTCAGATCAAACTAATAAATTAACATTTCTTTCCAAAAAAGTATTGTGTTGTTAAACACATTAATGGCACACACTGCACAGTCAAAACATTATTGTGAACTGTAAATTTAGTATTAGAGAAAATGTAAAACATGCACGGCAAATTTTTACTGTATTTTGGATCAGAAATGAGAGCAGTTTGCTTATAAGTTTCTAACCTTCTGCATGCAAATCATCAACTAGACTGACTTTTGGTTAGCTGTCCACTAATTTTAAAAAAACTTTCAATAAAGAGAATTATCACTTGCCAAGGAGCGTATACCCAGCTCAGGATCAGCATCAGAATGACAAGACCCATTCCGTCCATCCTGATTTTCCTGCATATCAGGGTCAGCAGAGGAAAAGCAGACGGGAAGCATGCACAAAACAGTTGAAAGGAATGTAAATCACAGTATGTCAACATGCAACACTTCAGCAAAGGGAAAAGCAAGCACACATCGTAGAGAGCCATTATATTAGAAATAATTTGTGATGCACAGACAGCAAATCAAAGGGAAAATTTAGTAAAAGTTTGAATTTTTGAAAGCAATGCAAAACCATTATAAAAGAATAAACACCTATCATCTACTGACTAAGTAAAAAAAAGTAACGTAAAACAATGTGAATGCAACACATTGAATAGTCAGGACACTGCTGCTGCTCGACTTGAAATTGCAAGCATTGTAGTAAATGCCTGTACTTTGTACTATACATTGACAAGGAATACATCAGCTGCTTTGTTTGGGAAGTTTAATATCGTACCATTTCATGTCGTTTGCACTGTTGTGCATGATGTCAGGCAGTGCTGACAATCCAAGTCTGTTTGTGGGGGAGAAAACTTTTGCTACTTTCCAAAAGTTGGAAAAAAGGCAACTACATTGTCAACAAGCTCCCAAATTGATTTGATGGCAACTTCAAGAAATAGTTGACAATAAGAAATGCATCTTCCACTTGCTGGTCTTGAGTAACCTTGCAACTTGATAGAAAATAGAATTGTGCAGATAAGTGCTGCGACTGCTGTAGAAAACCTCCATCTACATGACAGAATTATCAATCAGACAAAATGGCACATTCACAGAAATATTAGCTACGATTAAAGTTATAGAATAATTCTAAAACTAGTCAATGGAGACCTCACCATACATCAATTTCTTTTTAAGCACACTAAACTCCCCCAAATCATGGCCATAGACCCTCATGATTTCAATAGTCAGCAGCAACATGCAGATTTCTCCAATCTTCAGAAAACTTATTTAATGAACTAATGTGAAATTATTCATAGATAATCACTGCGGTCTCAAGACAAAAAGTCACCGTGCTCGACAGCATGCCATTATTACAGTAGGTTAAGAGAGAGGCAAAAACAAACCAAGTAGTAGCCCAACTACTGTTCGATATAGAATCCAGATATTCAAGACACTCTCCCAATTCACTGTCGGATATTCTGGCTTCACTCTGAAATGAGTTGCGTGAATTTACAGAGTCCTTTGCTCTGGCTCAGGTCTACTCTATTTTCTTAGAGCAATGACAAATGACAGTACTTCAACTAACCGATTTTTGTATAGTCATATAAACAGGAAATATCACCCGTTTAAAATTCCTTGTGGACTGTTTTATCATTAAAGTGTTTTATTATGTATACTAAAATGCTAGGACCACAGAAATGAATACTACAATAAAACAAAATATTAAAATGGAATTGTAAAAACTACTTTTTTTATTGCAGAAAATAAAATCGAGAAGGAATGAACTTCACCAGAAGAGTCTACATGATGTAAATCCGGCAATTTTAATTGGATTGTGAGAGTAAAGCCCAGAGGGCATAATTATGAAACGATCAGAGATTAGAAGGAATTCCTCCACCCACCCTAAACAGTATAGGAACAGGCTTCTGACAAAACAAGCCTATGTTATGTTGATGACCTCCTTGAAAAAGTATCTATTTGGGAGCTTCATTGGAGAATCAATAGATTGGTTGAGATGAACAAATACTCCAGAAGGCAAGATAATTTCTGTGCTGCCGAAGCTGGGGGAGGAGGAAGATCGGTGGTAATGAAAATATTGTTTGGGGAGGTAAGTATCCATGGTTAAACTTCCAAGAAATGTGAAGATAAGTTAACATACTTAAGTTTTAACTTGTTTACCTTTGGGGATTAGGGAGTATTTATGCATAATCTTTCGATCAAGAGATAAAGTCAGTGGGCCTGTTCCCTGCTTTTGTTCTTACACGGAGAGCCAATATATTTATTTTACAATGTCTCTTCTCATATGTTCATGACATTTTGATCCTGGGCATATACTGAAGTTACAAGTTATCTATAAAAGCCTTACTGCATAAAAAGCAGTTAGTGTATAGATTTACTCATAATCTTTATCTTTGGAAATTGTCTCTTTTTTCTAACTCCTTCACCAAATACAAAGCGTTCTGAATTAGTGGCTGGGGTCGTTTTGTAAGTGAAACTAGAGCTTTCTTTCTCATTTAAAAGATTATGCAAGCGTTAACCATTTTCTGCTTTAAGTGCATTGTCATCATATGTTGAGAAATCAACATCAATCAAAAAAGTTGAAAAAGTTTCTGGAAGCATATAGAATAAGTTTCTATCCCAACAAATATATATGCTTTCCATGCGATTTTATTATAAAAGCTTTCCATTTAAAGGAGTGCAGGTTGGTCAAGACCGATGTTAACCACTGTGTTTGGAAGAAGAATGGAACAACAAGAGGCAACCTCGACTCATCCAGTAATTACACTTCAATTTGGTACATTATAATTTTAACAAGCATTGCAAATTGCAGAATCCCCAGTTTAGTTCTGAGGGTTAAAACATCTAGAAGATGGCTCACACATTGAAAGGCCAAACACATTGAAAGCTTTGCATCAAGTACAAGAGACAAACGAGGAGAAGTCTTGTATGTTCCTAATTAATTTCATCCTTACCCTTATGTCTGGCCTTCTGTAAACCTGTCAGTTAAAATACATCAACATAAAATCAATAAAAGGAGCCAGATATTCTGGTCAAAATCATATTGTATTAAATTGGCGGACATAAATCAAATATGGGAAAAACATGAGAAAATACAAAATGAAGGCGTGAAGAAAAATAGAACCACAATGTTATGCTTCAGTCTTTTTGAATTTTCCGCTATTATTTTAAATTGACTTCAAAGTTTAGAAGATTACTCCATAGATCAAATAAGGTCAAGAATGCAACAATGTACACAAAAGCAGATAGCTGATTAGAGCACCCATTATGATCTGTCAGTAGCTTTAACACACTGGCCACCGCATGTGGTGACATGCAATGCGTTATATGTGCTCATGCCTTTAAATCACTATATGGTGAAGTCTGAAGAAGGAGTCAAATTCACTTCCAAAGATGGGAAAAAAATCAGGGACCTGTCACCCAAAGACCTCTTGAGTACCTCAAAAGTGGCCTGTGATAATGACATTGGCTGAGTCCTGGAATCAGATTTTGTACTTCCCTGATAAATAGCAGAATGCTACATGGAGTGAATGGAAAAAAATCTAAAGGCAGTGGAGAAAAAAAATCAAAGAAATAAAAATATGGAAACGTTGGCAGCAAAACTGCTGAGGTGACACAATTCCATTTAGAAAGCGTCAACACGTCGGGTCCACACTTACTGAAGTCCTCAACCTTACTACCAGTGCAAAAAAGTTCAAGTCAATTTGGAGCTGGATCACTAAGAAGAATATCCCTCTGAGGGGATTAAAAAAGGAAGAAAATCAAACCGGATTTATCTTCAATAACACACAAGAGAAAAACCCCAGAGAATAAAAATCAGAATCCATCAATTGAATTTTCAGTGCATTACCCTAATAAAGACACACAACAACATGACATTTATAGAGCCCCTTTCACGTCGGGAGGACGTCCCAAGGTGCTGGACAGTCAGGGGTCAGGACCCGAGCATGGGGGAGGGGTGGTGTAGGGGTGAGGAAAGGCAGAGAGGTGGGAGGGCGACTGAAGGCACGATCGAAGAGGAGGGTCTTGAGACTGGCCTTGAAGGTGGCAAGGGAGGAAGCGAGGCACAGGTAGGGCAGATCGGGCGGGAGACGTGGAATAGGCTGGAGCCCGCTGAACGGAGGGAGCGATAAGGAGGGAGTTTCCATAATCAAGCATAGATATGCCGAATGTGTGGGGGAGGCTTTAGGCAGCCCGAGGGGTGAGGCAGTGGCGGAGTCTGCTTCTTATTAAAAAATAATCAATGTGCTGATTGTTAAATTTAGTTTTATTTTTACAATTCCACCAATATCTGAAGTAAATTCTGAAGTTAAAATATTTTTCAAATAGCCAATTTTACTAGACATATGCACAATAGTATATTTGTGGATTGCATCAGATTCATATGACAATTGAGAAATGATAGATGTCAATCCCCATTCAATAACTGCTGATTCACTGAGACCAAGAAAAACTTCAGCTGATTGTGTGACAAGGCCTCCATTCAAATCAACTACATCTCCTCCCAGTACAGCATGGGTGTTGGCAATATTTAATGGTAACAAAGAGATTTTTCATAACATTTACAGATATAAAATACCATTTATCCACCCAGCCTTCTCTTTAATCAATACGTTGACCCACATTATCAGCTGTGTGGAAGGTTGGATGACTTCTCAAAGTGCACTTTGTCCTCTTACATAAAAATTCAATAATCCATTATCGCATAAAGTTCAAATATTTCAACACTTGGTAATAATTCACACTCAATTTTTAAAAAAGAACACTGAACACATAACACTTTATAGTACTTTCTGTTCATAGGCAGTTTATTTATTGCTTGAAAGGAAAGAAAACTTTAGAATTATTGATAGGTGCTGATAGAGCTCATTGCTCACCTCATTTATCATCAGGTTTCAATGTATTTTTATAAACTTGATTAAGACGATTCCTCCATTGAGGCCTATAGACAGTCATTTCAAGCAGTTGCTTGGGTTGCAGCTGATAAATGATCAGTGTGGAGGAAAGGAAGCAACACTTATATCTACAGTTAACTACCCTATGACTCATTACAGTAATCTTCAATTAAATTATTCATTTATTTGCTCAATTTTACTGTAGTAAAACAACAAATATTGACAGTTGGACACATACTATAGTATATGCTGCCGTATTTCTGTAAATTACTTTAAGCTCTGAAGCACGTGGTTACAAAAGGGCCATTGGGGCTTTACAACAGATTGAAGGACAAACTTCAAACAGCCTTGTTAGGATCCCAGTATTTGAGCAGAATACAAACGTTTTGCTAGACTTTGGTTAGAACCTGGTACCAAGATAGCAGTGATTTTCATGTTTGGATGGGGGAAAATATTCTCTGCAAAAGTACTTTTAGGTATGAAGCAATATTGATGCCACCCATGGAGAATATTAACAATTAAGATTTAATTCCAACTGAAGGTGAGTGGCAGCACTGGGGGTGTATAATGACTAGAAAAATATAAAAATATAAATCTATTCTTTAAAAAAAGGGTCACAATTCATTTGGAACACGTCACTTGTGTGTTTCTGGGTATTGACACGTGTGAAATACTTCTTCCCTCCCCTTTATGCAATAATTTTATAAGCTTTACACCCGCAGTTTGGTTTGATGGCTGTACAAGCACATCAATTCAGAATATGGATCGACACTCATGATTTCCCCTCACAAAGATGTTCCAATCTCTATTGGGTTGTCAGGAGAAGACTCCTCAAGGCGGCACATTGAAGAACAAAAGGCACAATGAAGAGCAAGACTCTGGCTGCTTTCACCTAAGTAACCTCCAAGATTTAGTTGCAGTAGAACTGGGATGAACTCTTCACTGAGAAATATTGCGTTATTCTGAGGGATTCTTACAAGAGACAGAGAAAAAAACGAAGGAGGAAACAATATTTTTATATATATTTAAACGAAGTACAGTACATGAGTAGATTAATAGTAGATGTAGATATAATAAGAGAACAACACTTACCCTATATTCTTTGGAGACGGATTCTGGCACTGCAGAAGTACCTGGATACTGTGTTGAAATTGTGGCAGCTATAAGTTGTTTACACCATTCAACATGAGATCCTGAAGGGCTGCATTAAAAAAAAAGGATATTTTCTCCAATCCTCCAATTGCAAATATCTCTATCTATATACTATGGGTTGAATTAGGTTTTGAAACAAATTTACTGCTCTTCTGATAAAATAATTTTTAAATTTGATATAGTCATTTTCACATCAAGAGGACATCTTAAAGCGCTTCACAAGATTTGGTATACAACAACAAAATTACATTTATATGGAGCCTTTCATGTCGAGAGGATGACCCAAAGCACTGAACAGTCAGGTGTCGGGGCCCGAACATGGGGGAGGGGGGTATAAAGTTAGTGACTGCATTTTGTAGACAAACATGCAGCCATTTTGCGCACAGCAATGTCCCACAAACAGCCATGAAATGAATGACTAATTTTATCTTTTGTTTTAAAGGTACGCTCAAGTTGAAAACACTATATGGAATCAAATCCTCTTCTGCCCTAACACGAATGCAATCAGATGTGCCTTGTCCCAAGAGATTGTAAACCTCACCCCCCCCACCCCACCCACACACACGCCCCCACCCCCATCCACCCACACAAGCACACACATCTTTCAGTTATATTTCCAATAAATCATGTAATAAGTTACAACAATCAAGATTAGGAAAAAAACAATTGGATCTACCAGTTGGTTTAAAGGCACAAATGAAAACCACCCGCTCAAAACTTTTTCGAGAGCAGAGGAAATAAAAACGACACATGTACAGATGAATCTCCCCCAATTTGTTGAAGCTTTACATCAATCTAATTTGGACTAGTTTCGATTCAGTGGCTGCTTCCTCCAAATGTTATCACGGACTTTGCGGCTTTGCGGTAACATCGCATTAAAATGTCTATACAAACGTCAACCCTCAATGACTCATAAGCCACACTTTATAAGGGTAGAAACGATGAAGCTTCTACTAAACAAAACAGCTTTATTTCTCATTGAGATTCCTAATCGATTTTTTTTTAAAAAAGTGGGGTGGTGTGTGGGGCGGGAGGGGGACAAATTCCGAATTAATGCTGAAAAGAGACATTGAGGAATCAGGAAAACACACACACACACACACACACACAAATAACAACATCTCATAAGTCGATAATAATAATAATCCTCGCATTTGATATAGCGCTTTTCACGTCGGGAGGACGCCCCAAAGTGCTTCACAGAACACACTGCAAAGTGAATTGACTGTATATGTGTGGGCGACACTCGGCAGCCAATTGCGCACAGCGGCGTCCCACAAACAGTCGTGGATTGAAAATGACCAATTTATTATTGTTTTGGGTTTCGGAGGGATTATTATTATCAGGCTCTGTGTGGAGTAAGGAAACTTGCCCACGGTTTCGCCCTCTGCCTGGAATCGAACCCAGGTCTCCCGCTTGCAAAGCGAGTGCTCTAACCACTGAGCTACAGGGGTTAGAGTGAGGGGGCTCCTGTGAATGAGATTGCTGGCTGCTGGCGCCCATGGAGCTCGGTGCCGGGAGCCCAGGTGGCGGGTGAGGTGCCGCACAATACAACACACCTCACTCCACAACGCAAAGAGTCTTCGCCTTCGTCTTCGTCACCGTTGCTCGGTGCCAGGGAAGAAGGTGATGAACTTTTTGGCTCGATACTGATGGTTGTTTTTTTTTTTGGGGGGGGGGGAGGAAGCCCAGGGCTCCTTTTCCTGGGTGCCGCCCCCCCCACCCCGGAGTTCGTGGGGGGGGGAGGAGAGGGGAGGGGCACCTTTTACAAGGTGTCAGTAGCTCAATGAACCTTTGCCCCCAGGCTCCCCCCCAGGCCCCCTCGAGGCCCCCAGGCCCCCCCCCCCCCAGGCCCCCCCTCGAGGCCCGCTCGCTGTACCTGTCCAGTGAATCCACACTCGACTGCCTGGAGCCGCTCACAAACTTGGAAGCTTTGGCCGAGGCCGCGTTCTCGGAACTGACGAACTTCTCCATGTCCTTTCCTGGCGGCGGCGACGGCGGCTGTTGTTGTTGTTATTGTCGCTGTGGAATTTCCGCCGCCCTCTCCCTCACCCGCTCTCGCTCTCGCGCTTCCAGTCACCAACAGCCGCTCCCTCCCTCCCTCCCGCCACCGCGGCAACCGTCCAGTTCAAGCGGCGGCCATGGCGTCACCTTTTCCCACAATGCCTCGCTGCACAGCCAACTGCGCCTGCGCGGCCCCTTCCCCTCCCCCCGACGCCCCGCCCCCCCTCCCATCTGACAGCTGTCACTGGGGTCTTGTTTGCAGGTGACTTCACATCAGAGGCAAAAGGCAAAAACCACTGCAGATGCGGCCTCTGAGCTGCCACTTCTGTTTTATTTATTGCACTGTAAATAATTTTTTTTTTTTTTTGGGGGGGGGGGGTTTGCTCGGTCGGTCGGCCCGGGCGTCTTTTGAGACGTGCGGAAGGCCCCGTCACCGTTGCTTACAGAGCGTCTACCCAAAGCAAACTGGGAATTCCACGCGTCCCATCCGCACGCGGAGATTCCAGAGAGAGAAAGAGAGAGCGAGAGCGAGAGAGAGAGAGATTCTTGTTCTTTTCATTCTTCAAAGATAATACACTACATTTAAAAACCCTCGTTTGGATGCGTTTAATTGCCTCGCGTCGCGGCCCGAATAGCTGCGTAATTGCTATTCAAAAGAATACAGGCACGCTGTTGAGAGTGGTACAAGGCACGGGCACGCTTAAGACTTTATAGCAAAACAAAATAAATACAGTAGGAATTTTTTTTTTTTTTAATCTTCACAACGGCCAGACAAAAACATTGCATTTGACTGTGAAAGGCAGACACTGGCATTGACAGAGATCTGTTTTACACCCGGTTAATTATAAACATCCATTTATCACGGTAATGTGTACATGACAGATGAAGTTTCCAAAAATCTTCCATTGCAAGAAACTGCCTATTCATCTTACATCATTCGTCTTTGAACGCGGCACTAATCGAGAGCATTAAATCTTAAAACTGGCTTACCTTCCCAAAATTGGTGAACATTCAGAAACTGTGGGGTGGGGGGGCAGGGGGGTGAGGGCACAACTTTGAAAATATTGGGGCATATCTTGAAAGTAATTAAAAAGCACTGGCAGCAAGATGCAAAGGTGAGTTCTGCTTTGCCCTCCAATGGCAGTCTTAAAAGTCAAGTACAGAAACAGATGAGAAAGATTCCTACGGTGTGAAACAAAACAAATATGCCCCATCTATATTTAAACCCCTAGTGTAAGGTATGATAATATTAGTACCAAAGAAAATCTATAAAGGCTGCAATTTACAGATTGTATTATAGCCAGCAACTATCGCATACCGGCTCAAGGGATGATAAATAAAAATATCAGTGTTAAATTCCACAATCTTCAATGAAATGATATACAAGGTACTTATGGTAAAAACAGAAGGCTCACTGGGGTTTAATTATGGGTTATACTCAACTCAAACTCTAAATCAACCACTGAATCTTCCACACCTGCTTAATATACTGTATCTCATCAAACTCCATGGAGCACCCTTTACAATTATAATTTACTTCTATGTTTATCCAGTTACATTTTTGTAGTTTCTAAATACATTTTTGTCAAAGTGATGACATCCATTTCAAATAAAAGGGTGTTTAATGGAGGACACACAAAGTCACAAGGCAATATATTGGAATTTTTCAAATACTTCATTTTGGTCATACTGTGTACAGCAGGTCAGCATTTCAGACCAGCAACAACCTGGAGAGACGTTTGAACACAAGGTAAGAGTTTCAATTTGGCCATGAGATACAATTTATAAATAGATTCTATAAGCATCAGCTTTAATGTAACTATTTAAATTATCACCACATATCTTTCCCTTTAATTAAGTTTTCACTAATGCTTCATTGCTCACAGATCAAAGGCCTTTCTTTGGTTACTATAACCTGCTAATTAAATGAGAAATAAGAAGTAAAAATGGTTTGCTGAGTGTTGATTTCTCTGTCATTTAGTGACTAATACTGCAAGAATGGAATGTTCTAACAATATACACCACCTTAATTATCCGAAGAACAATATTAGTGACTATCCAAATCTAACACTCGTTATGAGATATGTAAAAGTATCAAGTTTTGATCTCAAAATTTTACACTGAAGTAAAATTGCATTTTTATATTTTTAATTGAGGTAATTATTAACAGCAGGCCCAACAACACTAAAATCCTGCAAATAATTGCATGACCAGAGAATCAAGGCTGAAAACATACTTTACAACCAGATGGATCAAAATGGCACAGATCTGACTGATAAAGCATTTCATGACAAATTACCATTTACACCAATCTAAATGTTCAGGTCTGAAGCAGCTACAATTGTTTTATCCACTGGTTAAATCTGACTAATAGAATGGTGTCCTAACATCAATTTTAAATTCTGACAAGCATCTATTGATTTTAGTTTCAGATTAATGACAATTAGGCATATTTACACTCAGAACTACAACATAAACAACAAAACACAAAATTCCATTTACATCGTAACAACAAACAGATCAAATTGAAAGACAATGTAAGAGTAGATTTAAATACACATGTGCATTGCATTTAAAAGCTAGAGCAAAAACAATTCACCTGCTTGGATGAAGCATTGAACCTTAGTTACGTATAATCCCTAGACAAATACAGATCTGAACCAAAAACATTGGCCCAATGGAATAAGGTATAAATGGCAAGGACCAAGAAAATAATTGAATTCATTTAGAATAGTCCATTTGAAGCAAATTTGCTCCTGCAGGAAAACAGGCTAATATTCACATTTGAATCATTGACCTAATTCCATTGTATGTAAATTTAAGTCAGAACCGTAAATTAGAAATGTCCCTTTGTTTTGTGCTAGTCTGTTTTAAGATAATGGCAATACAGGAAGTTTCATAATAATTTCACACTTAATGGTCCTTTTGTAAAATAATATGACAATTCCTCATTTTACAACATTTGTATATGATCAAACATTGACCCAACATCATACAGAAATTTGAAAATAATAATGTCCAATAATGTAAACAGGTGTACTGCACTTTACTGAAAACATTAATCTGAATACATTGTGGGTTACCTTACAGAAATCTGCCATGTGCGTGAACCAGTAAAGTAAATATGAAGGCCAAAATTTCTGAGGACAATGCAGTTATCTTCAGATCTATTGCTATGACCCAAACTAATGGAGACCAATGATATGTAACTGCTAAAAACTTAATTATTTCTGATGTTCAAAATAAAACATTAGTTTGTGAGACCATCAACATTTGTGCAAAACGGTACATTGCACAGAATACTAGTTGTGATTAGTCTTAATGAGAACAGCTGCTGCAACAGTGGAGCTCAGGAGAATAATGAGCATTTCAAAGATATTATCTGACAATTTAGGAAATAAACTGAATTTAAATGCTGTTTAAATTCTACATAACATTTTTTCATCTTGTATGAACAATGCACAGTGGATGGGGGAAACATTCCAGCTGTTTATGCAAATTGCAGCTGAACTTAAAACTAAAATCCACTAGGAATCCAGATATTCCTAGAGTACCAGGTTATTCCTGATATATTGATACATTTAAAGAAATGTTACTCATAAAATGTGCCAGACTTCAGATTGTAAATAGGTTGATAGAAATATTGATCAAATCTTGATTCAAGTTTTCAATTTTGATAAACAAGATGACAATTAATAATGCAAAAATAACGGACCATCTATCTATATTAGCAGAAAAATACATTTTATTTTTTTAGCCTGGTGTACGTTTTGTTTGGTGCCTGCCCCGGTGCTCCATTAGTAGTACAATGTAGTACTGTCATACTACTAATTTGGCACTGCCTTCAATGTAGGAAGTAGTTTGTAATCAGCAATTTACAGTGCAAGCTACATTAACCTTCTGTTTAAAATCAGGATTTCCAGGTCAGCTCTCCAGTAAACTATACAAGCTTAATAGCTGTCCATCTGGTTTGCACTACTCACATAGATTGGAGATGAGCAATTCCAGAGATTTTTGCATTCAGTGATTAATAACATCAACATTACCACCGTTCTGCAGAGACAAGGTTTTGGAACAGGACATCATCCCTACTTAAATGGTAGCCTGCTACCATTTAAACTAAGGCACTAACATGATTTAGAATAATGTAATTTATCAAAATAGTTTTAATTAATTTCACTTTTTGCATAAAGAAGCATTATAGCATTGACTCATGCAAATAAATCCCTATCCAGATATTTCTTTAACATGCTGCAGTATAATACATATTAATTCCTCAAATAGTCTATAAAGTATTCAGTACTATAAGCATTCTGAATTCTTTGAGAATCTATGTCTTATTAGAGAGTAGTCTGCGAATGGGGTGATACTGGCACTGGAGTAGGCGAAGCCGTAGAATTGGAAATGTGTGGAAGAATTTGTCCGGGAGTTTCTGAAATTTCCAGTTCTTCTAGTCTCTTCAGTAACTGCTCTCTTACAGCCAACAACTCCTTGTAACGTTGCTGAACTGGATCATGCTGCTTAAACAGAAAGTATAGAAAAAAAACATATGGTTCATGTTTTGGGAACAATTGATTAAGATTTTACTTTTGCGTGAACAATTAATAATGCAGTTCCACTACAGTAAGTTGGTTCTTTTTAAATACCATTTTTGAGTGAATGTTCAAAACATAGTTATCCCAATAAGATTCAATGAAAATGCCAAACGAACTAGTGTTAATGTTACCAAGCAGCGAATTGCTGGTCCAGTTGTAAAACTGGCAAGAATTTTACAATAACAAGATTCCATTTATAGAGCGCCTTTCACGTCGGGAGGACGTCCCAAAGCGCTGGACAGTTGGGTCAGGACCCGAGCAGGGGGGAGATGGTCAGGGTGAGGGGAGGGAAGGGAGGGAGCGAGGAGGGGATAGAGAGTTGAGAGGGGAGCTGAAGGCACGGTCAAAGAGAAAGGTCTTGAGACCGTCCTTGAAGGAGGAAAGGGAGGAAGCAAGGCAAATGCACTGGGGGATAGAGTTCCAGAGCTTAGGGGCTGAGAGGCTGAAGGCCCGGCAACCGATGGTAGGGCGATTGGGGCAGGGGATTTGGAGCAGACCGGAGCCAGAGGAACGGAGGGTACGGGCAGGTAGATAAGGGGATACTAGGTCGGAGAGGTAGGAAGGAGCAAGGCCATGAATGGCCTTGTAGGCGAGGATGAGGATCTTGAATTCGAATTTTACATAATCACAGACATTTGTACAGAGCAATGTCCCACAAACAACCATGAGGTCTGATGCCTAGAACATTGGAAGAAACTCCCTTCTCTTTTTGAATAGTCCCATGGGATGCTGAACTTCTATCTGAATAAGCAGACATCTCAAGACCTGGGTTTTAACACCTCATCCAAAGAATTGCACCTTCAGTTATGCAACGTTCCCCCAACGCTGCAGTGTCAGCTTTTGAGCTTAATGTCCCAATGTGGGACAAACATGTGGAGTCCTGTAGCTCAGTGGTTAGAGCACTCGCCTTGCAAGCGAGACACCTGGGTTCAATTCCAGGCAGAGGGTGAAACCTTGGGCAAGTTTCCTTACTCCACACGCCTAATAATAATCCCTCCAAAAAACAAAAACAATAATAAATTGGTCATTTTCAATCCACGACTGTTTGTCGGACACTGCTGTGCGCAATTGGCTGCCACATTTCACCCACAAATATACAGTCAATTCACTTTACAGCATATTCTGTGAAGCGCTTTGAGACGTCTAGAAGACGTGAAATGCGCTATATCAAATGCAAGGATTATTATTATAACCTTCTGACTCAAGAGATTACATATCTGTAGTGTTATCTGTATGGAAGTAAAAATTAATTATCATTACCTGTCGCCTAATCCAGGGGTTCCATCTGATGTAATAATTGACCCAGAGTTCCAGGTGCCTCATGCTGGCAACTGGATACAGTACATTGTGCTGATCTTTTGTGTAGAAGGGATTGGTGTACTTCTCAAGTTCACTATTTGTATAAGACCACAAGGATACAGTTCCTTTTCTCACCTCCTTGAAGCAAAACAAACACACTTGAGTTTTAATGTAAACAGAGTTAGCATTATCACAGTTAAGCCTTTGATTTTTAAAATAATCAAACATGCAAGGGAATGAGAACACAGATGTATGGAAAGTTTTTAATAATTTCTATACTTCTCTCACACACCCTTCCCCCATGCATTCCCACTCACGTGGTTTAGAGGAATTATACAGCGGGAAATAGAAAATACCAAATTGAAGTATGGTTGGTGGGATATGTGCACTAATGGTACACAACAGTACTTTAGTGAATAAGTGAACGAGAGTCACATCACAGAACACAAACCTCCTTCAACCTTTGTTGTTCACAGTTGTAAAGGAAGGTTCCAAACCGACAGCTGTAGAGGTGATCCAGAATGGTGATCAAGAAATGCTCATTAAACTGAAAAGCTGTAGGAAACTAAAACCAGAAGATAAAGATAATGAAATGCAGATCTTTTATCTTCATTTTAGTACAATAACATAAATTTTTTTGCGCACTTCACCTAGGTTAATGTTTCAGAATGCCTCACGAAGATGGGGTCAAACGTCAACCAAGGGCTGAGTTTGCCGATTTGAAGCTGCTTGACTTTTAAAGACAGGAACCATGCACATTACACAAGGGCATCTCCTAGTGGTCAGCTAGGGAGCCATACTACAGTAAAACTCACGCAAGTCGTATCAGTCAGGATCATAACATTTAACATGACTTGTGTGAAGTCAGAGTTGCAGGCAAACTTGTACAAGTCATATAAAATTTGATTTAATCAATAATCTACACTGCGCATGTATAATTCATTGTAGTCGATAAGTATGCACGTGGTGCTTCGTCACTGGAGCTGGTAAGTGCACATGCGGTGACAGGTCAAGACTACGTTTCCCGCAATTCAATGCAGCCCGGCGGTAAGTGCGCCATACGTCAACTGGTCATGACATCATTTCTTGTGATTCATGGCAGCTGGTAAGTGCAAAAGTAATGGAGGATAAAGGAGCAGCGATACGAGTTAGATGATTAATATGACTAGTGCAAAGAAATCTAAGTGTGCTTAACAAATTCTAATGCGCAACTTTGGCATTTCAGCGAATGTAATCCTTTACCTGTTTTGTCATTTGCCACACACAGTCAATGAACTGCAAGAATATAGGAGATCTGTCCGCATCTGCATGGTTCTTATCACCGTGACCTATTCGCTGAAGAAAGTGAATCAAACGGTGTTTTGAAAAAAACATTTGATGGAGTTTGTTGAAATAAATGCATATGGTCACTGAATTAAACAGTGTATTTACATTCAGCTATTTAGAGAATAGGGATAGAGAAAGCAACCAAGAACAATATTTTACTATTCATTCTGGACTATATATAGGGAAACACTGTTATAGCAGGTCAACTGATCATATGTCTCATCAACCATGTGAATATGTAGATGAATTAAAAATGGCCAATTTGTGAGTTGTATTTTTCAAAATGCAAAATTACTGATTGTAACTGATTATAAGTAAATCAAATCCACCTTAAATATTTCAAGTGCCTTTTAGGATCAATATTTGCTCTACTTCTCATTCCGCACTTATGTTAATAGTTGAATATTAATTTTGTGACACTTCTACGTCATGAGCAATGGGAGACGAGATAAAAAGATAATATATAATGAAGATTTATTGCTACAAAAGGTCTCTGGCAGGTATCATAAACAGTCTCAAGTGTAGCAATTAGAAAAATAACTTTGAGCTGTTATAATTCAACTGTAGAAATCTTTGATATGCCTAGATAGTCACTTTCTAATAGCATCATCGGTAATGATTTATGCATATTGTAAAGTTGTATTCAGGAAAATATAATATTGTAAAATGAAGAGCATGAGGCAGTGGTAGTCAACCTTTTTGGCTGGACAACAAAATAATCCTAGGAATAACAACAGCAAAGATTTATGTCGTATATCAAGAAATTTTCAATCAGTAAATTTATTTTGTTGGCCAAACAAAGAGTGGCCACTACTGACATAAGGTGTAGATAGACATTCCATGAACCTGACTTTATTCGTTATTTACCTTCCTCTTAAAACATGTATGTTAATGATGGAATCACAAATACCTTATTTCTACAGCTATCGGTTAATATGAAGTTAAACCCCCTTTTTGTACTAAAATCACTGCTTCCTTGTCAAAACAGCCATTCTGAAATAGGATAGGGTAAGGAGATTTAGATTGTGCTCTTGACACAATTTCTCTTGACACCTCTATGTCATGAGCAATGGGAGACGAGATAAAAAGATAATCTATAATGAATATTTATTGCCACAAAAGGTCTATGGCAAGTATCATAAACATTCTTGACATGTTTCACCCACAAATATACAGTCAATTCACTTTACACTATATTCTCTGAAGCGCTTTGAGACATCTAGAAGACATGAAAAGTGCTATATCAAATGCAAGTATTACTATTATTGACCACCAGCATTCATTGCGCCTTAAGCAATGTGCATTTCAGAGACAGATGTGACAGCTTCCTACCGTGGGTCACTATATCAGATCTGGAGACAATAGAGGAAGGCAGGATTGGCTTGATTCAACATGCATTATCTTTATCATTTTTCCCCTAAATCAATCAATATGAAAACTATTTTCATAAGTAGCACCATCAGCAGAGTTGAAAGACATCCGCAATATTTTTGCATCTTACATCACAATGTAGATTTTTCTACAAATGTGCTATTTCATAAAACAATTATTCCAATTTTACACCCGTCTACCATTCATCAAAGGTCACTTCACATATGTCATCACCTCATCCTAACCCAATAGTGGCTTTTGCAAGGAAAGAAAATATATAAAATGTACGTAGCATTGGGGAACCCAGTCAAAGCATCCTTTGATAAGGCACGGCCTCACTTTTATACACCTGGGTTCCCACACTAAAATATGCCTGAGTTATCAGGTCAACGCTGATATCACTTTGCAAATAATTCATAAGTTAAGACATTTTTTCATGCCTCACTTATAACATGGTCTTTGAGAGACGCTGGATCCAGCTACTATAAAAAGTTTCCCTGTATATAGTCAGGAATGTATTGCAAAGATGTGTAGACTCGCTCAGGTTTCAAATTGTAAATGAAATTAATGTACTATTAATAAACACTATTGGGTAAAATTCAACTCCTTGTTACATCTAAAATTGTTCAATTTATCACAAGCCTCCCATATGAATGTGTACCGAGTAAATTTTACTGCAGAGGAGATATAGAATACTTTATTTTATTTGGAAAAAAATACTGAGTAAACAAACAACTTTTAGTAAATAGAAATGTAGATTGCACACAAATCCCTGAATATTGTGTCCTTCAAATCATATCTGCTTAATGGTAGTTTTGAAATTCTTACCATTGCAAATTTGTGCCCAAAACTTATCCATTCCTTTTCAATAAGAACTTCAAAACCTCTTATAGTGCGGTAGTAGCTGTCTAGCATTAGCATCGCAAGTGATGTAAGTTGTGCAGTACGATCCCAGCCATCACTGCAATGCACTAATACAGAATTTTTCCCAGATGAAACCTTGTCTGCTACTTGAATTGCTCCCGTCAGAACAAACTATAAAATAAGAAAAGTTACATCATGTATTTTCACTAAAAGTTCAAACACCTGTCATCAAGCCACTTATAAGTTAACTCTAAAGTTTTAAATAACAATCAGAAGTCTCAAAATTATTTAATAAAACTTTGACTTCAATTTCAAAGCTTCCATAAATTTTTGCTCAGCTACAACTAATTACAAACTGCAACATTCATTTTGTCATATGATTAGAACCAGACATTTGACAAAAGCTCAAGATATATAATTAGATGGCTTACAATCTTAAAGTCAAAAGTTCACTGGGACATTTATTTTATTCCCACAGTGACCGACGCGACACATAAATGTATGCAATAAATAAGCTCATTATTCCTTTCACATAATCAGTAGATCCATAACACTTCTTACCTTAATATGTTCTAACCAATGTGTTGATTCAAGACTGGAAAGCCAATGGGATTCTTCCACAGTAGGATAAACAATATCTTTTAATTTCCTCAGTGATTCCCTCATGACATGAATATTATGAATATCAAGGAAGACAAGTTCTGCTTTTTGGTAGGCATCATCACCTTCATAGCCTCCCCCTGTTGCCTGCAAAAAAAATTAAAGCTTTCTATACGAGATGGCAAAAACACACTCTTGAAATCTACAATAGATTCTATATTATCCCTTTTCTTTGGTTTATACGATTACAAACCTTATTTGCCACTGCATTGACACTTGGTCTTGCATCAAAGATGGTTAACTTCTGCGTCTGGCCATTGGATTCTCTAATAATATCAAGGTATTTTTCATCATCTTTGTTGCGTTTGCCACTCATGCCAACCAGTGGCTGACTGCAGCGAATAATAACCGCCTGATTTTCTGGATTTATCCAGGATAACACCTTAAAACAAATAAAGTCAGCAATTTTATGCAAACGAGAAAAGTATATCTGTACAATGTTTTGCATTACAGATCAGGAAATAACTAACACCCATAGAATACAACCAGTCTCTGAACTCAATTTAAAAAGATTACATTATGTCAGATATTGTAATTAGTACCATTTAATAAGGCCAATCAGGGAAGAGTACTAGGATCGCACATTTTAATAACAGGACCTTACTAAAGATTACGTTTTTTTTAAAAAAAGGATATAAAGGTTGCTTACTTTCTCATGAAGTTTTGAAAGAAAATTTGCAGTTTGAAACACAAATGGAAACTCATTATAAGGCATTGCTAATGTGGATGTTTTACTACACTCACCGGCAGCCGGGCTTTGGATCTGAAAGCTGATACTTTGCGCAGATCATCACTGTTGACATTGATTGGAACCACGAGGAATGGTGGATAAGTGTCACAAAGCTCATACTTCTGGTTTATGTTGGTGATTTTCCACTTACATTTTTCTTTGAATAACCCCTACCGGAGTGAAATACAAACAGAGTAAAGAGAAGCAATCATGAAACAATAACAAATAGCAGATTTTTTAAATTGGATAGAAAATGAGTAACAAGAGGGACGGACCATCGTTCGTTTATGCAATAAATACAGTTCAATATTTAAAAACTAAATAATTTGTTCTGAAAAGCATGATGACAACAAATGCTTGAAACAAGTGCTCCATGGAGCTGATGTGCAAATCAATTTGAGAAAAACTCTTCCCTCCCACTTTCATGGTCATCGCACAAACAGAATAAATGGCTCAGTTAATTTCAATTCATTGCTTGCATTAAGAAAACATCCAACCAGCTTCAAATATACTGTATAAAAATAGCACATTCAGAAAATGTTTGGACCCATACTGTAATTACAAACCAAGTGTATTATCTGGAATTGTAAAGGAAACTCAATTGTAGTTACGTCAGCTGACCACACGAGAATGCTAAAACACCAGGATTTTGCCTTCCGAAGCTTTAATTTAAAGGGGAAAGAAAAGGCAGGGCGAGTACTTTCTCCCAGATATTGAGGAAAATAAAATAGCTACAAAATATATCTTTATGTATAGTCAGGAATGTTCAATTTTTCTACATTGTTTCAGACTCACTTCCTCCATTCCCACCCCTGTTCCAAGTGGTGTACATTTATGGGAAAACTACACGGTTTAATGGGGAAGCTTACAATGGTATTTTTGCAAGTTGTTGACAAGTTTACTAACTAAAGGAGAATAGGATACATTTGCAATAAATAAAACACCTTATTCAGATTGGATGTAAATCATCCTTGTATTTTTAAGTTCATATATGCATTTCACCAATTTGGCTAAAATGATACTTTTGGGGATATTCAAATGATCTTCCGTCACTCTCTTACACAAACCGCACAGCCGGCTGGGTTAATGAAAATTAGGCTACAGCAGCAATTGACTGATAGGAATAAAGCCGTGAGGATGACGAATAACTCACAGTGAAATTAAGATCATATTGGTAAATAAATATAAACTATAAAACACGGTCAACCTTGAGGTATTCGTCACACCACTCACACGAAGAAACACCAGTGGTATTGAAAATAATTTCACTGATGCGGCATCACAACGATGAAATTAATATAAATTTGATTTTAAAAAATGTTGTAATGTTACTGAATGCCATCTTACTAAACATGCTTGATTGTTGAAAGATATAAAAGAATTACAAGCAGTACTACAAGTCTCACAGAACACAAGATAAATAGCAGTGGAGGAGAACCAATCATCTCAATCCATAAGGTAACTTACCTGCCTCTTAAATTCATCAATTGGTTCATAAACTTTCCAACCATCTTCATAATATTGTTCCCTATTTTCAAATGCGAAAAATTGCTGCAAGAAACAAAAAAAAGTAATGATTGGACCTAAATCTGAATATTGTGCTAATTTTTACAAGTGGCAGAGCAATTGTTTCATTTTCTAACGGGACAATTCTCAAACCTGCTGGTTAAAAGTACAAAACAGATAAGCAAACTATCACTTAGTATAAGCTTTCAACATACATTGGAATGTGCTCAGCATTTGGAGCATTCTAATTGAAGGAAGAAAAACATGGGTGACACCATCCTCCTCTTAACTTTCATCTCAAATAGTTTCAGTTGGACTTTGGCCTGGGCTGATTTGGTGGAAATATGTGAGCAGGGAGGGCGGGGAGAAACAGAATTGCCCAATAAGCTCCACACCCATTTCTACATGCAAGTAGGTTTTTTGTTCCTCTAGATTTTTCTTTTCAACTTCTTACTTGATCTACAATGAACCAGTTCTGAGGCCAGGCCAATTGTAAATGGTTATAAGGTAATTACGTTAATGTAACACCATAACTAACTACATGATCTTCCAGTGCTGATATTGACATAAAGTAACTACAAAACTTAGAATAAAACAAAACCCACAGAAAATAGAAGCTAAATCACTTTACCAATATAAACATGGAATCAGTCAGAGTATTAAATCAACCCCAGATGATAATGTACAAACCAAATACAAACCAAAGACTAGCACATTTCAAAAGTGCTGTTTCACATAGGATTTTCCAATGGAATGAGTAGAGACTAAACAAGATTTAGTTTTAAAGTCTGCCATCAACATTAAAAACATGGCGAGAGTGTGAAATTTGAACAGCTTATGGAGCAAACATTGTCCAGAAGTCAACCCTTGACCTGTTGTTACGTGCAGGTTACGTGGTATGGCAATGTTCTAATCCAATTTTCTACCCAGTTGATATTACGTTCCTTAATTATCCACAGCATTAATTAAGGAACACAATGAGTTTAGGAATTTGGCATCTTTTCCCTACCCCCAATAACCTACATTCAAATTTCAATCTTTAAAACAGATAGATATTAAATCAAAAATATTAACCAAATAGAAACAGTTCCCAGGATCAGAAACTAAGGGGTGCTTTCCATATTTTTACAAAATGCAAGGATTATTAAAACATCTGTACAGCTTTGTAACCAGCCTAGAACTGTCAGGGTGAAGACGTTGCTACATAGCACAGGAGCAGAAATTATTTCTATTACAGAATCATCAATGATACAGAATGTGAGGTAATATAGTGTGAAACAGTATGTGGTTGTGTCTCAATGGGTTTTACGGATGATCCAAAAAATGCCAATTTTGTAATTAAAACTGAACTTTGAATAACTTTGTGAAAATTTGTTTGCATATAATAAGAAACATATTACGAGAATTCTCGATTTCTTTGCATTCTATTTGCTTGTTCTGAGCTTTCAGGGGGAGAAGAGGATAGAGAGAAATTCTGCAGTAATTTTCCTCAGAAGATTAAATGAATGGGGTAAAATCCACAGTAGGGTAGATGGTCTAGAAGCAGAGTTGGCGGGCCAATATTTGTTTCATTGTATTTTTACATTCTTATCCTATGCAGTGCTCTTCTCTGAATATTTTGTCCTCGCACCACACTTCAACAACAACTTGGATTTATATAGCACCTTCCACTCCATACTGCGTCTCAGAGCGCTTTACAGTAACGGATCCCGGGACCGAGCCAGGGGGAGGGGTGGGTGGGGAGGGGAAGGTGACCAAAGGCGCGATAGAAAAGAAAGGTCTTCAGCAGAGACCTGAAAATGGGAAGGGAGGGAGCGAGACGAAGGGAGTGAGGAAGGCAGTTCCAGAGCCTCAGGGCATAGTGGCTGAAGGCATGGCTGCCAAGGGTGGAGCGGAGGACTCGGGGGACGAGGAGGCGGCCAGACCCGAGGAACGAATAGCATTTCCCCTGCAGACTAAAAGACTACGCCTGGATACAGCAGTACTGCACTGCACATGGTTATCATTTGGTTTTAATAGCAGTTCTATTTTTCTGAAGGTCAAAACTATAAAGAAAATGCATTGACAAACTTGTCAATCTGAATCTTTTGGGTCAGACCCATTGCTCCCAATAACGATTAGGCAATTGCTTTACATTTTGATTTTCCTGCTATCATAATTACCTAGCATGTTCTCCCGTAAAATATGCATGGAAATCATAACGTTTATTGACTCTTTACCCCAATTTAGGGACTAGAGGAGTCAGGTAAATGCAAGGTACTGCATGTAGGAAGTAAAAATAGAAAACATGTGTCCCATTGACTGGACATAAGTTACCACATAGGAAGTTAAAAGAGATGTAGGAGTTAGCTGCTTGCCAGAGCTAAACAGTGTAAAGCAGGAATAAACAAGGCAAAGAACAAGCCAATTTGCCAAATCAGCGGTATTCACATTGTTTTCAGTACTGTTCACAGGTATGATTGCCTGTTCCTGAGGCTGTCCAGGAGAGCAGCAAAGCTGTTACCCAGTGTTAGAGAAAGTAGATATGAGGAGATGTTATTGAGGTGTATAGGATAATAAATGGAACTGAGAAAGGAAACTCAGAACAATAATTTCAAATATCATTCCAGGCATGTCAGGGCGAAACCTTGGGCAAGTTTCCTTACTCCACACGCCTAATAATAATCCCTCCAAAACCAAAAACAATAATAAATTGGTCATTTTCAATCTACGACTGTTTGTGGGACATTGCTGTGCGCAATTGGCTGCCGCGTTCACCCACAAATATACAGTCAATTCACTTTACAGTGTGTTCTGTGAAGCGCTTTGGGACGTCCTCCCGACGTGAAAAGCGCTATATCAAATGCAAGGATTATTATTATTATTATTATTATTATATTATTATACAGGTACCAGGTCAAAAGATATAAGATCAGGATTGTGATGGTCACCATTAAATGGTGACCCCATTGGAAAGCAACTCGTTATAGCTCAAGTCCATTCACATCAAAGCATGGGTGTACTAGAAGTGCAGGATACTTCCATCTCTGACTTCCTGCGCAGAGTACAGGAGTCAACCTTGACCACCGTCACAAGCATTTCTAGCAGTCGCGAGACCGGCAGGTGTCAGAAGCAACATCAATGGTGACCTGATGATGACCCAAAAGCAGAATCGGCAGCCATATTTATATTGTGGATCTATTACAACACTAAATTTAACTTTATGGACCCAAAACACTGGGTTGAGCTGTTTAAGGCCAATACCGGGAAGTACACAGAGGGTGATCAAACGTTTTAATGGGTTACTAGGAAGGGTGGTAGAAGCCAGGACACTGGACTAAATAAAAAAAACCTGATGCTGTAATGCGAAGAAGGTAGAGTGGGTTTTCTGAAAGGGTAAGAGCAAACGGTCTACAATGCTGCAATTCATCCAAACCATTCTTGTGATTTAAAAATATCTGTTTGTTCTTTAACTAAATGGCAGAAGGAAATATACCTATATGATTTATATTGCAAGTGTAATTATATCTTTAAATACACAGTATTCCATTTCTGCAATGATTTACCCTCTGAAAAAAGGGCACCATCCAAAATAATCGTTTGCCAGGCTGAAGTTACAAAGGCCATTTTATTACAGTGGCATGCCATATCTTGTTGCTATAATCAATTTGTAATCCATGAAAAATCTCAACATACAGTAAAATCAATTTGAATATCTATAAAAAAACTTTAAGAGTTTATTAATGCATTATTTAGCACCTCACTATTAATACTTAATTTAGCAATTCATTGTGCTGCTCAAAAAAAATCATACTCCTCCCACTAAAGTTATCAGGCGCAACATTAGAGAATAATATGTAGACAAGTGCATCAGAACACATGTCAAACTTTCAAACCATGTGTAAATTCAAACCAGATTTTAACTATTCTGCTGACCAAGTCACTCTGAAGCCGGCTATGCACAGCAGGAGAATGGCAAAACAAAAGGTAGCATTGATAGAACACCTGCAAGCAGGGCTGCAGCAGTTACAATGACTTCTTCTGTTTCTTGTTCGCGGCACTGATACCTCCACTATATAATGAATCATTAAGCTGCCAACCAACAGAACAGCTTTAGCTCTCATGCTGGAAAATTATAACTTACAAAGTCAGAGCTTGGCAAGAAATGAAATGTCTTAGTTTCCCATGTGTCACAGTAATTTCTTTCGCTAAAAAACAATTTATAAACTGATTTTCTCCAATTGATCATTTTGTTATATGTTCATATCCACAAAGATTAATCATTTATTTTAGCATCTTATTCAAGAGACTGCTGAATAACTCAGTAATGAATCATAGAAGGTTTACAGCACCGAATGAGGCCTTTAGGCCAGTACTGGCTCCCACAATCGAGATGAGTATTTTATCATTATAATAATAAACCTTGCATTTGATACAGTGCCTTATCACATCACTGAGGCGTCTCAAAGTGCTTCACAGGATATAATGTAAAGTGTATTGACGGCATTTGTCAGCGAAAGCCCTGCTTTTACACTGCTGTATTCTTCACTATTATTTTTCCTCATATATTTGCTTTCAAATGCCATTAAATACTCAGTTTCAACATTTATGATGACAGGGCATCACATTCTAACAACTATCTATGTTAAAAGAAAATTCTAACCTCTCCCCTTTTTTTTCTGGTAATAATCCTTAATTTATTCCTAATTGCTGCTGACTCACCAGTAAGTGGAAATAGTTTAGATTTCCCCCTTTAACCATCTCTACTCTGATGCCAACTTTTTCAATTCTCTTCACGCTACATCCCTTGCATCGCCCTAGTGAATCTCTGCTCCATAACTGTGATGCCCTTCAGAGGCCTTTATGAAGTCCCAATCTAGAGATACAAAGAGGAAGGTCTGTAAAAAATGATGTTTGTGGAGAACAAGTTTCCATACTGGGACCAAAAGCTTTGTGGGGCTTGATGTGTTAACCATCTTTCATAAATCATTAGATCAAGGGATGTAATCCAAAGAAATTCCTACAGACAGATTAAAAGCAGATACAGCTACCGCATATGACTTCCATCTAGTAGATCTCATGGGTAGTGGTGGTCCTGGACTAAATAACAAGGCAGAAGATTTACGATCTTCAAAGGCAAGCACTCAGAGCCAAAAAGTGTAAACCAGTTCAGTTTGCTCAGTGGAATTTAAAAAATTCTGAGTATTATTCTGTATGAACTGAAGATTCATTCCCTGCGAGGCCAGTGAAGCTGTAGAGGCAATCCACCATGTTTGACAGGAATCAGGGCCATGCCCCCAGGACGGAAAAGAGGTCACACAACCAGAGTTTCCATGGCCAGTTTGGTGCAATTAACATCAAACTGGTCTTGTCACTTCTGATCAATGCCATGAACTTGGGGACCAGAAGGATTGAGATAAGTATGTACACAGGAAATTTCTCTGCCAGAGGAAGGAAATATCAGTCAGTAATAGAGCATTGTACTTTTCATTTTTGAAGAAAACAGAAAATTTCCATTCTTGCTCCCATTTTTTTTTGAAATGACAGAATTTATAGACTGCAGCGAAGGCTTCTCACATGACAGACAATTTGCCATACAAGCAAAAATAGCTGTAGATGGATGCCTAAATGTGGACTTACATGTAATGCATAAGGAAACTCACATGGTTCTTCCCTAATTTCTATTAAAGGAACAGACATTTCTCAAATATTTCCTGGTTGAGCCGACTGTCTTATGAAGTACAACAAATAAAACAGGACAGGCAATCTTTAGTGTTTTTAAAGGTACAATATAGCCTACCATGACTGAAGTGTCATTGTGTGGTCTAATATTTTCAGGGAAGAGGGAGATATATTTGCCCAACAAGCAAATAAGATCAAAACCAAACAGATAGTACTGATGGCAAGGCATATTTTTAAAAGACAAGTAAAGACATTTAATTACTAGTTATATTTAAAAACATGAATTTAAAAAACACAATGTTGCAATAACCATTGCAAGATTCACATTGAAAGCTGTTAGGATGACACCAACAACTGTGTTCTCGAGATTCTGTTGGGAACGGCACTTAGTGTACAAAACTCAACCCATTAACTAGAGAAACTGGAACAAGTTAATCTGTTTATAGAAATGGTGATAGACAAAACTATATGTGTGACTGTGTAACTAAGTAAACATAGATTGTTATGCAGTGCAAACATACATAGAAGAACTGAATTCATGCTTTAAACTTGCAAACAAATTATACTAATTTTTTAAATTGCAAATTAGACTCAGTCTACTGGCTAACAAATCTAATAGCTCAATTAAAGGAAGCTGTCCGAAAACTTTTTAAAATATGTTAGAAATCATGTGTATTCATTAAATTATAAATAATGGATTATACTATAAATCTACTTATTAGAATTTCTAATAATAGGCTAATAGAATACGAATTTATATTATTTAAGCATACATTTTGCAGCCTTCTTAAACAAAAGAATTTAAAGAACAAGTCAAATTCTGAAAACTGAAAATCATGTAAACAATGGGTTTATCTGTTTGGTAAATTAGCAACTGTAGCATTTCTGCCCACAATCAAACGTATGGTCTTTCCTGACCCTCCTGTATTACCCTTGCTTGGCCTCATTGGGAAAATGCCAATTCATTACCCATTACTGACCAAGTCCTTGGGAAAAATTCAACTGTTTAGAATCATCCCAAAGTTTTCAGAGTACTTTAACCTGTATTTTGCTAATTTTCTGAAAGAATGTGAATGAACTACTTGCAGAATCCAACCATTGCACAAACTGCATTTGAAAGCATATATTGCCTGTGCTTTAATGTACTGTGGAAGCATTTTCTTTAAGACAAATTATTAACCAAGTGATTCATTGTTACAAAGTTTTTGTGCAAGCCATGTCAAACTGGAAACCTGGGAAAATTTGCCCTGAAAATTATTTACAGTAAGCATTTGCAGCTATTCAGTCAGCCTACAATCAGAATAGAAAAATGCACAAATATTTTGAACCTAAGAAGGTCTAATCTATGCGCATCCCTCCGTGGTAACAGTAATTATCCTTGCATATGACACATTTCAAAACGCTTTGCAGGTAATTGCTGACAAGTGTAGTAGTAACAATGCATTTGTAAGCAAACATGCCAGTACACATTGCACAAAGAAAATGCCACAAGCAGTCATGATGTGAATGGCGAATTTATCTGGAGGATTGTTGGCCAGGACACCCTGAGAAACTATCTTCTCTTTTTGAATAGTGACACAGGATCTTTAACATCCACCTTAACAGGTGGAAAAATTTAAACATTAAAATACAATAAAATGTGTGATATTTAACAAGAAAATTACTCCATTTTTTTTTAAGTGGGGATTCTACAAGACAACACCTCTTTTATTTGCCAAGCTAACTTACTCCATGACATCATTAAACACAAGGCGATTAAATTCTGAAGCAGCACTGACATTGCTGACACATCAACAACATTTTAAATCTTATTGCCTGGTCTAAGAAAAACAGAAATTAGACGACCTCTTATACAAAACAGGACCTATACAAAAGCCACTAAATAGTTACATTACTTAAACTTTGTGGGAAAAGGTGCATTTATTTATTAACCTAGCCATCGACCTTATTTAGATAATCATGTCAAGTATCGCACTCCAGTCTAACCTATAAGAATGAAAAGAAGTTGCTCTATTCAGAAGGAGCAAGGTTAATAATAGACAAGAATATGGGTTTCAAGAGGGCATCGCACACTTACAGGCACCAGCTGATAGAAGCAAAAATCTATGTGAGTGATTTTTTTGGAAGATAAGCCTCAGTCGTAAGCTAAAGACATGTTAGATAATTCGCAAAACTGTCTTAATGTAAGGAAATAATCATTTCCCATTCAAACCGTCTTTAAAAGATTAGGCAGTAAGATAAAATGGAATAAAAGTAATTGGAGCCAGTATTGCTATATGTGACCATTAGTAATTACCATATTGATAGACGGTTGATAATAATACCGGTGTGATCCCTTGGTTGGGTCTCAAGGCAACCACAGTCACTTTGGGCTTGCCAGATCATGGGATACCAACTTCACTCAACACCAAAAATATCAGAGTTAAGTGGGGAGCCAATATTTCAATGGCAGCTGTGAGCAACTTTAGACCTAACCATTGCGATTCACAACTACTAACATATTACACATTGCAATTGTCATCCCATTGTCACATTATATTACCATATTTAATCATTACTGAAATGGAAACAAAAATAAAACAACTACAAATGCTACAAGTTTTATCCAGATTTGGTGACGTTGCTGCAATAATATGTAGCAATAGGATTTTCATTTTCTGGTTCATCCTACTGCACAAATGACATCAACAAATTTAAATATATAGGGTTTTTCCATTTACACTTAGTTAATCTTATAGTATGATTATTGGCAGAGGATATGAACAATGGCATTCCCTTACCAAGCCACTTGAAATAGGAAATGCATGTTTTGTTAGATTTTCGAACATGGACTTTCTGCTCCGGCCTTCCTGTTTCAGAGCAAACCTCAGGTTTCTCATATCCTGTGAACAATACATAAAAAAATACAAATAATCAGGGGAATATCCTTGTTAAGACACAGAGAAGGACTATGCTATAAAATTAATGTTTCTCGCCATGACCCTGAAAGACACAAAAACCTGGCTTTGCTGGAAAAACTCTCATATCATGATTAATTTGCTTATCAAACATGTTATGTCATAAATGATGATGCAAGGATTAAAATTAACACTAGTTAGCAAAATGGAGGCCAATACAATCATGAGTTAACATTAATGCAATCTGGAGCTGCTGTATCATGCAATACCGATTACAACAACAACAACAATAAAATGACATTTGTAAAGAGCCTTTCACGTCGGGAGGTTGTCCCAAGGCACTGAACAGTTGGGGATCAGGACCGGAGCGTGGCTGGGCGGGTTGGGATGAGGGAGTGCAGAGAAATAGGGGGGCGGTTGAAGGCATGGGCGAAAAGGAGATTTTTGAGTCCTGCCTTAAAGGAGGCAAGGGAGGGAGTAAGGCAAAGGGATTGTGGGATGGAGTTCCAAAGGGTGGGGGCAGAGAGGCTGAAAGCCCGGCCGCCGATGGTAGGGAGGGAGACATGGAGCAGGCCGGAGCCTGCTGAATGGATGGAGCGGACAGGTTGATGGGGGGGTTAGCAGGTCAGAGACGTAGGAGTTTTGCGGCATGAGGGGTCTGGCAATGTTGTGGAAGTGGGGAAGGCAGAGCGGGTCATGGCACGGATATGGGGGTGAAAGGACAATTGAGGGTCGAACAAGACGCCACCAGTTCCTGGCTGGCTTGGTGAGGTGGAGTGTGCATCCATCAATGCTGATGCTGCCACTGCCTGAGGTGAAGAGGCGTTGATGCGAGCCAAGCCGGAGGGCCTCGGCCTTACAGAAACCATCTGACGCAGCTTTTCCCAAAGAGAGCCTCCAAATATTAAATACCCACAAATGGATGTAAAGTGAAGTTAATTTTACCTTCTGTTAGATCTAAGGATTTTTAAAAAAAACACAGGTTCGTGAATTGTGTCAACTACTCAGTCGTGGTGCTCCCGGCTCAATTTCAAGGCAAATTATAATCTTGAATAATTGATGTCTTTTTATGCCTTTGAAACATCTTTTTATATCCGGAGCATAACAGCTCCTTGGGAAAGCAAAGTCAAAAGTAGCACGACACAAATATTTTTCTAGCCTAATAACGTAATTTTTATGTGATTTTGGTGCGTAAAATCAATTTGAGTACCAATACATTCAGAATGCATCAGCAATTTGTATGGATTGCAGAAAACACATTTCAAAGGAGAATTTTCAGCATGTTGCAGGGTATGGATATCAGTGCTACATAGTTGTAGGCTGTTTGTGTGGCTTGTCAGTACAAATTATTCAAGTGAACTATTGGAACGTTTTATGACATAAGGGCAGATTCCATTAGGACACTGTATCGCCTCTCGACAGATGCTATAATGAGACACATTAAATAGCCCATGGGTGACCTTTCTGGGAGTAACATAATATTTCTGCATGTCGAACATTATATTAAAAATCAAAAAACACTGCAGCTGTGCTACAAAGAGCACTATTCAACAACAACAATTCAGTCAGTTGAGGCACTGCAAGCAAATGCTGACAGTCTTCCTAATTCTATTCAAATTCCTGGCATAGCTTTGTAATAAATGTCACTTCAGCAATTCCAAAGATTTTGTTCATTGACAATACACAGTTGAGCTTTGTGGCAGGCATGTGATTAAAATGCACTGACTACAATTGCTATGAAGTGATATTTCCCAATGTTGTTAGCTAAAATGGCTAAGATGTGTCATTTAGTGTTCAGGCGAACAATCCTCCAAAATATTTGTCACGCGTTTGTGTTAAGTTCCACATGCAGCTGTGGGAAAATATCACATTCCTTACAAGTGCATTAAATATTGCTCCATTATCAGTCTGAGTAATAAATGCAATTTAAGTCAAGCTTCTGTACTTAGCTCAATACAGCAAACTAGCCATAACCGGAGTCACCAGAACATGCTGCTCATCAAACTCTGGAATTTGTTCTTTTAAATAAATACTTAGAATAATCTTAAAAATAATACATAGAATAATCCTCCATACTACACTCCAGAATGTCTTTCTACTATACCAGCCTTACTTTGCAAGTAATTTCCAGTCCATAAGAATTTTCACCTCTGCTCGATTGACCACCGATCTTTTCAACACGACTGATCACTCCAAGTGGGACATCAAGTGTCATCGTAGGATCCTGTGTATATTTTAGAAAAGATAATAGCTAATTTATACAGTCCAACACTTGCCGAAAGTTATTACTGGTGTATGAAAACAAAGAGATTACATTTGTTCTAAGGCTGCCACCAGAGAACTTCTCATCTTCCCAGCTGACTCTCTTTATCCAATTGCAAGTCAGAAAGATAATAACCAACAGATCAATCTCTGATATAATTTTTGGTGACATTATTTGTTTTATTCTTGTTATGGATCACTGGATAACATTCAAAAAAGGAATTCTGGTTTATTATTTTCCTCCACAGCTACAATCTGGCTATATCTAACTGTAAAGCACTGTGGCCGAAAAAAGCTAACTCAGTACCGAGCAGGGATCAAACCCGTGACCCTTCAGGTCAGTACGCCTCAATTTAACTCTAATCAATGGCTTTACAGACTAAGCTGTGTATTTTCATACACCAAACATGATGGTGTATGAAAATACACAGCTTATTACATTCCATATAATACTAGCAAGTGTCAATATTAAAAAAACAGGCAAGTTCCCTATCCTGATCATTATCCAACATGTATACTTGTGGAGTCCAGTGAGAACCTGGCTGTGGAACCTTCAGGATCAAATAATCTTTTAACAGTCTCTCACATGAAGAGATTTCTCTCACATTTGAGTGAGATTGTGGTCGACATCAATGCAACCATACCTCAGTATGAATCAACAACTTTAGGAGAGATAAAATAAAATTGGTAATGAATCAAACTAAACGGCAAAATATTCCTTTCCTGGTTAATGTCATTGCCAGAATATTTTTCTATTTGCTCAGAGAAGTTGAAGTGCAGATCTAATCATTACTTCCTGTGAAGAGTTGTTGGGAATACTCACTTTGGTCCACGAATGCCCTGGACGTATCCACTAGCACCCCAACACAAATTCCCCTGGGTGTTTTGCTGTCAGAATCCAACAGGGTCATTGCACAATGTATCTGTCCTCATCGTAACTACCACCATCTGTACTCTCATTAAGCTTTGAGTGTACTTTAACGCTAAAAACCCAAGGGTTAAAATAACACCACAAAGCAACATTTAACTGATTAACAAATTTAGCTGATTCAAGTTTCTATTACATCCTTAAATCCAAGATAATTATCAATAACAAGTATAACCTCCCATTTTACTATAAGGATTGCTTGTTTCTGCTATGATCAGCAAGCTTTATTATTCAGGTTTGATCACAGTCGAAGATCATCATGTTTGGCAAGATAGGAAAACCAGATTCCAACCTTTTTTTAAAAAAAGCAGATTACTGAGATATTCACTCCATTAGAGGTGATAGATATCATCACCATAACTAAACAAAAGCAGTGAACAAATATTCCAACATTAGAATTAGAGGAAATGTATTAAAGAATTTCTATTGGGTGCAACTATGTATTTTACACTGCAGCAATTCAAATGTAATCTCGGAAAACACAACAAGCCAGATGTCTCCCTTCCAGCATACATCATGTTCTTTCAATGTCAAATATCAAGGGAAATATGACTGCTCCAGAAATTCATGAGGGTAAATTAATTCATGAAGATAAGGGAGGAGGAAGATGCAGAGTGTGTTTCTCATTATCAAATTACCTTTATTAAAAGTTACTGGCAATTACACTGGATAAAGACAATCTCACCGAGAACCCACGTCTTTTTAAAGAGTTGGCTCTTCCAGGAACATCCATGTCCAAAAAAACACACGCATCCAAACAAGCCATCAACATCTCTTAAATGAAGGTTTCAAAATTAAAATGAAGAAGGACACTAGTTGTAAGTCTGACACAATCAGTTGAAATTCCTTCAGAAATGAGCTTGTAGAAAATAAAGTTAAATTTGATGTCACTGTAGCTGGAACCTATGATCCTTACAAGATTGCTGGAAATAACCGAGGTACGTAAGGGTATGATATCTGTACTTTAAAAATATTGTGGTAAAAATTCTGTTCAGTGTTAAGGGCATTGCCTTACAAAAGAATGTCTTTTTTAATGCACTTACCAATTAAAATTGCGCACCCTAAAGGCACTGCAGAAAACGCTGATCAGAATTTTTTTTTACCAACTGTAGCATATCTTAACCACACACTATTAATAGACTTTAACTACCGCACTTTAAATGCTGGTCAAATATTGTGGGACTTGTTTCTGCAATATTAATAAAACAGCAAAATTCCACTTGAATCCTCCTTAATTGTGAATACAATTATTCAATGAGAATTCTGGCGGTGAAAATGTTCTCAGATGATTTACAGTAAAAACTATCTTCACATATTAGGGAAAAATAATACTGACAACTTGGTGACTTTTCTTGTTAATGAATCAAAATTATTCTTACAAACGTTGCATTTGCTTTAATCATTGATTTGAACATTCCAGAACAAGTACTCAGCAGAAGTTTAAACATTTACAAATGCTATATAATCTCAAGATGGTCCAAGTTTGCAGCTGAATATTTGCAGGATACAGACCACTGCCGTTTAAACCACAGCAACATCATACAAAACTGCAACTTTGTCTAAATTATGAAAGCAATATTTCTTGTCCATTTCCAAACCTTTCTGCAGAAATCACAAAACAGACCTTATTTGCAACAGCGTATTCCACTTATCCAAATATTAAGGTTTCTTGCACCGACTAAGGCCTTTTTACTTAACCAAAGTCTTACAGTAACATTTGGTTTAACATCAGTAATCACTTATTTATACATTAAAAACTATCTAAATCTACATTTTAAAAAATGACAGCCTCATTTCCCCATGGCTCGGTCATTATTGGTGCAGATTTAATTTTCAGCAACTAATTGATGAATTACTCTCAATTCCTCAGTGGACCCAAGATATCTCTACTGTATTACAAGAAATCAAAGAAATCTGCTTCAATGCCACCATCAACCAATTACATGAACGATGACATCTTGGATAAGTATTTTCATGGGAGAAAATTTGTTTTTAAACAAATAGTAATCAGTCCTTACCAGTTCTATACGTCTAAAGAAAAGTCTGTAGTTTGTAATGAACACCATTCCTTTTATAGGTCCATTGAAAGGACAAATGTAGATCACATCTTTTTCTGTGAAGGAGAGGTCGGGGGGAAAAGAAAAATCAAACTAGTTACAACAAGCCATAATTTACAAAACTGGTATAACATTTCTCGTACATCGTTCAGATTTTACCATAACATATTTTCAAAATAAAACATCTTCAAACTATACACAAAGTGTTTTCACTCAGATAACAAATCCTTAAGATAGCAAAAACATTTAAGTATCACTATTACCTGGGGAAATGTCATTATTTACAAACAAAATACAATAGAATAACTTTAAAATTGACAACAACATCTTATCTACCTATACTTTTGACATCTTCTCCTTCTAATAGCGGTACTTCTTCTGTTTGATGTGCCTGAAAATAAGATAAATCCCAATTAGCCTCTTCCATTAATAAACGCCAAATTTACTAATGTCTTAAATTTACTGGTATTGGATTGTCCAAACCAATCAATAATTTCATTAGTGCATTGGCTCTACTGAAGGTATCAGTTGATTGGTAACTAGAACAGTAATTAAAAACTGTAAAATTATTTAAAAGAAGTGGCCTACCGAACATTCGCCCTCATCTGGGTTCAATCGGTGGTGTGTTTACAGGTTTTTTTTGATTCAATACTTCCTGAAAATATATTTTGTTGGCCAACTGGTAGGCTACGTAACCACTTTGTCTTACACAATGGAAGACAATTTGAAATTAAATGTTACTCACAATACATTACCTTTCTATTTGTTGATTTGGTAAGTGTAGAATTGGAATTTGTCGTTGGAGAGGATGCTGAAGCCATATTTTACTTGGATCTTCGAGGTGAAGTAAAGTCTGCTACAATAAAAAAAAGACAGCAACAGTAGTTTATGACCGCAATTTCCTGAGGTTTGCAGATAGCTCTCTTATGAAATGAAACTTTAGTATTTTCCAAATCCATTTAGATATTTAAAAGTTATATAACTATGCATCTGTATTTGTCCACAATAATTGTTTCATAAATAATTATAATGTGCTGCACAAATCTACAGTTATCTCCCTTTCAGTTCTCCAAGTAGCTCATACTTTTACACTATACAGGTATAACAAAAAAAACTGAGACATAACATTTTATATCAAAGTTGATTGTACAATACACACTGATATATTCTAGAAATAACGATGTAAAATTCTACATACATAGTAAATAATTATAACTGTTGATATAATGATTGGACTTGGACTTTTAAAATATCAAGTTGGGCATAGGTCCTCCACCACGATGAATAAGGATGCTCAAAAGGAACTTTTAAAATTCTGGAAATAAGGGTTCAGGGTGATGTAACAGATTTGTCATATATATTTTTGGAAGATGGATTAGCAGCTAGATGGACATGTCCGACTCCTACACTATGACAGTACTGTTTTCACCAGAAGTCTGTGAAGCTACAGCTGTTGATATATGAACAATATGACTCGGCGCTCTTTGTTCATGATTTGTTGATTTACTTGGTTGGAATGGAGAGGTTTTTAGATAACTTCTGAATCGAAACCAAGAAAATTAATGAATCATGGACATAAAGCATTAAGCAACCACACCGACTGAACAGCTTTACACCTCCAATTGGTAAAATTATCCTTTAAACAGCTGCAGCTATTTCAACCTTTATGCTAGAACATCCAAGTTGTAAACTGGACCATAATCAGTGTTCAGCAAGCGTCCACTAGGAATTCTTGTGTACTTCGAATAGCAACAGATGCAACTGCAAATCCAGCTACAACAACAACAAAATTACATTTATAGAGCTCCTTTCACGTCGGGAGGACGTCCCAAAGCGCTGAACAGTCGGGGCCCGAGCATGGGGGAGCGAGGCGAAGGGACTGTGGGATGGAGTTCCAGAGTGTGGGGGCAGAGAGGCTGAAAGCCCGGCCACCGACAGTAGGGCAGGTCGGGCGGGAAACACGGAGCAGGCCGGAGACCGATGAACGGAGGGAGCGGGCAGGTTGGTAGGGAGTCAGCAGGTCAGAGAGGTAGGAGGAGGCAAGGCCATGGAGGGCCTTAAAGGTGAGGACGAGAATCTTGAATTCGATCCTCTGGGGGATGGGAAGCCAGTGGAGTCAGGCGAAGGTGGGAGTGATGGGGTCATGGAGCCTGGTGCGTGAGAGTACATGAGCTGCAGAGTTTTGGATGATCTGCAGCTTGTGAGGGGTTGAGTTGGGAAGGCCGATGAGGAGGGAGTTCCCATAATCAAGCCTTGAGGTGACGAATGCATGGGTGAGGGGTTCGCCAGCCTGAGGGGTGGGGCAGTGGAGGAGTCTGGCAATATTGCGGAGGTGGTGGTAGGCAGTGCTGGTCATGGCGCGGATGTGGGGGAGAAAGGACAGTTCAGGGCCAAACAAGATACACAGGTTCCTGACTGGCTTAGTGAGGTTGAGTGTGCAGCCGTAGAGGCTATGCTGACAGTGCCTGAGTTGCGGAGGCGCTAGCACGAGCCAATCAGGAGGGCCTCGATCTTGCTGACGTTGAGTTGAAGAAAGTTGGCCCTCGTCCAGGACTTGAAGTCGGACAGGCAGTCGGTCAGGATGCCAGTAATCCTGGAGTTCAGGGTGGAGGCAGAGAGGTAGAGTTGGGTGTCATCCACAAACATGCAGAAATTTACCCCATGTCTGCGGACAATGTCACCAAGGGGGAGCATGTAGAGGGTGAAGAGGAGGGGACCGAGGACAGAACCTTGCGGGACACCGCACGAGACGGTGCGGGGGCTGGAGAATAAGCCGCTTGCCACGACGAAGTGGAGGTGGTGCGAAAGGTAGGACCTGAACCAGTCAAGGACAGAACCTTGAAGGTTGAGGTGGGAGGAGAGGCAGTGGAGGAGGATTGAGTGGTCCAAGGTGTTAAAGACGGCAGTGAGGTCGAGGAAGACGAGGATGCAGAGGGAGCCCTGGTCACACATGGTCAGGATGTCGTTATTGTTTTGGTAATAGGGTATTTTAAAACTTTCTCCAGCCCACATTATCAATTCAATAGAAGTTAGATACAAATGTGGCAAGAATAATACTTTAGCTAATAATGTTCTACAAGCATTCAAAAAAAACATACAGACAACATAACTCTGACATGCATAAAGAATCCTGCATTTGAAGTAATTCTAAAATTAATTGATTTTGTTGAAAAAAAAACATGATTTGTTTTAGTGGAGGTGACAGTGACAATGAAAGCGAAAAGATGTAATGAATGCACTTCTCTAATTTGAGTCTGAGTGAATTGTGAACCAACTTTAGAGAAGTTACAGGGAACAATGTTATTTCCTTAAAACCTATAAAGCTATTTCAATTTACTGTTGCAAACTGAACTGTTAAGAAATTAAACAGTTTATACTGACTACCATTGAAGATTGGATTTAAACACATTTTACTCAGGTAGATTAATTATTGATCCAACTTCAACCAATACTGTCCTAAAGCATTAAATTGTAGTTTTGTCTTTAGGAAAAACACCCCAGGTCACTGTACACATAAAGCAGCAATTAGCTACATATTTATAGTTGTTAGTAAACAGAATGTTTCCAAAGCCTTTATCGCTTTCATTTTTTTTAAATATCAAGAAAACAACGTCCACAAGAAAAGTTGAAATCTCAACACTGCAGTACAATAGTTTGGGGATAAAATGTTATTTGAATTAAAGATGTTGTAGTATCAACAATTTTAAAATTAGAAAAGCAGTTCTCGGGGTACTGCAGCTTGTGCAACATTTTGGAGTTAGATCAATTCTGCAATGCAAGACAGTAATTTTAAATAATCCACATTTAAAATAGCAGCTTACTTTCATTGTCATTTTCAGAAGCTTTTTTTGTACATGAAAACCAAGGACACGTTCCTTTCAAAACTACCGATTGGTCTTCCACAAACTAGTTTACAATTTAACAAAATTATTACTGTACTCACCAAAGCCAAAAATAAAGCCTCATTTCTATCCATGGACTATAAGTAAATGCTGCGAGTAAATCTCACACTTTCTAAATAGCACACGCTTGCAAATGACTATCTAGAAATACCCAAACCCAAATAAACATAACATAATACTCCAGAGTTTTTAAAACCTAACCTATCTACCCAGTCTCCCTTAGTAAATTGTGCCTTTTTTCGTTTCTTTCCCTTCTATTAAAGTAATTCATGTTGGAGTAGCGTTCTGATGATAACAGCAGCTCTGCAGTACCTTATCAAATGTATCGTCTTTCATGCTCAAGGCTAGATGACAAGCGTTAGCAAGGCTATTCAACAGTGAGTTTGGGAAGCATCAAGCTGACCTTAACTCTACCATCACAAACGCGCAGTTGCCAGCGGAACACGCTGGATGCCAATCAGCCTAGCAAGTCGCTTCTCCACCCAATCCAAGATCTGCCGCTAAATGTATCAAGTTTGCAGTTTATAGTTCAATATCAAGTAAACAATCTATTTACGTAAATTAAAATAATTCATGTTTAACAATGTGTGATTAAAAAAGCATTCAAGATACCAATACAATCAAAGTTTTAAAACTTGTTTACTTAAATCTAAACAAAGTAATCATACAATAGCCTGGTGAAACACGCATGGAAACCATATATTTATTTACCTAGCTATACTACTTCGATATTTAAATACAAAATATATTTTGAACTGATTAACATATAAACTATGCTGCATTGACATTCTTGACTTCATGTTGCTGCGACATTTTAATGCAAATTACATGCTTACTATTAACTGAATTAATCATCTAACAATGGTTTCAGGTCAAAAGGAACACTCAAGAAGACACGGTACGGCTGCAGTGCAGTTCAGAATCGAATTGTGCAAATGTGAAAAATATGAAGCAAGGATGTGTAACAAAGTATTGGACAAAAGATCAATTGATAATAATGGGCACTATCAAACCCACTTTTGAAATCTAAATATAATTTCAGTTTTGTTACTGTTGTAATAGTGTTGTATTAGTTTACAGCTTCAATGTCATTTGACATTACTCAGTTGTGTGCATTGTTGCTGTTAACTGACAGGAAACCAAATATTAAAATTATAATTAGATACCCTAAAATGAATCACACAAATTTGCATTTACTAAAAATAACATAGAGTAGTGTAATCCACATAAAACATTTATTAAAATCAAATTCCAAAACATAAAAAATAAAATTACTAACACAAATTAGGCAGCATAGGGGAAGCAAAGCCTGTGATCCTAAGGCTATTTTCTGAACAATTTTCTGAACTCTTGCACTTAAGATAATGTCCATCATTCTAAAGTTATTGCTGTTACTGCTCTTGGAATAATTCAGTACCCTGAAATAAAACTTTTTTTAAAAAAAAATTGTAGTGTGCAAAACATAGTAAAGGCCTCTGCAAAGTGATGCGAATCAACAATAACGTGTCCTCTCACAACATAACTCATTGCAAAATGTTTCAAATTTCCCAGTTTCATCCACAGAACCATGGAAAGAATAAACATTTGCACCTGCAACAATACAGTAGACCAGGAAAGTCCTAAGTTCGAACCCCGATCACAGATAACTTACTTCTCCTCAGCCTAAAACAGAAGTTGAAGCACTATAATGGTCCCAACCTCCACTCCCCTGTCCTCTCTCCCATGGTTGAACAAATGACAGCATTTACAATCAAATCACTTGAATAATAAACACTTGGAGGAAATACTGGAGTTTGGTTGATTAGTGCTGGAAGCACGGAACACGGGAGGAAATGAACACAAAGCGGGAGGGAAGAGATAAATGCCTTCAGGAAAGTAGGGCAGAAAATATGGCATAATTTTGTTCATCAGTTTAATGACAAGGACGCACACTGTGATGATCTTTCATCTACATTTCAGTTTCACTCCTAGCTTTGAACTAAGTGTTTGCTGAGCAGCAACAGATAACCCCACGTCGAAACTGAATGACACTTGGGACAGTTAAAACTGGGTTTAAATGAAAGTGGGGGCTCGACCAGACTTTTTTTTCCGCTCCTGAGATGAAGGATCACTTTTGAAAACAGACAAAACCTGTTGGAACGGGCAAACTGGAACCAGCAACAAGCTCACAATGTCATTCACATGACAAAAAGAGGAGCATTAACACCACGCCCTGACCAGTGGTGAGATGAGCCTCGGGTTATTGGCACACAAAACGTCATTGTTACCTTACTATCCAGTGGGTCTGTGCGTTGCATGTATGACATATAACATCATAGGGTTTTGCTTCTCATGTTTTGCTCTCTTTCGTACTTAACTGCAGTGGGGGGCAACTAACGAGCGCTTCACTGAGAGCCCCTCCCCCACTTAAATAAAGCACACCGCCCGTGTCTCCTGCTGCCACAGATGGGTGGGCAGTGTGGCTCGAAAGACCCGGGAGCGACCACGAAGGCACACACACGCTGGACCAGGGGAGGGGGAGGTGGGGGAAAAAAAAAAGCCCATCGCAACGTAAAAGAGTGTTTGTGTTCAGGCCACCGGGAAACCACTGTGTTTCTGGGCGCATGAAGTTCTGAGAAATCCTGCGCTGAAACGTGGGAGGTGGGGGGGGGAGAGAGAGAGGAGAGGGGGGGAAGGGAGAGGAGGAAAAGGGGGACGAGGGGAGGGGAGAGGAAAGGGGGAGAGGGGGAGAGGAAAGGGGGAGAGGGGGAGAGGAAAGGGGGTTAGAAATGCCAATGAAGTGCGTGTAACTTCGCACCGGAGCTTGAAGCGCTTCCGACATAACGAAGCGGTCCTTACCCGCCCCGACTCGAAACTGCTGCGCAACTTTGACACCTGCCCAACATACCACCGGGAGGAAGAGGAGAGGAGGAGGGAGAGAGTGAGTGAGTGTGTGTGTGTGTGTGAGAGAGGGAGGGAGAGAGTGAGTCAGAGGAGCAGCTCAGGCCTCGCCCTGAGCTCCACAACAACTTGACCAACACACAGTTAACACCGGAACCGCAGCCCTCCCCCCGAACGAACAAAAAATAAAACATCAGTTGCACAAGTGCCGTGAAGGTGTGGGGGATGGGCTCGTGAGGAGAAATGAAAAGGAGACGGTACTTACGCCTCTCAACGTCCCGCAGGCCCGGAACCTCCCGCCTCCGCCTGTTGCTGTCCCGCAGCCGCCGCCGCCGCCTCCTCACGTGACCCTCCCACGCGCATAAACAACGAGCGCCGTCAGACGGCCGGCGAGAAGGCGCACGCACGCACGACGTGACGTGCGTGACGTGACGTGACCGCGCGGAACCCTGGGGGATGTAGTCCTGCCACAAGCAGCTGGGGACCAAGGGGCAAGGGCAAGGGGCAGGGGCACAGCAAGTGGGAGGGTCATTCATTCATCCCGTCCAGCCTCTTCCAGATGATGACCAGCTCTTCTCCCATCACCTTCGAAGCGCTTCGAGGCAACACCAATTCTACCTGCATCGCGCCTTTCAACAACAACAACACCAACAACAACAACCACGTGCGCCCTCCGCGCAAGGTAGCGGCACGGAGCGCTTCGCAGTGGCGGAGCCCGACTTCGAGGGGCGGGGGCGGGGTGGGGGAAGGTGGCCGTAAGCACGATCGAAGAGGAAGGTTTTTCAGGCGGGACTTGAAAAAGGGGAGAGAGGGGCCAAGGCAGAGGGACTGAGGGAGAGTGTTTCAGAGTCTCGGGGCGCAGTGGCCGAAATAGTGACCGCCCAATGGTGGGGCGGAGGATGTGAGGGACCAGCAGGAGGCTCCTTTCACGTCAGGAGGACATCCCAAGGCACTGGACCCGAGCTGGGGGTCGGGATCGGGGAGGAATCCCCCCTGACGTAAAAGTGCTGTACCAAATGCAAGGATTATTATTATTATTTTCCCACACTCTTGTTTCCGAAGAGCTGGAAACTGGGACATTCTTATCACAGGAAACAGTGAAATAAATGGAGTGGCAGAGGAGGAAACAGGATTACAAATGATGCAAACAACGATGCAGCCAGAAGAGCCTCAGCAGCTTTCAAATATCATTCAAAAAAAATTAACGGAAAAATGTTTAAATCATATCTATTCTCCTTATTAAAAAAAAAGGTGGCTTTGAGAAATTGCTGAGCCTGGCAGTGTGAGCTACTACCGTCAACCATTTACTCAAGGTTCAGCAATCATGCCATTTCAACTTTATAATTATGCTAATTCAGCTCCCTTGCATTGTTGGGTTCATCAAGCCGACGTTGCCAGCAGTGTGACCTGCAGCAAGTTTTTCTAACGTTTTCGAAGCATGTGAGCAAGTGATTGTACTATATTTGAACACATAAAACGAGGGAGAACATATTTTAATATATAGCACACAACTATCACAATAATGTTCCAGGGATCAAATCGGAATGATTAATAAATTCTGTGTGTCTATGTAAAATTCTGTAATGACTAATCTGTTCAGTCAGTACTTACATCATTCGGAGCTGCAACAAATCTTTAAAAAAAGGCTGCACAGATTCATACTCTCGCCTACTCTTCATCAGTCAGAGATCATCAGTGGAAGCATTTGATTCATAACCGAGTGAGTGCAACAGAATTGCTGCAAGGTTTTTAATTACATATCTTTGATTTATTAGAGTGAACACTCTGTGATCGCTTCCCATGTTCACCCACGCCTCCTATGTCAAATCCTATTTTCTCTCGTTTCAGGTTGGAAGAGTCAACTTTACACCTAATGATATCTTCATTACTGAGGTATTTTTCCACAAGTGTGGAACTATGAATGAATGAACATATATTACTGTTGTAAGGTTGTCTTTACACATGTTTGCCTCCCTTTAGAACAATTCCTGAATGAGACCTGCTCTGCTGTGTATTGCTGGTGACATTGTGACCTGGAACCCAGTCAGACAGCTCCAGGCTCCAGCACCATTTTTTCCATGGTTATTATCCCCATGGGACTAAAGAAAAGAGAACATCTCCCACAGTGATTTGATACACTGACTCTCAAAAGAGCAGCTGAACAAGGGGATGATCCAGAAAATTAGAACCCAAAAAACAAAGCTCCCATCTACCCAGATATCTATCTGAGTATTGATTCAGAGATCATCAGGCGACCTGCTATTTTCACCCAGAGCCCAGCATTCATCTCCACAACTAGTCTGTGCGATTCAAGATGTAAGAAAGCACTAATTTTCTCACACTACACTCATTTCCACTACATCAGCCAGCAAGATTAGCTGTAGCTGTAACAGCTGATCTGCCACCTCTCAATACAAGACACCCAGGATTCATCCAACCAGTGGCTGCAGCTGATAAACTGTAATGCTGGTAAAATCGACCACAATATACAGTGAGGACTCCCCATCGTGAGTTAAGTTGTGCTATATCAATGCACTCAGCTCCCTAGCGGCGTGAACCTCCATTATAAAGTTAGGTGCAATTATGATGGAATTTGAGAGTAAAATAAAGCAATCAGTCTTGAAATCCTTACGAAATTCCACAGGTCTTTTTATTGTGGGGTTAAAATATTGATGTTAACAAGGTAAAAGGCTTAATTGGCCCCAGTTAATACGTGCTGTTCAAAGGACTTTTAGCTTGTTTCGTACTTTAATAAAAAAAACCTTGCATTTGATATAACTCCTTATTATGCTGTTAAATACCTAAGGTATTTCACAGGATTTACTATAGAATGTAGTGCCTGTATTTTTAGAAAATGTGGCAGCCAATTTATAGATTGCAATGCTCCACAAACAGCCATGAAATGAATGATCAATTTTATCCGGAGGATTGTTGGCCACGACACCAGGCGAACCTCCCCTCTCTTTTTAAAAATGCCATTGGATTTTTAATGTTCACTCGAACAGGCAAACGAGATCTTGGCTTAATGTCTTACCCAAAGGATTGCACCTTCAACAATGCAGCACTCCCTCAGCATCGCACTGTCATGTCAGTTTTTAAGACTATGAACTTCAAGTCCCATTGGAGTTTGAACCCACAATCCTCTGATCAGAGGTGTGAGTGCTAACTACTAGACCAGCTTAACATGTCATTTCCATTGACCCAAAATGGCAGATTGGACAGCAGGTGGGACGGAGTACACTTTAAAAGGATGGTGCTTGACAGGACAAAGCACAATTCTGAATTGTGATTGTATGAGCTTGTAAGTTTGTAAAAAGGATATGCAAAAACTCAAAACCTGTTGAAAAATAATTGATTCTTTTCACTGTACTAGGTATGGTGTGTAGATTATAGCTATTGAAATTTTAAACAATGAAATACTTTTACAATTTAAAATTTGTCAGTTGTAAATTAATTTTAATAACAAAATTTGCCAGTTTATTTTAGAAGTCATTCCTAAATGTTATATGTACACAAGAAAGCATCGCCTCTCACATACCCTCTCCACATGACTCCTAAACCCTATTCACTGCTTAATGTGCCTCTGTAAAATATGCCACTCGAGACTGTCTTTGTTCCCCCTCCCCATCATTGTCCATTAGAGCCCCTCCTCTCTGCTGGCTTTTGCTCTCACAATAAGCAAGTATTACATTGGGATCCCTTGTGCTTTGAAATCTGATCGTTACCTGCAGTAATACTTTGCAGAGCAGAAGCGAGGAAATATACCCTTTGCCAAATAACATTCCCTGAATTTTTCTCTTGTTGCGAGAAGAGTGATGGGTTCTATTTCACAGAAATATATTAAGTACTTGGGAGTGAGGGGAAAGTATTTTCAAAATAACTCCAGATTACTGATTTTCCTCTTCAATTTTCTTCTCTCTTTTTCTCCTGAAAGTGTTCTGACTCCTTTTATCATTCCTTCAGTGACAGTTGCTGTCCAGTATTTTTGGCCCAGTGACTATTCTATTGTTCAGGTGTGACCCTTGAAAGCAAGTCCTGGCTATTCAATCTGTGACACATCATTGCTTTCTCCAAACATGTTCAAACTGTAAATTATCTTATTACTGAAGTATGCATTACAAATTGAGGTTGGAAAGATATGCAGTCGTGGCTTGTTGTTAATGTATCGACCTTAAGAACCAATACATTTTATAAAATAAAATCATTACATTTATGTTTGTCTTGACTTGTAACTTCTCAAGGTTTGAGTCAGCAGACTTTACCTTGGAACAATTTTATTCATAGGGCAGCACTGTTAAATGCATCAATTGTTGCCAAGAAGGAAGAAGTCTGGAAGACTGGGATATTCCAGAGCCACACAAACCAGTTCTGTCTTGAGGACTAAGCACAGTGGAATTCAGTCAGTTCTGCTCCACCGCCATAGGGTGTGAGTTTAAAATTCCTGCCATGTCTCAGAGAGCCCCGATTTTCAGACACAATTTAAAACTTAAAGAATGAGTGTCACCAACTGTTTCATTTACATTTCACATGTCACTGCTAAAAGAGACAACCACAGATAGAGCACCAGAAATTGGAAAGCAAATTAGGCCAGTTAGAAAGGTTATATAAAATCAATCTTGTCCAAGAGATAGGAAGCACTGGGTAATTCAAGACTTCGAGAAAATCCCAAAGCTCCTGTTAAAAATGGAGAAGCTGCTTTGGGGCACTTAATTTTAGTTTTAACAAGCATCGAACAGGTTGACAAAACAGGCCACTTCCAACACATGCGAAATAGGAAAGTGTTTAAATTTCCAGTGCTACCATCCCTCACCTCGAAAAGCCCAAACTTAACAAAAAGACAAGCTGCAAACAATCTGAAGACAGACCCCATTGAAATAATTTAATTTCTATTGAACAGATTAATGTGTTCCAACGTCTCTGTTCCAGAAACAGCAGTAACAGAGAGATTTGAGAATGTCTCAATTGCTGTCAGTGCAGTCCTGTAATCCCTCTTACGCTCCAACATGCTCTTCCATACTTGGGGGCACTGGTTTTGTAGCCGTGAACTAAACATGACTTCCAATACATTATTAAGAAGCACCACTAAACAGAGGCGAGGTGCTTTCCAACGAGGACAGAGCGAAAAAATAGTTAGCTTTTTAGAACGCTCTTCTAAAATGAGAGTTGGCTGCTTATAGTTGTAGCTAAGGAGATAAATTAGAGATCACAGTTGAAGTCATTACAAAAGACATCTGTGCAATCAGCTAGGTAAGCCACAATGGCCTGGCTGCTGTGCATCCAAGTTTTGTTGAAAACATTCTGCCTGAACTTGCCACAAATTACTAAAGCAATTGGCAGCATTTCAAAGTCTCCATCTTTGCCAAGTACATAGAAGAATGTTACATTGACTGCTGGAACTTTTTAAAAAAAAATTATGAAGCACATCACTTGCTGATTGATACCTTCTAAAATGTGTCATTTATCTGTAATCATTTTTTACTAGACGCTCTTGAATCTTTTGTTTAGAAAAAACAATCTCAATATTATCAAAATGCGTATTATCAATGGTAGCAAAACCTCTCATTCAGGTGAAAAATGATTTTCTACTGGCAATGTAAATAGAAACCAGATGAGCAGTAAAGATTCTAGACCCAGAAGTTATTCAAATTAACCCTTACCTCTATAAAGATTCCCATCTCTGGACTGAACGATTCTTTATATACATTGTCAATTCACACAGAGAATCAGAAAAAATAGCATTAAAGTATTATAGCAAGAAAGTTCAAACACCAGGAAAGCTTTTTTACTATAAATACTTTTTAAAAGTTACATATATAGTATTTCATCGCTTTCTGGATGTCTATTTTCTGTTTTTTTTATATTCTCTTCATGCTTTAATATTAAGTTTTAACCCTTTTTCAATATTTTCTGCCTTTTTTGTCTATGGTAAGTTTAAAAACTTATATTTATCCTACTTTGGTTATCCAGTCTCTCGTTCGTTGTGTAAGCTTGGAGCAAAATTGTATTCTTAAACAGAGATTTTTTATCAGTCTAATCTTTTTGCCAATAAAGTGGGTCAGAATGGATGATTGATAATGGCCACTTCATAGATACAAACCTGTCGATCATGAAAGTGAAAAGCCAAATACTCAAATCAGTTCAAATCTAGATTGTATTGAGAAAGTTAAAATATTTTGATTTTAGAAGAAATACTGTACTATTTACTTTTTTTCTTCTCCCTGGCACATTCAGTCCAATCTGCAATGAATCAGGAATGAATGAAATGTTGAAAGTTCGGTAAATCTAAGAATACAGACATAATCGTGGATTTCTTCATGTCTGAATCATAACTGCGAGGCATAATATTCATAAAGGTTTACTGAACAGAAATGAACCTTAGTGAAATGCAAAGTGAGATTTTCCCAATTTTCGATGTGTCATTAAATAAAGGAGACACTTGTAATGCCTATTCCGCAGATGGATACGTCAGCCCTTTGTATGTAATGCCTGAAGCATGCCAGTTACTCAAAATGCAGTCTTGGCACAAGGCAAGTTTATTATGATATGAAGCAAAAACTTGTCATACTATTTGTGCTCCAAGATGGTATTAAATTAAAATAAAAGAAACACATTCATGAAAGAAAAAAAATACATGTGACTAATAAAACATGAATTCACAAAAGTTTCAGCAACAAACACATTATGACGCTCATAATATCTCTGTAGAACGCACATATAAATGTACAGAATGTCAACAGTAGCTGACAGATTACAAGGAAAGCAATTTCATATTGACAGTCATTCCATCAGTGGATTGCTCACTGTGCTAACACATATTGAAATCAAAATGGGATTGATGTTGAATGAAGGTCTATGAAACCAGGAGTAAATCACCTGTACAACACAAGACTGCACTGCCTATGTCATGTTAAAACATAACCTGTATTTTAACATTGTAATACATAGTATTACTGAGCCAACAATGTAGTCTGCATATTTTATACCAAATAAAAATAACAAAAATTCTAATATAAAAACAATGATTTGCCTATACTGTATTTTATTGACAAATGATCCAAAGTATAATTACTTCTTCCTGACTTACAATATTTATTAGGAAAACATAATTTACAGAATATTTTGAACAAATACATTAATTTATGTATTGCCACTTTAAAACTCAGCGTTGCAGACAGGACACTAGGTATATCCAGTGACCCAGACCTGCTAATATGGAAAGATACAGTGTCCACACCTACACAAGTGTTCAAGAGTCATGAGTCTGCAGTCACAGTGTGTAGATGGGTTCCCTCTAGGTTGAACAGCCTGGAGATCAGATAAAACGTACCTAAACAGCCAGACTTTAAGAATGCTGCCCCAGAAAGTCATCAAGAGTTAAATCATTTATCCAGTCATCATTGCTACTGCTGGTCTTCATGATGGACTCTATGAAGTCAGACTCATTCCGAGATCCACTCAAGGTACCGCTGTTGTTATGCTGAAGAAAGTCAAAGGAAGAAACCTCTGGGGCTGAATTGACACAGTTGTAGGATCCGGATGACAAGCCAGTCGATGTGTAGCTGGCTGGAGCGAGTCCTGGAGCTGGATGTGTCTGGCTCAAACTGGTGATGCCTGGGGGCACTGGTTTCATACTGGCCAAGGCTGTTAAGGGTAGCCTTGGTTGGTTATTCCTTGGGGGTTGCCCACTCATGGGGACCATGGGTTGTCCATTCTGGCCTGGGTTCAGTTGTTGAAGTGGCCTCATCTGTCCTCCTGGTGCTATCTGGTTTGGTGGCGCTATGCTTTGATGAGGAAACTGCTGCACAGACAAATTGGGTCTCATGTTCTGTTTGGAGAATAGTGGACTGTTTGGGAACTGCTGCATGCTGCCATCCATTTTGTTCTGGTTTTGCATGACGGAAATCCTTTGCTGTGCCCACATTTGAGACGTCATGCCAGGGGTGGCTAAAGGATTTGTGATTCCCTGGACTGACATATTAGCACCTGCCTGGCTTATGGATTGCCTTATGTGTTGGACAGATACAGCAGGATTTGCCACGGAGCCACCAAATACAGAAATTGTTGTCCTTTGGGGGATCATGGGCTGGCTCGGGACTGCCTGGCTGTTTGATCTCATTCCCAATGCACTCTGGCTGGGTCGGAGTGGCATGTTAATGCCAGAAGATGTCACGTTAATGCTTGAAGATGGTACGTACATGCCTTGTTGACTGCCAGGATTGTTTGAATACATTCCCATCGTCCGGTCACCCTGACTGGCATTCACTGAAGGAATTCCAGGCCCAAGATTGTTCTGAGATGTCACTTGCAAAAGCGCTTGGTTGAGCCTCATACCACAGTGAGCTGATGCTGATGTTGCCAATGGCTGTCCAGAGTTTGCAGGCAAAGATTGGGCCACAGCTGTGAACAACATAAAAATATTAATGTCATCTTTTCTTAAGACATCATGACATGACTTGTGTTGCCAAATACTTTCATAAAAACAGCAGTCGATGCCTCTGATCGGGTAGGAAAGTGCAAAAGAATTGACTATTCTTCCACTGTGATCCTATGAGAGCATTAATCACTTGCTGGCAATTGTGAAGCAAAGCTTTTCTGGCAATACTCCTCAAAGTCCAATTCTCAGGAACCACTCACAACCATCGAATCATAACCCCAGGTTCCTGAAAGCTGCTGAGAATTTTTTTTAAAAAAATGCCACAAGGTGCCAAAAAAACATTTACGTAACGTGTTTTCGACCTATCGGAAACCACTGAGAATTATTACACCTGCACAAATGTTCAGTTGATTTATTTCAAAAAGGCTTGGCAGGATCCTTCTGGCCTGTAGCCTCAACCTTTTGGATTCTCTCACCAATTTACCTGTTGCACACAAGCAATATCCTGCACCAGGATATCACAACACAAGTCCTACTCAGTTCCTCCTCCTCCTCCTCCTCCTCCTCCTTCCCTTCTACAGTATTTCACAAAGTGACAAAAACAAATACAGCTGCTTGATGTAAGGTGGACATTTATACTGGAAATTTTGTTGTGCAGACTTTTTGGAGCCCATAAAGAGGGTGAGGGGAAATGAAACAGTGCATTCCATTGGGAGGGGAACAGAGAGATAGTTATAAGAAGTGGATACAACTTTCATTTGGAAGAAAATACAAATAAAAACATCTCAAAAATCTAGAGAAAAAAGGCAGTGGAAGCTGCAAAGGCAAATCTCCGTCCTCTCTGGCATTAAAAAAACCAGCGACTATCCAGATGCTAGAGCCAGACGCGCGGGTAACATTTTCAGGAGCTCAACTTCCAAGTGAAATAAACGGCATCTCTCCCCCATGCCAAAGAAAACTTCCAGGCAGCATGCTTGCTGCTTTCCTGATTAAAACATTGAGGCTTTTTTTTATTGGATGCCGTGATGAAGATCTTACCCTGGTACTGATTTAACTGTTGAACTCCAAACGTGCACCTCGGCTCCTTGTAATCAGGGGACACTCGTAGCATGTGACCATTCATTTGATCATGCTGCCTTTGTTTCTCCTGAAAAAGAGACGAATGAGGAAACACCGATTTAATAATTTGCCGATGAGTGTATCCCGACACACACTGATCTAGATGAAGTATTCCATTTTAATTCAACTGTGTGTACAGCTCTTTATATATAATATATAATAATAGCAGGTTTTTGAAACATGTTGTTTTCACTTCACTCCCAACAGATATCAAATGCACATTTTAACGGGTGATCAGTGGGAGTTGCCTTAACAGCCTCTTCACTGAATTCATCCAAGTCTTGTTTGTATTTTGTTTGGTATAGCGCACTGAATAAAAGATGCCCATTCTCTATGTAATGCCCATTCTCTTCACGCCAAGAGAAGAGTCACATCATCTAAAGACGTTAACAACTATTCTGTCATTTAATTTGTAGATAGTTGCAGCCTGTTCAAACAGATTAATCCCTTTTATTGGTCTATTGGATTTGGCTGGAGTTTTTGAAAGCTTTCTGTAGTGTCAAATTGGCAACATGACGAAATTCCTAATTTTAAATAAAGAAGCGCAAACAACAGGCGAGCAGTGAAATGCTTTTCAATGAGCCTTGGATGAAGGGCGATCTTCGAACAATCTAAAAACCTTTTAACATTTATTTATTCCTCTCCCTTTCCGTACTCACCCCTCCCTAGTTTTACACACATGTCCATGACTAATAATGTAATAATCAATAATGTTGCTTGATAACTTCAACTGTGTGGGAAGGGTTCCCTCCCTGGACATATTTTCTTTTTGTCCCCAGATAGGCAATCTAAGATTCTGTAAAGACACCCTCTACAGGAAACCAAAGTTCAAATGTCAGTCAAGAATGGAATTTGAAGTCTGGCTCCCAGTTGATAGCTCACTCTTTTGGTGTTGTAGGCCACGCATTTTTCAAGTGTTTAATTTCCCCCCAAAATCAAAGACTTCACCGTTGAAAGACTTTCAAAGATAGATTCAAGGATCAAATAATATACCTTGCTTAGATTGAAGAATATGTGGATTGTAAACCAGATTACTTGAACTTAAACTAAATTTCTCTTCCACTGAGCATAAGCACATAAGAATTGCTAAAACAAAAGAAGACCTGTGTCCATCCAGTTCACCTTCCACCATCTTGGCAATTGCAAACTATATACTGTATCCCATGATATTATTTCCTAAAAGAAATCTATCTAATTTGCCTTGGAACACTGATGCTCCTTTAAATGAATTCGCCTTTATTCCTTTCATGGAAATTGGGACCTTTTTTGTAAAAGCAGTTTGGCATTCACAACAATTGAGCCAATTCAAAAATAAACAGAGATAAAGGTTTAGCTTCTTCCAGTTACCAAGAGATACCATGTATTCAACAAAAAGTCAGACAGACCAGAAGGCTGCAGGTTCGAATCCATGATAAGCCAAGGCAGCACATGCCCGGGCTACAATTGGCTTCAGCTCTGCTGCATTAGGGAGAGGAAAATCTGCCAAATTATTTCCCGATTGTTTTCCAGAGACTTGAGCTTGGATGTGTGTGCGTGCGTGTATGTGTAGTGGAGAGGAGGTATTACAAGTATAGCTGGCAAGTCCCTGTTATCTATGATAACGACCCTAGCACTGTAAAACCCAATGCTATAAAGACAGTGGGTTCAGTACTAAAGCTAAATTGCGGCATTATACAGCAAGCCATGCTTGCAAGTGGATACATTTTTTTAAACAATTGGTTTCCTTACTTCCCTCAGAATCACTCAATCTATTAAGTGCACTGCATAATGGATGTACAATATTTACATAATGTTTGCACAAAACATTTCTTTAATAATTTAATCTCTATATTTTTATTTTTCAAAATCAGTGTCATCTAAGCATATTACTCTGCCTTCAGTTCTGATGGAGTGATAATATCAATTACAAACTAAGAAGGTTAACTCTAACAAGTCATATTTTGAACTTTAATGACAAAAGAAGACCTGCGTCCATCCAGTTCACCTTCCACCATCTTGGCAATTGCAAACTATATACTGTATCCCTTGATATTATTTCCTAAAAGAAATCTATCTAATTTGCTTTTGAACACTGATGCTCCTTTAAATGAATTCGCCTTTATTCCTTTCATGGAAATTAGGACCTTTTTTGTAAAAGCAGTTTGGCATTCACAACAATTGAGCCAATAAAATAATAATTATAATAATAATCCTTGCATCTGATATAGAGCCTTATCACGTCTTCGAGTCGTCTCAAAGTGCTTCAGTGAATATACTCTAAAGTGAATTGACTGTGTATTTATGGGTGAAACAATTATCCACTGTGAGCCATAGTCTTACCTGATCAGCCATCATTTGTTGTTGAAGTAGATTCTGCTGCTTCTTCAGAAGTTGCTGCTTCAGAAAGGCATGCGATGGATTTTTTATATATCCACTACCAGAGTTTGAGTTTGGGTTAGCGGATGGATCTGGCAGCCTTGAAACCATATTAGGGTTATGGTCCTACAAGCAGGATGAGAAAAAAAGCAAAATTAAATTCTCTATAAATGCACATTCTTGCATCAAATGATTTTCCTGTAATCTGGAACCTGCTGTTAGTTTTCCATTGTCATTCTCCCACGATGAGGTCCCACCACAAGCAACATCTTAGGTATAGCAGTAAGTCATACTGACCCAAAAGGATGTACGTTTGGCCCTCAGCCTTTGATGTTCTAACTAGGATAGCAATTGAGGCACTGCAATTAGCCTTAGTGGTCCTAGGAGGAGGAAAGATCAGCCACTGATTGCCATCCAAGTGTATGCTTGGATGGCAATCAGTGGCTGATCTACCCAATGCTTTTGGGCATTGCGAGAGAGAGCAAGGTAAAATTTGATGGTCAAATAGTCTGCATAGTCTAAACACCCTCATGGAAATTTTTATTTAAGCAAGGTACCATGTCCAGCAAAGATGGCAGCACCTTGAAGAGAGGAGGAGGAGGGGGAGAAGGAGAGAGGAAAAGGGAAGTAAGATTGAAAGAGAAAACTCTGAATGTGTTGCCAAGTACACCCAACTCAACTACACATACACATTCCCAGCATTTGTCACCAATGATGACTCTTGTCGGATGCAAATATATGCATATTATGCAAAATTCTGGCTTGTCTGGACAAATAAGGCATGGTGGGTCTCTGTTGCATTTGGGGCTGGGCCAGTCAATCACACATTACCCAGAACAGCTCAAGACCATGTGTGCATCCGTTATTCACATGTCAACTGCACTGGATTGTGAAACAAGAAGAAAAAATGAATAGGATCCAATTTAGTTTGGATTGAGATCTCCGAGAACTTCACTTATTTGATGGAGTTAAGTACATCACGCAGTAAAGCTTAAGTAACTGAGTAAATAACATGGGGCATAGGATGTACCACTGTTAAGAGGAACAAGAAACCACAGATCACCCACAATGAGATCCCAAAGAGCTACTCTCTTTGGGGTTTCCAAAAATAACTTGCTATTTTCTGGTTGTTCAATTACACCAAAGTTAATCTGACATACGTTTATCATAGCTCTGGAATGGGAGCGTGCTGTTTACAGGACACTGAGTACATTGCCTGCTGTTCTCTTGCAGTCATACTTCCTTGGTTGTAAACTCTAAAGAATAAATCAGCCATGTTACACACTACAGACATTAGCAGGAACCATGAGGAAACTCGGCTCACTCTGCGTTCTGGCAAAATAATATGAAAACAGGAAATGGCACTTGAGAGAACAGAAGGAATTGTTCCTTGATTCTGTGCTTTGTGTTAGTTCAAATGGAGCTTTCACGATATTACTCAAGTCAAAATAGTCAATCATTTTGTTTCGGTGCAAGAGACCAGATAAATTTAAGATTCAGCTCTTCATTTTGTAATTGTTATGATGGTGAACAACTGGTTGCATAAAATACTTTTATTTTATGCCCAGTCAATCCACTTCACAATATATTTTGTGAAGCGCTTTGAGACAGCTCAACGATGTGATAAGATGCTATATCGAATGCAACGATTATTATTATTATTATTATACGGCAAACCTGCAACTTTTCTTTTAACAGCTTATAGGCAGGAACGGGTTTTACTTTTACAAATCTGTTCAGGTGCCCATGCCATGACGTCAGGCGAAGTGGCAAGTGTGTGTGCAATACACTGGATATCATGGCACGCAGGCTCTGGCTGGCCTGGGATATATTACAGACATGGGTAGGTCCCTGTTGCTTTTGGGTTCGGCCACTCAATCATACATTGCCCCTAAAAAATCTCAAGACCACATGCACATCTGTTATTCACATGTGTTCATCCATTTCTCACAGATTAAAACGGAGTTAAGCAACTACATTTTAAATAAAAATGTTGGGAGTTTATAGGCTCTACATTACGCCAAACACCTGAGGCACGCCAGTCTGCATTATGTATTGGGTGCTGCTCGCTCATTGCTTTAACTGAAATTTAACAACAGAAAAATGTTTTTTTAATGTTCGGTCAGCAACAAATCAATTTTCTCCATTTGTTCAAAGGAATAAAACTATCCCGAGGCAAACAGCTTTGACGCAGCGAGCAAAAAAAATAAAATAAATCGAGGCAGATGGTTTGCTAAATTCTTCTACTCCAGGATCAATGAACAGAATAAAAATCTATATTCATCTGTTAGCAATTACAGAGCAGAGAACTGGGGCAGCATTTTGGGACACCAGCCACACACCCCTCCCCACTCCCCTCAAAATAAACATTTTTTTTTAAAAAAATCCAGGACAACTTTCTACAAAGTGAAGAAATATTCTGTGGTTTCTGTGCATTTTGTAAAATGCGACTTCAAAGTAATCTGCCTGAGGCGTGTCCAGAGTTAATGTGTGTTTGGCTCCAGCTTGCTTTTTAACCTTTTCCCCAACGCTGTGCAAATTGCTATCCGCTGACCAATGATTTGCTCCGCGTGGCCAAGGTAATTCTGCATGATCCTAAAAATCGCCATTTTTCCTCAAATGTACTTATTTTTTAAAAAAACACAGTACTTGTTTTTCACCCTCCTTCTTAGAAGTTGCGAGCACTTCCTAATGTCAAATTCAATTACTTTGGAAGGGTTCTTCCAAGATTTTGCAGAAATCCAGTAGCATAGTTGGAGAAAGACATCACCCCAAGCACTTGGAGACGCTGTAATGGTTGCATCAGTCACAACTCTTGCATCCGGTCTAAGAGCAGAGAATTCCACAAGGTACTGCCTTCCTACAACAACTGCTTCACGTATATAGCGACCTTCAAGCAGGGTAGCAGCTCTGAGTGCTTAACAGTGGCACAGCTTGATGCCATGTAGGGAGGGAGGGAAGGAAGGAAGGAAGGAAGGGGAGGTGACTAAATGCCTGGTCAAAGAGGAAGGCTTTAGGTGCAAGCTGAAGATGGGCAAGGAGGGGACATGTCGGTGCGATTTATGCAGAGTTCCAGAGTGCAGTCTGGAAGGAAAGTACCAGTACTTGCAGCTATTGACTTGATTAAAAGAAGAAGAAAAATCAAATCAAAATCCAAGCGCTTTTTCATGTTCGATTGAGACATATTTTTTGACATCATAAAGGAAAGTTGGCATTCTGAGACATTTGAACTAACACTACAATAAAATACTATTAAAAAAATTAAAATGCTGCCTACAGTTACCTCACACACACGCATACAACTAAGAATCTATCAAATTTATCGCCAAAAGATCAGGCAGTTCATTTCTAGCTTTGCGGAGCTAAATACCATAATTACACTGAAGGTATTTTCAACTCATTCACCCTCCACAGGCCCTGGTCCTGGCATCATGTCAAATGGTGTCATTACAGCAGCTGTGACAAGTGGAAATGGCTCCAGTAAAATGGTAAGAGAATATGTGGTGCAGTGAACGAGTTAAGCTGCCTCACCACCAATAACAATGGCACAATGCAGCTTGAATTATTAATCAGATAGATTTTTATATAGATTTGGTATTTGAACCATCATTAATCACCGTTCATTTGTTGCTGCTGTATTGCGAGGTGGTGTGGCCATATTCCCTTCAGCAAACAAGACAGCAAATTAAAACCTATGGAACACCTCATGTGCTGTGTATTTTAAATTTAAGGAAACACTTACATACATAAGGCTGGTTCTTTATGCCTCCTAAAGATGTGGGTAAAATCTATGCACAAATATTACTCGAATGAAAGGAAATGGAGTCAGACTATTAAGCATTCTCAGAGAGATTATAGCCTTTTCCTTTGAAGCTGTCATGTTGCATGTAATGACCTCTGCTCATTGAAGTAAAAGTTTTTTTTAATATATTTTTGTTTTAAAACATGTATTTGGAACAGTTTCAATTTGTCTCCCTAGGGCACATTATTTTCTCTCATGGATTTAGTATCTTAGGCCAGAAAACCGGAATAATGAACCTTTGATGTCTGATCCCGGAGTTTGATTTACATCCAGCTCCACAGTAACTTAATCAGACATATTGCAGAAGGAATCGCTTTTATTTTAGTGTTAAATTTCTCAGGGGAAAAATATTGAAAAAGACAACAGAGGTGGGGGGTGAGGAGTGGGAGCAAGAGAATCACAATTTGTGTTCATCCTGCTGCCATGAACTTACCAGATTCCACCACAGGTGGGAGCTTTTGCCTTTTTTAAAAAAAAATGTTCTTTGAAACAGTGCTGGTTGAGGAGCAGTGTTTGGTTTGTGCAATGCATATTCTAGCGGCTCGCCAAAGACTCTTGATAGATGGAATAGTTGTTGAATGAAATAATGTTCTTTTGTTGGAAACACCCCAATTAACTTGCTCGCTACTGCAAGGCCAAAACAAGAACTCGACTTAAAAGATTGCTAATAAACCTGCTGGCCTTTCAGCACAGAAAACAAATTGCACATAACAAGAGTCTTAAACGTGCAAAATTAAAGATCATTTAAATATTGGCTGGAGCGCTCGAGATATTTACAGCATTAAAAAAGCGCAATTTGGACTCTCCATTTATTTCAACGCTAATGTAAAATATGGTTGGGGGGAAGTGTGGAGTGAATTTAAATAATTAGCACATCAAATTTGTTATAAAACACCATAAATTTTGCTCCTATACATAAAGGAGACTGATCACAGTACATTTTATGTTGTAAATGGTAATCCTCATCGGTCTGCATTACACTTCAATAATCATTTGCTAATTCGTTAACTGGATTTAGGTATTGTCTTCAGTAATGAACTATACATACAGAGACTAAATGGAAACGCGAGATAGGAGGGGGATTTTTTTTTGCCACTGTCTGATTCCTGCCTGTACCTCAACCAATCCTGGCGATGCATTGTATTATTTACCACTGATGCACGTTTTCAACTCCAATAAGCTTTATTGTTCATTGACAGTGATGTAATGCAGATTGCTGTAGCACATGCTTTGTATTGATCGATAATGGCAGAAGGCAGGAGGCAGCAGCAGCCTCCGGACACTGCTGGGCAACTGTTGGAAAGCTCTTAGACAAAGAGCAGAT